GCTTGAAGCAATAAGGAAAGGCAATGCGGAGCAGATAACGTGATCGCTCCCTTGCTTGCGCGTAAGCATGGTAAGCACGCCATGCACCCTGGAGTAGGCGTGTTGATGGTGGTGGTGGTGTGGCATAGGCGGATTATTCGTGTCCTGCCGGGTGGAGGGCTTGTCTGTGGAAGATGCGTAGTTGCAGACCACGTAAAGTAGCGGATGTAGAGTATGGGCGGATAGAGTATGGGACCTGGGTGGCCTGGGTGGACGGGATACGGCTCACTGTTCCGGAAATAATTGGAGGAAATGGCTTTGACGAGAAGTTGCGTGTGAGATATTGGATTTGGATATTTGGATATAAAATACTAGGACAAAAAGGATTGGACGGGTCCCATTTTGCATCAAAGATGGCCATTTCAACCACCGATACGGCAACCCGAACGTATCGGAAATCAGAGACCATTGAGAGACCTTTATAACTATACTAATTATGATATGAGAATTCCTCAAGGAATTCAGAATTGTCGGTGTTGAGCAATACCATACGGGGAAAAGTTAATGGTTGCCAGGTACCCAGCTTTTTGTATGGGAGCCCACAGAAAATGTAATTTCACTTTTCAACTCCTGCACAATACAAATCGTACAGCCCCAATCCGTGATGAAAGTCTTCAAGGTTTTTGTCAATGAAGATGCTTGTGATTCTCTAGCGCTTCTATAAAAGATATTTTTTTTTTCGACCAGGTGGAGGGTACGTTTAGGTGGCATGAAAATGGACATTTTTGGTGTAAAACGGTCCCCGTCTAATGCTTTGTGTTAGAGTACTTTTAACTACCAGCTCTACTTTTCTCGTATGCTCTAGGAGATTCCAACATTCATCTCCTAACTACCTATCAATTCCCTCCAGTGCAATTGTCTATCACGTTTGGGTTTCTTTCTCGACGAAGATTGGCAGCTGCTGTGGCTGGTGATTTTTTCATGAGCCACACTGTCTCTGCTGGACGAGCGAGTGCCGTATGCACCAGTACACAGGTACATACGCCACCTACCTTCTATACCTAGAACTATAGAGCCCATTATTATAGAACTATAGAGCCCATTCCTATAGCATAGCCAGCCAGCCCGTTCTCAAGACGCCGAGACGCCTCCTCCGGCTACGGCATCACAGCAGCGGAACAAGCACGCGCGAACGCACCACTAGTTGCGTCCCTGTCTCTGTCTCCGTCTCTTCTCCTTGGCGGGCCCGACCAGAAGTCTCCGAAATGGTTCCGCGAATATGTGCTTGTGGCGTCCGCCACGGCGCCACCCCTAAGTACTCTACCTAGTGAGACTCAGAGGCGAGGCGGGCGGCCAATCGGACTTGTATGTAGGGTCGGCAGATCTCTGGATTGGCTTTTCGGCGTCCTTCGGAATGTTAAGTATTAACATGCATGCATGATTGTACATTCACGTGCTCATGTATGTAGAGTAACTAGAGTACATCGGACTTTGGCATGTAGCTCGGGAATCGATGGCTCGTCATCATCTGCGCACTCTTCCAGACTCCCAATATCACGAGTCGGAGGTGAATGTCAATGGCATTGAGTTTTAGCCTCGCTGCATCGGTTGCATCGGTTGCATCGGTTGCATAATGCATTGACCGCCCGCTGCCTACACCGGCCCGGGATTCGGGAATGATGATGATGACAGCTGATGCTTGACCTCCCGACGGAATTCACCACGGAAACAGGCTTGTTTCCAAGATTCAAGAGATATATGTACTCTAGTTACTTGCTCGGTTAGTCTTATCTCCAATGCTCTCGAGGAGGGAAGGGAAGGGAAGGGAAATGGCAGTGCCGAGTATTGCGAGTGTTGCGAGTGTTGCGAGGAGAAGGCTAGGTAGGCGCCTGTCGGCGCTGGACATCATGACAATTGCCCGTAGGCTGTACATAGGCGGTCTTGGGCCGTGAGTGGACTGCTTCTATAGTACCATTCCGCATAGGGAACTATCCTCGAGGCGGTAACTATACTACATAACTACACAACTATACTGCATAACTATATCCGCTACAAAACTATTATATCTTCCAGTGGATGTATGCATAAGTAGATTACAGTTACATAGCAACCACTTCAACGGGAACAACGCGTTACTCCATCCTCCATCCATCAGGGGGTGGAGGGGGCTCATTTCGGAGTTCGGCCCCGGAAACGAGCCTCTGCAAAAACGGTCTTTGGCCGAACTGGATTTTTCCCATTTACCATCTCTACCTACTCTCCTTCCAGTATTACCATTTTTTCTTCTTTACTTCGTTCCTTCCTTCCCCCCAGCACCTAACTCGCGGAGCAAAACTCGCCGTGTTTCACCAAGGTCCAAAATATAATACCGAGAAGCCGACGCGAGTCGTCCGTCGTCCGCCGCCCGTCGTGTTGGTTGTTCCGTAGCATTACCCAGTTGCCGAGTTACCAGAGTTACCACTGTTACCACCTATCAGATCGCAGCAGTTTCCGCCGGCGAGTCTTCATTGAGTGGGTGGGTGAGACACGCCTCGTGGGAGTAACCAAGTGCATAGAGCAGAGTAGAGTACATAGGGTTCTTGGGCTTGATAACTAGAAGTAAGTAAGATGTATGCACCTGCGCTATGACCGAAAATCAGCTAACCTAACCGTAGGGTCTACTAGTAATTACTCTAGAGGAATAGCGTCTGGCGCATCGTCGTTTCGGCGAATCCAATCAGCGCACTGCATTCACTTCCCCCAGCAAAAGCGGCGGTGGTGAATTGCTTTTATTTCATTCTCTTTCTTTTCTCTACATATATCGAGTATTTTATTATTTCCCATCCCTTCCCTTCCCATGCTGCACTGCACCCGTGTGTGGTAGATATGGCATGGCATGGTAGGTATGGCAGGCATCTACTCTATTCTGCTGCCCCGAACCCAGGCCTACCGTACCACCCAGACCACCCAGACCACCCAGTGCACCCAGTTCACCCAGACCTACCAGGAGGCCCTCCTCATATGCCGATTGGTTCCAGCGAACCTTCTCACCGGGCCTCGGTGCTAGGTAACATAGAGTAGAGCACCTAACCACCTAACCTGCATGCATGCGTGCGTGCGCCTAAATACATCGGGTATATGCACCTTCCTACCTCGAGACTAGGTAGTGTAGAGCATGTGTGCTTGTGCGAGGTGAGAAGAAGAAGAAGAAGAAGAAGAGGAGGCTGATACGCACTTCACTTTCTTCTGCATAGAGTACGAGTGACGGCCGGGGATGGCTCCGTACATAGGCCGTAGCCGCCTAGGGGCGTTTAGTACCAACCTTACTGGATGCTTCCACGGGGTTGTTCGCCTCGCCTCGGGCGGAACATGGTTTCGGCGAAGGTCTGATCGCGCGGGGACGCGGAGTTGGCGGAGGAAGCTCTCTACTGGGTAGAGTAGAGTACGGTAGTGTAGGTAGTAGAGTAGGCTTCCCGGGGTGAACGGTGAACCACAATCACAACGGCAACGGCAACAACCAATGCGGTTGCTTTGCGTTGCGGGTTGACTACGATGGCTACTATTTACCCGTAATGGTAGTTACTGGTGGTCATCGGGGCGTAAATATCATAAGACGTCCCCGCAGCTAAGAGACCCCCGTCTCCGTCTCCGCATTCCGTCCCCGCAATGCCATCGTTCCCCCGGTATCCTAGTCTTCGGGTGGTGGTGGTGGTGAGTCGCCTACCTACTATGTATAATAGGTACTATACTTATAGGCCGTCAATGTGCGAATTGCTCAGCGGTTGCGATCCACTGAATCCCGCGGCAAACTTTCTGGCGTCGTAGACTCATATCAGTGATATCGATACCAGTGACACCGATCCCACCGAAAAGTGATATCGGAAGTGAGGGTGAGAGTGTGGGTGTGGAAGAAGCCCACCCGGCGCACCAGGTTCCGCCCGCAATTGGCCCGCAATAGCTAGAAGTGCAGATCCGACAGTTGCCCGAGCAGTGCATAATCCCCGCAAGCCGATGGGGAGGGAAGGCTGTCAGGCTGTCGTCTTTTTTTCCTCGTTCTTTTCTTTTCTATGCATGTAGAGGAGTTACATACCGCATGGCATGGCATGGCATTGCATGAATACGATGGACATCGGGATGTGTGTATGGGCACCTTTTGCTCGGGGGAGGGGAGGCTAACACGTCGAAGGCAGATATGCATACGGTACGGTGTCCCCCTGCATCAAGGGATGCCGTGTGATCGCTGGGGCTGGATGAGGTGTTGGGGAACACAGTACTCTACTCACTTCAAACACTCGACAGGTTTCGGAGCTGCACCGTGGAGGGGAGATGTCGATGAGGTTGCACGAGTCACTCACCCTCTGCCCGAAGACTAAGGGCGGGCAGACAGGTGGGCGGGCGGGAGGGGGGCTTTGATGCTGAGATGCTGAGATGCTCCACATTCGAGGCACAGTGTGGCAGCTTCTGGAATATCATTTTGATCGGGCTGATATGCCGAGAATGTCCCTATCCTTTGCCGATCTCCTCCTCCTCCGCCAAGTATGTACCTTTCCTTTCCCGATCTCCTCCTCCCCCTCCCCCTCCCCCTCCCCCTCCCCCTCCTTTCCCTTCCCGTTCCTTTTTCTGCGGAAACTCTGGCGAGTGTTCTACAGAGAGTCACCCCGCCACTCAGGGGAGGAGGGGGGAGGGTGGGATTTCTGCCAGCTGCTCTCCTCCCTCCCCTCCCCCTACATTGAGCACGAATACGCACTGCACAGAGATCATCAAGATTCCGGTCTCAGACAATCGGGATTTGTCACTTACCAAGCATCTCCCAGCAGAGAGGCTAGCTAACGACTACGCCGCGAACGCACGCCACTGGCTTCAGATGTGCTGGATCCAGCCAGGCCATTCCCCAATGATTCACCTCTAATCTTCTGGACGCGCGCCGTCGTTTCTCTCGGTGGCTCGGCGCGAGCCGGATTTACCGGGCGGGAGAGTACGGTAAGGTCAAGCTTGGGTCGGCGCACCGTAGAGGTTAGTTGGATATGATAGATACCCAGTTCACCTAACCAACTCTCTCCCCACTCCACGGTAACCACTCTGCTCTAGAGTACTCTCCTCCCGGCCCTCCAAGCGTGATGGCAGTAGCAGCACTAGGATGATTCGGCCTCACTAGAGCAGCCCTTGGCATCTAGGCTATATCGGTCTGTCGATTGTTCGGTTCTTTTTTGGGCGTGCGTGCTGCTGATCGGAAGACACACAGGTTTTATGCGGCCAACACCTTCGAATCGATTCCTTAATCCCCATTAGCCGTGTGCGGTATCTGGAGTACATACAGGACTGCTGCCCGTCTACTGGCGGCTGCCACTCTACTCTGGCTACTAGCCATGTTTTTGATGCGGACGGCCAGCAGCCTGCCAGTAGAGTACCTAGGCAAGTAGGTACCGTAGGTAATCGGTCCGCAGGTAGTCGGCCCGCCAGCCAGCCAGCCAGCCAGCCAGCCATCAGATCTGACGATAAAAACGACCAAGATGGAGTCTCCAGACCACACGTGTATTGCTGCTATCATTTCCTGGTCTCCCTCCACACTCGTTTCCCCCCTCCCCCTCCCCCCCTCCCCCTCCCTCCTCCACCCTCCACCCAATTCCCCTCCCCCAATTCCCCTCCCCCCATCCGATTCAGGGCTCTACAGGGTTCATCTCGACACGACCGGGTCCGGTAAAGTCTCCATGTCAGACACTCACCTCGGCGGCAGCGGGGTAGGGATCAGTTCTGTGGTATGCTAAATAAGTATGCAGCAGACGAGAAGAATTGTGGAAGAAAGACAAGGTGGGTGAAGGGTGAACGAGGGGGCGAGAAGGCGAGAAGCTGCGCAAAACGCCAACAGGAGAGCTCGGTTGCTACCCTAGTGGCTTTCGTCTGCAACCTGCACGGGTCTGCATCCGCCTGCCTTGTATGCCTGGTCCTTCGTCGTATGAGTCGGTGGGATTTGGCCTCTTCTCGTCGACCAGCTTGCCCCCTCCCCATCCATCCATCCATCCTCCGATTGCCTGACCGACGACCCGGGGAATTTTTAGTGGGAACAGCAGGCAACGCCGGTATCACGTATTTGGTCCGTACTATCACTTGCGCCAGTATCGTTGCGGCGAGCGCTGTGACTGCCGGTGCCTGGGAAATATTTGATGATCCGCATGGCTTGGGAAAGAAAAAGGGCCACCCGGCTACTCCCAGCTCGAGACAGGCCTCTCTCTCTCCTCTAGAGTCTAGTCACAGTTAGCCGGCAAGCCTCACAGGAAGGATCGCGGCTACCATCGCTACCACTACCATCTCATATCCATCCACACCCCCCCCCCCCCCCCCCCTCAACGCTCCCCAGCAAGTTTTCCCCTTTCTTTTCGGATTCGCGACTCCTCCGTCGAACTAGGGCCAGCAAGCGGTGTCTACCCTTTGCGTGCATTCGGCAGAAAGAAAAAAAACGCGCACATAAGCATACAGAAACAGGCGGTGCCGAGAGGGCGGAAGGGCGAGAGTGCGAGAGTGCGAAAGGGCGAGAGGTACGGACGGAAACCCCCCCAGGCACCTCGTACCTGGGCCTGCTAGTAGTAGGTGCTTGTGCTGTGCTACTACCACCACCACCTCGTAGTGCTAGGGAACATTGCGCCGCATATCTTGGGAGTGGCTACATCTCAGTTGCGGTCTTGCTGTCTTGTCTCGCTGCTTCCAACTTCTCCATCTTCATCGTCCCTCGTGTTTCCTCGTCGGTCGGTGATCATCAGCCCCGCCTAAACTGTCTGTACCATACCTACCGGGTGCTGCAGTTCCCAGACGTGGTAGGGGAACGTCAGTCACCCAGCAATCGATACCTTGTCCTGCTATTGACATTCTCACCTTCTTTCTTCCTACCCACCACCCTTCACCTCCATACCCCCCCTCTTCTTCTTATCCTTATCCGCCTTCCAGGTGAGTCGTTAGAACGAGGCACAGCAGAAGAAAAAACGGAATTCCAATCGACGGGGCCCGGGCAGGAATAAGGGCCACTTTATACCGTTCAATATCGGTCATGGTGGAGACTCAGATCATCCCAGTCGAAGGCCTGACTACTGGGGGCGGGAGCGGACTCGAGGATGTAAAGCATCCCTCCCCCGCCACAAGCCCCAAACAGCCTTCTGCGGTGTGCACTTCCTCGCTCCCTTCCCAGGATACATCTACCAGTACCACCACCTCTTCTACCACCACCACCACCACTACCACCACTACTACCACTTACTCTTCTGCCACTACAACCTTGGGGGCCAGCGCGAGCTCAAATCGCCGTACACCTAAGAGGCAGCCCTCCGACGCATCACTGTCATCCTCGAGCACAAGTTCTTCAACCACCTCCGGCCCTGCCATGCCCAACATGTTGAGGGAAGGCACTACTCCAACGCAGCGAATAAGTCGGGCGAAGAAGGGCAAGCGAGTCCACGCTTGCAACCATCCGGGCTGCGAGAAGGTCAGTTCTTCCGTCGGGCAAAGCTCTCTCTCTTCGACATCCAACTGACATCTCTCTTTCCCTCCCCCCAAGATCTTCACTCGGGCAGAGCATCTGAGGTGAGGAAACAGTAGCGTCATCCCGGCGTTCGTGAGCTTCAGCTTCGGACAGGCTTCTAACTGCAAATCTTAGACGGCATCAGCTGAACCACAGCACCGAGGTGTTCTACAAATGTGATATGTGTGAGAGGACGTTTGTCCGGCAAGATCTATTGACTCGACATACAGAGCGGCAGTACGGCCCTTTCATCCCCAAAACACACACGGACACAATGTAGCCCCGCTAATACCAGGGGCCAGCGCAACACAAGCCCGGAAGGCCGTCCAGACACTAGCACTAGCACAGCGGCATCGTCAGTTCTCAAGTCATTTTGGCATTAACGCCATCACGGTATTGGCGCCACCACCGCCGCCAGACTATGGCGGGAATGCACACGTTTTTGATGCGAATACTCGACTTCCGAGCCACAGCCAAGATGCGAATATCCTAGGCTCGCACCCTCAACACCAGCAGCAGCAGCACCAACAGCAACAGCAACATTCTTCCTCATCGGGATCAATAGTGGCGAGCTCAATAGCCGGATATGCGCCGAGTTATTCGGCGCCGATTTCAATACCGATCTCACAACCGCCGGATGTTCCGCCAGACTTTTCACCTTCGGATGCGGCGGCGCCGTCGTCCTCGGGACTGCGAGGAGCTCACCTTCCGTTTCACTTGCAGCATAACGAGCCCCAACGGCAATCGGAACAGTACATGATCCCGGGGATATCTCACGGAGAAGCGCTTAGAAGACCTTCGGCACTAATCATGGATCAGCAGCAGCAACAACAGCAGCAACAACAGCAGCAACAGCAGCAACAACAGCAGCACATGTATAACACGGGCGCCCCCCGATCATGGGACGATTACGAATGGCTATTCGAGGCTGGATATCCGGACCAGGTTGTGATGGAGATGAACCAGAATCAGGTGGCGTACTTACATCCGTTGGAAATTCAATATTACGCCACCGTGGGTGAAGGGTCGGCGATCAAAGGTGGTAGCGGGGGAACACCGCCGTTCTACCACCCGCTGGACGACGCAGTACTCTCGCACGTCTTGCTCCTGGTGGGAGACACGCCGAATCTGCACACGGGCAATGTCGGAATGGCAGCAATGCAACGCTATCTTCGGCTTTACTGGACGGATTTCCATCCGCTGTTTCCTCTTCTCCACAGGGCCACCTTTGTTCCGAATGTGCAGATGGTGATGTTGGTGGCAATCGTATTGGCTATCGGAAGCTCCTATGTGGACTCGGAGGCCAGCCATTTTGCTATGGCGGTGTACGATAAAGTGAGAGGGTGGATATTGAACGTAAGGGCCACGGAGCTGGCGATCGATGGGATGGGATCAGGCGCTGATTTTTTTTGGAAAGTCCGAAGAGTTTTCATCACATAGTCCAAGCGTTCTCACGCAGCAGCTCATACTATTGACGGACGTGTTTGGAAAAATGCGGTCGACAAGGTCTCATTTGGAGGGAAGTCAGCTGGACTTCATTCTGTTGAATGTGAGTGGAAGCCGTGGCAGATATAACCGTGGGGAAGGGAAGGGAAGGCGCTGACAAGCACTTCCAGAATCTTCGGAGGAGCCAGAGCCTGAACAGCGACCCGCTACAGAGCATCCGGAGATGCCATCGGTCGGGACAGGAGTTCGATTACGAGGCCGAATGGCAATCGTGGATCGACCTGGAGGCTAAGAAGAGGTTTTACCATCACCGCACTCGCTTTTGTTTAATTCGCATTTAGAGCTAACTTTACTAGGGTTGCGCTTCTCTTTTTCTATTGGGATACCCAGCAAGCGACTCTCTTTGGCAGCGACATGTGCCAGACCATCTTTGACGTACGCATTCAACTTCCTTGCGACGAGTACCTCTGGGGCGCCAATTCACCCAACGAATGGCTCGAGCGGATAGACAGCGCGCAAGACGGCCAAGGCTTCCTGGACACCCTCAAAATCTTCCTGGATGGCCGCCGCGATCCGCCATCGCTTTCACCCTTCAGCACCGTGCTGGTTCTCCACGGCTTGATTGCAGTCGGCTTGGACCTGCAGCGACGGACATCCCCGGTGTCTCTGGACGCAGATGACTCGGCAACGAAGCAAGCCCGGATATCACGCGGGCTCGAAATCTGGCGGGGACAGTTCGAGGCGCTAATGCCACAGGTGCTCGTGCAGAGCTGGTACCAGAAGTTACTACTCATGTTCCATATGTCGCACATCTCGCTGCATACCAACCGGCAGGTGCTGCTCGCGGCGGCCGGCGATCGTCGGTTCTTCCGGCGCAACTCCAACGACTTCTATCGAGCCAAACACGAACTGCAACAGTGGCTCGCATTGCCTTCCGCGCAGCTGGCCACCTGGCACGCCGTGCAGATTCTGCTCAGATACCTCAGCTCGGCGCAGATGTACCAGCAGGACCTCTACGTTACATGGTCGACGTATTTGGCCGCGCTGATCTGCTGGGCGTATGGCCAGAGCGAGGTGCCAGACCAGCAGCAGCAGCAGCAGGACGAGCCCGTGCCGTGGGAGCTGGAGCAGGACATGCGCATCTACTTGCAGCAGATGAACACAGATAACTGGGAGAATCTCGGACACGTGCGGAGACATTACAGGACGAGGACGAAAGGGCTACTGGCCATGGTGGGCGACACGATGAAGATGGCTAGGTGGGGGCTGGTGCAGGAGGGGCTCGAGATCCTGAAGAGACTAAGGGATCAGAAGAGCATTAACGTTTGATTATTTGGATTTGGATTCGGATTGCTGGGCCGCTGGAGCTGGTTACCACATCATCATATCACCATCATCACTACCATCACTATCACAAAGCTCTCTTATATGCTTGCAACATGGCACTTTTTTTATTGATATTTATTCCTTCTGGTTCTTTTTTTTTGGCTTTTGGCTTTTGGGTCTGGGATCTTATCTTATCTTATACTAGGGAATTGGCGTGGCTTTTGGTTAGGTTTTTCTTATGTACGGTGCGGTGCGGTGCGGTGCGGTTTTTCCTTACGGTCTTTCTGGAGTCTCTTCTGGTTCATCTCTTCTTCTTCTTCTGATTCTTTCGAAATTCATTTTATTTTTCGTTTCATCCCGCCGCATGTGCATGCAATCTATCTTTTTTTTTTCCTTCCTTCTTTTTGTTCTCTTGGGCTTTCTTTTTTCCATAGCAGCCTTTCTTTAAGTGTTCAAATATACCGTTTTCTGTTAGTAAATATCATTATCTGGCCGGACTATCTACTTAGCTGGGAGCCTGGGAACGGAAGTGGTGGTGGTGGTGGTGGATGTGGTGGATGTGGTGGATGTGGTGGATGTGGTGGATGTGGTGGATGTGGTGGATGTGGTGGATGTGGTGGATGTGGTCATTGGTGAATGTGGTGGTGGAATTGCTGTCGATGTATGATGTCGATATATAGTACATAAAGTAAGTATCAACTGGAGTCTTTCAAGCATATACAAGGCTGCCGTGGTGAATGAACTGGAGACTTCAATGCAGATGATTCCCCATGAAAGTTTGCAGTAGAGAGGAGTATTTTCCGTCGGGCGGCGTTCGTTTCGGGATCCGATCGAGTTGGTGACCAGAGTGGTGATATTGTTAGCCTGGCGTGCCCTGGGCACCAGCCTTAACTGGGTACCAGGCTGAGCCCCCTGTACATACCAACTACTATTCCGCTATTCCGCGCGCACTTGACGTTGACTTTCAAGTGCAAAGTCAAGTGCAGGAATCGGAGAAACGTATCCGATTCCCTTAGGCCGCTCGGGGTATGAATTAGAGCACAGCCGATCTTCACTTCACTTCACTTTGCTTCACTTCTCACGAACTGCCCTTGGTGACCCCGATCCGCTATGGATATGGCTGCTCAAGGTACGGAGAGGACAAAATCAGCCCTAGTATATAGAGGAGAGTACCTACTTGCCTTACTCTTACTCTTACTCTACCTATGGCATATGCACATCAGAACCTAACATCAGAACCTAACATCGGAGACAATGTATGCCACAAGTATACCACATTTATGTATAATGTATGCCATTAATATGCCGTATGTATGCTATTAGTATGTATGCTATATGCCATTAGCATGTATGCCATATGTATGTATGCCATACATACCGTAAAGTGCACTGCTACTGCGAACCACTTACCAGGGAAGTGAAAACGTGAGCTCTGAAGTGCCTGCGTCACAGCGGCGTCGGTCAGTCGAAAGGATGGGGGCCATGGGATACGCGTCCACCACCGTCCGTCCGCTCGTCCTCGTTCTCGTTCTTCCTCGCTCCACAACCTGCGTCCGCCGCTACCATCGGGTAAACTTTCTCCGGCGTGCGGCGTATGCGGGGGATCTGGTTCGAAAAGAAAAGAAAAGAGAAAGAGGGTATCCATGTGTGATGTGTGTCCCTTCAACTCCTCCTGTCCGTTTTGTCCCGCTCCAACCTGTTAGGATTCTCCTTGATTGGAAGCGCTTTGTTTGGGATGTAAGGGGTTGCTGGACCATCAGGAAGGAAGGCAGGTAGGTAGGATAGACGAGAGAAGGCTCCCCACTCCCCACTTCGTCTTCAGGCGCCTGCCTTGTATGTACTGTACGTGTATCCCTGATTCCCTTATCCCACGTTTTTTTTGCGTTGATTCCTCCGGTGAGCAAACGGAAGGTGGGGCGAGGCTAGGGGCTGCACTCTGGGAGGGGAGGGGAGGGAATAGGAGGGGGGTCATCGGAACAGATGGCCCACGGGCAGTATAATCTTCTTCTTCTTGCAGTAAGTACGTTGCACGAATACCTACTTTCCTACCGGCCATCGGTGTTTCCACCGTCCTTCTCCCAGACGAGACGAGAAGAGACGATGTACTCTACCAGCCAGCCGTAATGAGATGCAAGAATTGGCAGGTGCAATGCTTTCCGTGCATGCATTGTGACCTCGATTCTCTCGATTCTCGGGTGATTGGAGATGACTCGTAACTAGTACCCCTCTTTGACCCTAGATGTCCAGTCCAGTCTACAGCCCACATCCGTTCACGGGACCTGGACGCCCGCTCAACTGTCTGTACATAGCCGTGATGATGTGGGTGACTGAGTGAGTGCCTGAGCTTCTAAAAGGCAAGATACGTTCAAGTCTTTTTTTCCTGAAGAACTGGCTCGGAGTTTTTGGTGGTGGTGGTACCGTAGTAGTGTGCCCTAAATGTTTAGTTGTTGACACTGCACACTGCACCGCATCGAAGCGCGCATGCAAAGTAAGATGCATATGTATGTGTGTGTGGTGTGGAGATGGGTTGTTCGGAAGCTGACGCCGCCTTTCCGCTGCGATAAATGAATATTATCCATCTTCCGGGACGGATCCGGCCTCTGTGCTAGTGGCATAAGACGGTTGGAGTCCAATGAAAGCTTCATTGGGCCAGTGATTACCGGTATAATGGGGTCCGTCCGATAATGATTGGGTAGAAGCTCCTTGGGGGGGAGGGGGGGAACGTATATCTGACTGAGCTCGGGCGGAACGCAATGCAACGCATGTTGCCTCTTCGGCGCAGGAAAACTCGCGAAAATCGTAAGTTAAATGTTGGGCTAGGCGTCCATTAATCTGGGCGGGAGCTGTCGGATATGAACGACGGACCGAAAGGTGCGATGTGGGGCATCTAATCTTCGCTCATGCTATATTGCAATTGTCAATTGTCGAGGTCCTTGTCGTCGTGGCTATAAACCATCCTCGCCAATTATGTTCCATGCAGCCAGTCAGCTGCGAGGAAGCGGGCAAAAATCCAGTCAAATGTGAAGGTGCTATCATCAGAAAGTTGTAGGATGCGCTGCGCCGCATGTTTGCATCTCAAAGCAGGTGACGCTATTCGTTACCATTAACCACGCTGTCGAGATCGCACAGTAACAAGCTTGGGGGCCGGACGATTCAGTTCGCTGCACGGCGGCGGCGGACAACTTCGGATCGGTGATTAGAAAATCGTGACCACGATGAGTGTGATGTATGCGACGCACTCGGCGCGGGTCCATCCGATAAAGCTGCTTACAGTAAGCATGCCCTGACATAACCGAGTGATTTTCATTGGGGTCCATTCGCCCCCAACTGAACCTTCTTTCAGCTTCAAGGACAAAACTCTCTGGTTTCCTTCCAAGAGACACCTCGGCATTAGGGGTAGCGGTTCTGGAGCTCTGTTTTCAGCAACATCGTTATGCCAATATTTGCCAACGGTTTACGGTGGAGGACGCTCATCGTCTAGCTAAATGATCAACGGACTGCCTGTGAGTGAGATGTGGTGTTAGCATACGGAGCATTAAGTTAACAATCAGGACAGGTCCATATCACCCTTCAGCCCTGGCTTTCATGATTGTTTTTTTTTTCGTGCCTCGGATATGTATCTCGCACACAAGGCAACAAGGATGGGTCCCTTTGAAGGGCAGCCCGAGCAACAGAAACCCTCAGCTGGAATGCCCTATTGCCGGTCGGCAACAGGCCTGTGTCAAGAAGTTGATGATACAAGCAAGATTGAGGTCGTGACTCTATCAAAAGTTTGGTGTTCCTCAACCGGTTCATAGTTTCTGGTTCGCATTGCCGAAATCGTGCGAGTCCCGCGAATCACGGTCGAAGTGGGAGGAACCTTTCAGAGGTAAGGGAATCCCATCGATATCGTTGCTATGACATTTGTTAATGTTTCCTAGCAGTTCGCAATTATCGCTCCGTCCATTCCAGAATCCAGACGTTTCCCAGAGTCAGGGAAAGCGTAATGGGGTGGGTGGAGGCGACATCCCCTTTATACCTGAGAGCAGCGCATGCAAGTGTTGTTGCAGAGTCATCCGGAAAGGGCGATTGTTCGACGGAGATCTGGTGCCTTTTCCTTTTCCTTGGCAGCGCCTTCCCAAAGCCATCGTTTCGACACTTTCCTAGCTGAACCCAGATTCCGCACACCATATCCGCATCCATACGCCCTCAAACCTTAATCAGGCGAAGACGCAACAGCGGCTGTCCTTGCTTTCCAACCAGCATCAGGGTTTCGTCTGCTGCGGCATTCCCGCCCGCCCGCATCCCTCCCCCGGCTGGGTTATGGGATCCAGGTGCTTATCGGCTGTCGTTATGGGTGAGCCCGATGGCTCGGTAGTCGGTGACTTCCGTTAGCGGACAATCCGGGAGGCGCTCGCTCCAGCGGGCTGCAAGGAAGGAGAAAATAGAAGGTCCCCATGTGGGTGTCCAGTAGTCACCGGCGCTGTCTGGGTGTGCACGGTCGATCCATCAACAAGCGGTCCTGGGACAGTTGTGAAATACCGCGGGAAGCGTCGTCTGTCCTTGCACGAAGGAGAGATGGGGACGTGGGTGAGTGGATGGTGTTATAACTCAGAGTTTACTGGAAACCGGAACCCCTTGGCAGCCGACCAGCGACAGCGACAGCGACTCAGATCCCTCACAGCCGCGGGATGAACAGCAGTGCAAGGGCCTTTTCGCTATTGTTTCCGCCCGTTTCTGAGCGGGCTTGTTACTCCACATAGGCTATCTGGCCCGGCCTTCCGTGTCTAATCTCCTGACGAATTCCTGCCGACAAGGATGTCGGAGATGGATACTGAGTGGAGAACTTGCCCTGGGTGCGAGAAGTGATATCGATGCAATGCAGCTCGCTGGACGGAAAGGTTACTGGTTTCAGGACATGGGAAAGGGTATGTATGATCCAGAAGATTGGTAGGCAGCCGGATGCAGTTAATCGCGGCTGTAGGGAAGGTTCTCCTGTCATGGCCGGGTGATCTGCAGGAACGGATGAGGAAGGAATTGATGAAGGCATGCGTGGCGAGAGTGGAGACGTGGAGGCCGTTCAGTATATGACGGGCGTACTATCTGCTTGGGGAATTTCGAATGCAGGAACTGGTCCGAGAAAGCGGCAGTCGATAGTGCTCTATGCTTGGTCCCGAGAAACGGAACACCCATGGTCTTTCCCCCGCCCACCACCCCCCTGGAGTCCCTACAGCGGTCCTACTCTACAATCCCCAGCAGGAACCGGAGACGCCGAAAACGTCTCTTAATTACGATAAATACCGCTGCTCGCAGTGCAGTACCTTGTTCTAGAGGGACCTCTCTTCCACCCTCCGATTGGAAACCCTCCGATCAACTTGCATCGGTCTCCGTGGAACATCACCAGCCAACTACGAACCGCCGGTTTTAAATACGTCGGTACCGGTATCCGTATGTAGGCTGCCTTAGCCTCCGCTCGGCTATGCCACGAGCCGCTCCCCACACAAAACCCCCGGAATTCCGAGAAACCCCCGCTTCGGCCCGTCCCTCCTTTAGCATATGGGTATATAATTACGCCATCTCTCCAAACCCGCAGCTGAAACATCCCATCCTCCCCGCCCTCAACCCACTACACACAAGAGCCCCCATGTCGACCGACGCCGCCATAACGCCCGACGCGCGCGAGCGCCTGCGCATTCAGTTCCAAGCGCGAGTCCGCCCCGCATCCTGGCCACAAGCTCCCCGCTAACCCCCCAGCGTCCAGTCCCGTGGAAGAGCACGGCCGGCTATGGTCCGAACTCTGGGACGAGGGCTCGTTTCTCCCGTGGGACCGTGACGCGCCTAACCCGGCGCTTGTAGACCTGCTGGCAGAGCGTGGGACCGAACTGGGCCTCGGCGAGACCGCCGGGAAGAAGGCGCTTGTGCCCGTACATATACACCCCCGACTTTCCCCACACTATGAGTGTGTACTCACGCTCCGGTTAGGGCTGTGGCAAGGGCTACGATGTTCTCCTGTTCGGATCCTACGGGCTCGCGGCAGCGGGCGTGGATATCTCCGAGAGCGCCGTGAAGATGGCGCAGGCGTGCAGCGAGCAGGCGTTGAAGGAGAAGCCGATCTCCGGCGCGGCCGCGTTCGTGACTGCCGACTTCTTCAAGGACGAGTTCGTCAAAGAGCTGCACGCTGAGGAAGGCTTCGATTTCGTCTACGACTACACCGTAGGTTGAGCCTGTGCGTGGTGGCAGCACTGAACTGACGGCAGATCCCAGTTTCTCTGCGCCCTCCCCCCGGATCTGAGGACTTCCTGGGCGAAACGCATGCACGAGCTGGTGAAGAAGGGGTCGGGCTATCTCATCTGTATTGAGTTTCCACTCTACAAGGGGATCGAGACGGGTGGGCCACCGTGGGGTCTCACCAATGCTGTCTACGACGAGCTGTTGGGTCTTGGGTTCGAGAAGCTGATCCATTACATGCCCGAGCGTACACACGAGGTTGGAAAGGGCACGGATTATATCACTGTATGGCGCCGCAAGGCCGATTAAGGGACGGACGGACGGATTCACTTGCTCGCCTCGTCATGCGGAGCTGTTCGTGTGCTATATAGAGAGATGTAATTGAACTATCCGACCCGAATTACCCTCCACCTCCAGCACCAGCCCCCTCCGTAAGCGCACCCAACAAGATTTCACGTAGCACCTCACGCTTCTCCTTCTCCCCGCGGATCATGCACGTTGCCGTGGCGATGAGTATGTGCCGCAAGTGCTCTCTCTCCGCCTCATCCGAAAAACACTCTTCAAGGCCCCGCTCGAATACCGTAAGTCTCCCGGCCTTCCTCTCGGCCATTAGGCTGACATATTTTGCGAGTACCACTGTTCGCTCGCCCGACTCTAATGTATCTAGCCGTTCTTCTGCCGTTGACGCAGCATTGCCGGTGTATTCGGCGCCTTCGTCCCCCTCCTTTCCTTCGTCTTCACCATCGCTGTGGGGAAGGTACGCAACCAGCTTCAGATGGTTGTACCGACTCCACTTCCCCCAGTACTTCCTCTCGTCCTTGATCGTTCCCGTGCCCTTCCACCGAAACTCGATATCGCCATATTTGAACCCGTACTCCCTCGTCAGCCACCCATTCCACGACATCTCCAGTCTCGGAACCGATGGGATCAGGGGCGCCGGGAGCTCGAGCGTCTCCGGAGCATCCGGAGCATCGGGCGTGATATCTGAGCAAGAGACAGACTTTCTTAACTGGTTCTGCTGGCGGATATACTCCCGGCCCGATTCGCCGATATAGCCAAAGCTGCGGAGGGGATATCGGGAAGGCAGGACGCCGCGCGGGTCGATGACTCCGGGGGCATTGAGGGATATTTGACCTTCCGTGCGCTCGCGCAACGTTCTGCGATTCTGATTCATCGGCCTGCCGCCTTCACCATCCTCGGCGTCGGCGAAGCCACTATCGACCCGACAGGGTTCCGTCTCGTTGCCCTCCTTCTTCCCCCGCAAAGATGCGGCGCTCCTCGACCGCCACATCCTCCTTCCCTTCTGCCCCTCCTCCTCCGTGGGCACAGCAAAACTCAACTTCCAGCGCCTCCAGAAAAAGCTGTTGTCTACAAGACAAACCACCATCCCCCGTCTGCCGCCGATCCTTAGGGTCTGCGGCGGACAATGCCAGCACACCTTTGGGGTGTGGAGGAAGTACGCCGGCGTCCGGGGATCGGTCTCGGGATCGTCGAGACACACCACGTCTCGGTCCCGGTCCCGCTTTTCCTCCGCCGGCGGCGGCTCGGAGCCACGCCATGGCCATGGCCACCGGATGGACCGCTGCGTTGCTGGCGGCTTTTTGACGATCGTGGCGGCGGGACAGAGTGTGGACAGCGAGTGGTCCGGGACTGTGTGGAAGATTAGGTGGTCCCCGCAGGAGCCCGTGTTGTAGATGTGGTAGGTTGTTGGAAGGCCGAAGGATTCCGGCGAGCTGTGAAGGCTGGTGGGATGGGGAGGAGGGGGGGTAATGGTTACGCTGGGCGTGGAGAGGGTGGAGAGGGCGGGGGACATGGTGGGAGATGGTTGGCGGAATGTTCTGATGTTCGATGGGTAGTTGCCTGTGTGTTCTGATATCCGATAGTTGTCCGAATCATGAATATTCTAATGTTCTGATGTTTGAATGTTCTCAACACTGGAGCACCTGCGCGCTGCAGATTCCCTTATATAATCTTCTAAGCAATTGATCTACACAGAGTACCTACACAACTGTGTGGCGGAGCAGTGTAACAGTGTTCCTGTGTAACTTAGGAAACGAAGCATCCACTGCAGTCCGCCTTATCAAGTGCAGGGATGCTGATGATGGACCTCGTGTGATTCAGAGTTTGGGCTGGCCAATAGGAAGGGCTGGAGACCACGCCGCGGACGGTGATTGTTGATGTCCGGTGCTGGGGGACGGATGCTTACGTTTGTACTTACATAGAGCATATGCCAGGAGTATGAAAGTAGTGTCGTCAAGTCGCTATTACGGTGCCGACGAGGGCGACTTCTTTGGGATTTCCGGACTCCGGACTCCCGTTCGGTGGTTGAGCACGACTTTTGATCTTGGGTACTTTCCAGGCAGGCGACGTTGTGGTAACATACCGTATCGGTTCGCCAGCTGCGTATGTGCAGACCGCCCACCCGGCCCCCGACTCCCGACTCCCGAATACCCCATTGACTCGAGCCCGAGCCCCGGAGCGAGAGCGAGAGAAAATCGATCCATTGCCGCATGCGACCTCACTCGAGTCCGAGTTGAAAAACAATCCAGCTGTTTTTTTGTGAATACGAATACCGAGCGCTGCCATTCTCTAGCGGTACTACGGTCGAATGCAATGATGATTAAACAAACATCAAAAAAAACGAATCTCTCGTGGCGAGCGCTGCATCGGTAAATCATCCGGTTCTGACATGCGATCACGGTACATACGGTGTATAGACCGGTACTCGGCCGATGCACTGTGGTGCCACTACTCTAGCGACCGGCCGGCCAAGACAAGGTTGATACGGTAGCTATCATGCGGAGGCGAAAGTTGAAACACCCCATCGCCGCTGCCAAGCATCACCACCGGCGGCCAGAAACGACGCTTTTCGCTCAATTCACGGGCAGTAGTAGTGGCGTTGGTGGCGTTGGTGGATGGTGATATTGGAAGAGTCACCCAGCGCCGACTCTTGAGTCTTCACCAAGGCTGAACCTCAGCTGGCGCCATTCATGATTCGGCCTGTTCGAATGCCAGATTTTACCCAGTGACAGGCGCCATGGGACCACCACGTCTAACCGTGGCAGAGTTTCACATCGAAGGAGGTCCCAAAGTTAGAACGCGATTCACGCTGAGACCCTGAGAATGTTGGCCCTCGATGGATCGGATCGTGGTGTTGCACCGACCGCCTCAGGTTACATACCTGACACAACTTACAACTTGCCTGCTTGCCGGCGGCCCACCGGTGACCGAGCGACCCAGCGATTGCATTCCTCCCGATTCTCAAACGAGACGTGCGGTAAAATCACATACGGTAAGGCACACTACTTCTTCTTTGTACCTGTACTCAATTGTCTCGATGCATTAGACTTTAAGGTTTATGTAGAGTACTAGATGACTTCATTAGTATTGGGATAGGCTGACGATAGGGGTTCAGCCTTGCCGTGCGACCCTCGTAAATTTCTCATTTTTTCTTCAAACCAGCGATTTAATTATTACCACAACCACTGTTCAAGGTGTTCTCTTTTCCCCGAGCATCTTTTGACACTGTCATCGTGATAGTTGTGGTGGTTGAGACCGTTGGGTGATGAGAGAGAGACCCTCTCACTATCATCAGCCTCGTCTTGCAGCGCCAAGATTCAACCTATCCCAATACTAATGAAGTCATCTAGTAGAGTAGGGAGATCATGGCACGTGTTCAACCGCCACTGCTCCCCACACCCCCCGATCTCGTGCAATCCGCCGTGGCCTGTCACAAAATCAAACTCGAAGGGCGCACTGAGAAAATTATGTAGAGTACATGCATGCCGCGCAGACGGTGATGGTAGGGAAACTACCGTACCTACGTCACGCTCTTGATCCTCTTCATCGGGAGATGGCTTGAATGGGGGAGGAGCAGCGGGAGTGACATCGGTTCCTCCACATCAGCGCCCCCCTCCTCCTCCTCTCGCCTCCTCTCCGCCAGCCTCCATTCTCACTCCTCTCGCTCCCACTCGAACGCCCCACCCGCTGCGTCTTCCAGGTTCCCAGCGACCTCCGGCCCTCCGGCACCCGCCAGCCCAGTCCCCAGTCCCCAGCACCCACTGCCCACACAAGTAGTAGCAAGAAAAAATCCAAGATGGCCTGACCAGCGATTAGTAACTGCACCGCTCGACGCACTTCCGCGGACAGGTTCACGACCCTGTCTTGAAGCGATCTCGATTCTCGCGGCTTGCCCCTCCCCGTCTGTCGCTTTCCGCACTTCCGCACTTCTGCCCACGGGATCTGCTGAGCCCTGCTGGCTTTTGCACTCGGGGGTGCTCCCGTATGGCACACACACCTCCGTTGTGCTCCACCCCTCCCATTTCCTCGCCATTATGTAGACTATCCGAGTCATGACTCATGATCTATAACTTCAGCGCCGCCGGGCCCCGGCGCCCGCATCGCCAGCCCTGTATGTGTGTACCAGTGCATACAAACCAGTATCTCTGTGTACATGTGATTGAAGCAATAGGTATTGGACATGTTTTGGCCTTGATAGTGACTATTTAGCTATGAACATTGATAGTTCGTGTAGACTACAAATATTCACAGAGAATCACTCATGTAGCCGAGACGGAGAGTCGAGATTGAACTTTCTAGAACGATGAGCAACATCCCCGACCCCTTTGGTAGCAAGCTACAACACAGGTTTACACGAAAATATACTCCGCCACTGTGTTTGCCCACTGGTCCGGGCATTCAAGTATTGCTTGGGTTTTCCTCCAGGGCGCTTCAACACGATCCAAATTCCCAACCCCAAAATTGTATATTCCGCCCTCGCCGTAACGACATTCTCTATCTACCAGCTACCTAGGTACCGAGCCAGCTTACGAGCTCTACAGAAGAAAGCGCATACAGCAGCATCATGAATATACCCAGATGGCTCTTCTCGGCGGCATCACCCACTGAGACCAGTTCTTGCCTTATCCACGCGTGAGAGCACCACCTTATCACACCAGTTACACCAGCCCCTCACGTCGCCGTGCCACTACCACAGTCGCATCGTTAGCCAAAACCCACCAGAAAAGAATGCGTCCGCTCAACATACCTCTTTGACAAGTGCGCCTCCCTTGCCATCCCATTCCACCGGTCTCCCACCGACCTTCCCACTCCTCTCACGCACAATCTTCAGATTCTGCGCAGTCTCTTCCCAGCGCTGCTCACCGGTCGATTCCAGCGCCTCAGCCAGCTCGCTCCACTCAGTCTCACCGTCCAGCACCACCACCTCCTCCCGCCCCACCTCCTCATCCTCCCCATCATCCCCATCATCCCCATCAGCCCCCCATCCCCCGCTCGGAATCCCCGAGCACTCCGGTCCGCGTGCACAGCTGACCCTCCCCCCACCAGTAACCTTCGAGCCTCCACTAACAAACTGTCCATTCCCGCCGCGAACCAGTGTGCGCACGTCGCGCATCGACTCGCCCGCCCAGTTATCGCACAGCAGCTGGTACGAGTAGTCCTCGGCGCTGACGTGCTTCATGCAGTGGGCACAGATCCAGACGCTGGTTGCGCAGGCGCAGTATAGGGTGCGCGCCTCGTAGGCGGGGAGCGCGGCGGACGGGAGAAGCGCCGCGTCCCGTTGGCATGGAGGGCACAGCCGCCGCAGCCGTGAGTTCAGGTGCGTCGGGTGCGGCTTGCGGATGCAGTCCTTTATATCATATGTGTAAGGTGGGGATAGGAGTGTGAAGGGGCGAGGGGGGGTTACGCACTCGGCAGATTGGCAGGCTGCACCGGATGCAGCCTTGTACTAGGTCCTTTGGACAGGGACGTTTGATGGGGTTGGTGAGCCGTGCGGGGCCCTCGGCGGGGGTGGTGGCGGCCGCGAGCTCCGCGGCGGCTACTACCTCGGGCCACCCGCAGCGCAAAGAGAGCGTGAGGAGTGTGTGGCGGTAGTCGGTGAGTGTGCGGTGCAGGTGGCGGCACGTCGAGGCGAGATTGTGGAGATCGGTGCGGTCGAGGTATCGCGCTAGGCCGGCGATGAAGGGGTAGAGGACGATCGCGGCGCTGAATGGATGGTTCTGGTTCATTTCGGGCATGGGGGCGGTAGGAGCTGCGGCCGCTGGCGGGGCTTGCTCAAGGTCGACAAAGACCACCATGGCTTAGTGTTGGGAGCTCGAAAGGAAGAAACAATGGGTAATTGGGAGATGTTTGACAGGTGATGAGAGGGGGCAGCAGCAATTAAATCAAGAGTAGAGGGTGGCTCTGTGGACGGTGGTTTTGTGAGGGGTAGTAGAGCTGGATATTGTGGCGGGGATGACGGTGATGCATGGAGCGGGGGATGGGATCGTCATGACATGCGTAGTAGGCGCGGAGCTTACAGCGGTAATTGGAGCATCCAAGGCCAAATGAACGAATAAACGCACAAAAATCAAACTCATACCAACCCCACACACCGCCCCATCCCCGCACTTCATCCCCACACTCGACGATGGACGAGCTCCTAGCCCGACATCGCAAAGAGCTCCGCGACCTGCAATCCCGCATAACTGGCAAGAAAAAAGAAGCGACAAAGAAGACGCGCAAGGCCGTGAACGCAGAATGCGAGAACCTCGAAGCCCAGACCAAGGCGCGACACGCGATCGAGATCCAGCAGCTTGAGAGCGGTGGCGTCGCCAATGGCGAGGTCGGTATCTCCGCCGTCGATGCGAACACCAATGTCTACATTCCACCACCGACGTTATCGGACACGGAGCCGGAGCCCGAAGCAACAGCAACAGCAACCGAAACCGCGGCGCCACCCTCTGTTGAAACCGCGCCACCCACGTCAGAGCTGTCTGGCCGAGCAAAAAAGCACAACCGACAGAAAGCGCGTCTCGCACGGCGCGCTGCCGAAATCGCCGAACAATCGGAAGCGGCCGCGCTCGAAGCAAACTTTCTTCCGAATCTCCGCGAGCGCGAACTCGACACCATGACCGCGCTGTTCAAGAAGAACGGCCTCACGGAGTACCGCATTGCGCCCGATGGCCACTGTCTCTACTCCGCGTTTGCGCACAACTTGCGCACGGCTGGTGTGGAGCTTGACACCGCACCGCGGGACTACAAAGAGGCACGGATAAGGTGTGCTGAGTTCATGAAGGAAAATCGGGCCGATTTCGAGGCGTTTCTGGAAGAGGATTTTGAAGCACACGTTAGGAAGGTGGAGAGTACTGCCGAATGGGGCGGACAGACGGAGGTGATGGCACTGGGGCGAGCATTTGGTGTCAAGGTCAATGTGCTGCAGGCGGAAGGGAGAGGGGTGGAGAGCATGAACGAAGATGCCACAGGCGGCGAGGTGTGGCTGGGTTACTATAGACACTCGTTTGGACTCGGAGAGCATTACAATTCTCTGGTCAAGGAGAAGGCGTAGAGCCGATGGATCCGCAATCATGGATCTTGCATCAATCAGGTATATAGACATCCTATACTTCGTCCGTTCGACCGTGCATCCTTTACAATTCCCGTCACGCAATCCTCCTGCCACCATCTATGACCCACGGTACGTGCTGTAGCTCCACCCCGCCAACAACAATGGGATATGGTAATGCTCTCCCGTACTCCTGACCCTAAACGCAATCTCCACGTACGGGAAAAACGTCTCCTGTGCAGTCCTGGCAAAATACTCCTCGACCTCGAAGCGCATCTTGTATGCCGCGCCTTCCTGGAGAACCAGCGCCTTCCCCGTCTCCGCCGTGTCCCAGGCGGTGACGCGCCCATCCGAGTTCGTCAGTCCGGTTGCGAGCACCGTAGCTTCCGACGCGATCGCCGGAGAGGTCGTCGATGCGAACACGAGGAGCGTGCATTTGACGTTTTGTGCGGGCCGCCCGATCGTCGTGTCGAGGATGTGGCAGGTCACTGGGGGTTTGGCGGGAGTAGACATCTGCGAGGTTATTTGTGAAAGGCGCTGAGCTGTTGTCGGTGTTGTCGAGGAGGAGGACGGTGGTGTTGGTGTTGGTGACATGGGTATGGAACTGAGCTGTGGTCACTGACGGGGGTGGAGCTTTAAATGCGGAGCGCGAGCTGAATCACGTGGCGGCGGTTCCCGATACAATGGATCGAGGACTGGAGTGATCCCTCAAAGCGATACGTAAATAAGCAGCTGAAGACCTGGTCTATGTATGCGATATCCTTATCTAGTCATCATTCCCGTCCATCGTAACTACAACGGATTCACCGGTCCCCAAATGGGCACATTCCAGCTGGAGGCATGAGCTCGAGATCCGGCCATTGCTGGATTCCGAATGGAGTTCGAGCGCGCATGCATGCTCTGACAAGCAGAGAGTTCGCATGTGGTTATCGGCTGTACTGTGCTCGAGATATTTCTCTGGAGTTGGCAGATGAGGTCACGTCGTGTATCCCAGATCGTTGTGGCTACGTGCGGCTCTCGCACCCCACCAAAACCCCCCATTCATTCGCCACGTCACTTGTGCTCCAGCCTCCATTTCATTCAACTCAACTACACAGCAGAAATCCATCCATCCCCCTCGAAGCACCGTCCGCAAACCCCACCTACCACGAACGCAACCCCGCCATATCCTCTTCAGCAAAATGTCCGCCATCCACATCGACGCCAACCTCGACCCGCTAGAACCGTCTCTGCAGCCGATCCTCGACCAGACGTCGCTGCGCTGGATCTTCGTCGGCGGCAAGGGCGGAGTCGGCAAGACGACCACGTCGTGTTCGCTCGCGATCCAGCTCGCCAAGGTGCGCGAAAGCGTGCTGCTCATCTCCACCGACCCCGCGCACAACCTCTCGGATGCGTTCAACCAGAAGTTCGGCAAGGAGGCGCGGAAAGTCAATGGCTTCGACAACCTGTCCGCGATGGAGATCGACCCATCTGGGTCGATCCAGGAGCTCCTCGAGAGCGCTGAGGGCGCCAACGCCGGAAACCCCCTCGGTGGCGTCATGCAGGACATCGCCTTCAGCATTCCCGGAGTCGACGAGGCCATGTCCTTCGCCGAGGTGTTGAAGCAGGTGAAAAACCTGTCCTACCAGGTCATCATCTTTGACACGGCGCCGACCGGACACACGCTGCGGTTCCTGCAGTTCCCGACGGTGCTGGAGAAGGCGCTGGGGAAGATCAGCGAGCTGAGCGGACGGTTCGGGCCGATGCTGAACGGCATCCTGGGCTCGCAGGGTGCTCCGCAGATGGAGGAGATGATGTCGAAGATGCAGGGCATGCGCGAGGTCATTGGCGAGGTTTCAAAGCAGTTCAAGGATACCGAGTTGACAACGTTAGTGCACCGCTCCGAGTGAGGCTCTGTGCTTGCCATATGCTGACGAGTTTACCTGCAGGTTTGTCTGTGTGATGATTGCCGAGTTCCTGTCACTCTACGAGACAGAGCGCATGATCCAGGAGCTCAACAGCTACGAAATTGATACTCATAGTGTCGTCGTCAACCAGCTGCTCTTCCCGGCGCAGGGCAGCGCCTGCGACTACTGCAACGCGCGACGGAAGATGCAGAAGAAGTACTTGGGCGAGATCGAACAGCTCTATGAGGACTTCAACGTCGTCAAGGTTCCTATGCTCACGGAGGAGGTACGAGGAACGGAGAAGCTGAAGAGCTTTTCCGAGATGCTGGTGAAACCTTACAATCCACCAGGGGAGCTGTAGATATGGCGCAAGAGAACCGTTAGAGGGGATCGAGAGCGATAGATACGAATCGTATCGTCTGGGTTTCGGAGGGGGGTTTGTCGAAAAGACCGTGGAATGGGCGTTCACTGCATGCCAATACCGCATGCTTGCCTTTTGCTTTTTTCTTCTGTAGCCGTTTCAAGGTCAATATTGGACCACTTCTATCTATTTCCACCGGTGAAGTACCTACTTCATACTACATCATAGTAGTCTGCATTAAAAGCCCTCCTGTTATCTATTCCTCAAAGTCCAGACATCTTCTCCTACATAGATACGTCTTCCTCGCATCTTCCCTTGCATTTCCCCTCGTCTCGGACTCCCTTCCCAAGACCCTCCCGATGCACACAGCAGTTCGAAGCCGTCAGCATTCCCCCATCCATACAGCCAAGCAATAAGTGCATACCAAGCCGCGAGTTCAGAGTTCAGACCGCCTCGGTATTTCGGTATCCACTTCGCTCGACTTGCTTCCAAACTCTTTTTTCCTTGCATTATCCGTCTCCACCGTATGATACCCACATATCATATGTACCTATTGTACATACATGTGAGTATGATACCGGTATGTATGTAGGAGACAGCGAGCCGCCGGATAACACGGCAAGGCGAGACGAGACGAGACGAGACCTTGTTTCTCGCTTCTGTCTTGCGTCAGTCAGTCGGTCCGACAGGCGACCTGGGACCCGTCCTGGGCAGCCGGTGGAAAACATAGTTGAATAAGCTCTGACGTTGAATTGGTGACAAGCTTTCTTTTCTTTCTTTGTGAGCTGCTGGTCATTTTCTCTCTCCACTGTCCAGCCCCCCCTCGTTAGGCCAGCGCGGGCCGAGAAATAGCCCAGACCCGGCTGCTCGGAAGGAAACGGCCTCGACAACGACGACGACGACCAGGGGCCTGGGGGATATCTAGCTGCGTAGATCGCACGCCAAGAAAATGCGTCAGAGAGGCCCGTGGAGTCAGCGTTCTCGCAAAGTTCCCGGTCCAGCACGACTTGGGTTCTTATAGATACTGATCGGGTGCTTAGGTGATTCTTGTTTTGTTGGTGCTTAACCGGATAGGCTGAGCGCTGTTGTGAAATCCACGCGGCGAGGAGCTTTGCGGGTCCGATTGCTTTGAGGTCCCTGGAACAACACTATGGTAGATACGAAACTCGCGCGGCCATGTCCGGCCCTGCCAAGCTTCGATAACCTCGAACTACGGCTGAGTATATACCCAGGTATGTATATCCGTGCTGCCCTCTATATATCCTCCATGGTTTTGCAGGTATGTATATCCGGTGTGCTTGCGCTCGCTCGCTCGCATGCATGGCACATGCCCCCTCCCAATCCCCCCCAACGAAGCGAGAATCAGAGTTCTCGGTTTTTTCCGAGCCCCCCCCTTATGCAGAAACATATGTGAGAGGAGGAATGTTGATGTGTAAGGAGGGCGGCTCAATTGGTTGGCCTTTCTCCTTTGTTCGTAGTATTGGAATTCAATACTGCACGACATCAAGGGGCTCGTCCGTCCGTGAATGGTGCGTACCGTAGTAGGTTTCCCAAGACGGTCGTCCTGCTGCAACAAAGACAGCTCATGTATGGGCACGAGGACGTTGGAGCACGGAAAGTATCTCCATAACATGAGACGCAATGTGGTGGTGAGTGTGGTCTGTACATATCATACTTAAAACTGACAGGCGTGGAGGAGGAGGAGGAGGAAAACACAAAAGGAACTTGGAGTCTTGGACGCATCGCAAGTCTCCGGGTTAGATCCGATCCCCCCCCAGGATTTGAGGCATGGGATTGATCTAGTCTGGCCTTGGACTTCCTAGTTGCCGCTGCTGCCGTGCTGCCGGTATGGTACTAGCTTTTTTGCGAACATACAAAAAGCTCCGAGATCCTGTCTGCGGGCACTTTTGGGTTCTATTATAACCACCCACCTATCCATCCTCTCCGCCGTCATTCCGTATTCTGCATTTGAACTTCAGTCAACTCAGAAGGATTCGGCTGCCTATTGATTGTTTGCCGGAAATTTTTATCATCCCGGCCCACGCTTGACCTAACTTACTTGCTTGCCGAGCGAGAAGTTGTGCCCCTGCCGAAATCCGCCACCGTTTCTCCGGTTGATCGGCTATTACGCCATCCTGATCTGGGCCTGTGGGGCCGTTGTGGTGAGTTTCAATTGTTGATTTATCACCCGTAGGTTAGAATATATACTGAGCCATAATTATAGAAAGCTTTTGAGCTCAAAGTTATTTTATTCAATACCCACCATCCACCATGGCGTCAATGCCACTGCCCGCACTCAATCGAGTCCAGTCATCCACAGGGCCCACCTCACCTCTAGCTCGTGTTCCTACATCATCGATACCAGAGATGCCCAATGCACCCCCGCCAGCCATGCTGGAGCGTCAACGAACCAACAGCACCTCCAGCCGGGCCTCAGATGATACCGAATGCACCTCATGCTCTGTATCCTGTGGTGATGCCGTACGAGATGAACAGCCACAGCTCGGCCCCGTGGTCTCACGGCTAGTCGCCGGTCCATCACGCATCATTCCCCGCCTGAAGCGGCGCGGCCTCTTCGCCACACTCTCTGTCGTCCCCGAAATCGAGGACCCGTTCCAGTACTCGCGGCTAACGAAGAAGATGATCACCTTGGTGGTAGCGATCGCTGCTGCAGCCGCGCCCATGGCCTCAGCAATCCTGTTCCCGGCGCTGGCCGAGATCTCGACGGAGCTGAATGCGAACCAGACCACGACGAACTTGTCGGTGGCGCTGTACATGCTCGGCATGGCGATCTTCCCGCTGTGGTGGTCCAGCTTCGCCGAGCGCGTCGGCTACCGCACTATCTTCCTCATCTCGTTCATGCTGTACATAGTCTCGAACGTCTGCTGCGCCGTTTCGGTCAACATCGGCATGTTCATTGCGTTCCGCGTGGCGTCGGGGGCGAGTGCCGCCAGTGCTCAGACCATCGGCGCCGGGGTCATCAGTAGTGTCTGGGAGGTGCGGGAGCGCGGGAGAGCTATGGGGTACTTTTATCTGGGACCGCTGATGGGACCGCTACTATCGCCGATTATTGGTGGCGCCCTGACGCAGAAATTTGGGTGGAGGAGTACCATGTGGTTTCTTACCGCGTTTGGTGCGGTGGTCGCCGTCGGGATTATCTTCTTTCTGCCCGAGACGCTGAGAGAGCCGAAGAATAACCGCCCGCTGCTCTCGGAGAAGCAGATGCTTGAGAAGGGCGATTTGGAGGCGTCCGGTGCGAATGAGGGTGTGAGGGGCCTCCAGAGAACCCTCAGTAAGGTCTCCACGAAGACCAGGCGTAAGGTGTCGCAGTCCGTCGTCACAATTAAGGTCCTCTTTGTCGATCCCCTACGCAGTCTCTTGTATCTGCGATTCCCGCCAGTATTGATCACCGTCTACTGGGCATCACTCGCCTTTGGCGCTCTTGTGAGTTCACCCCGCGCTCCCATATTTTACACCAACTAACCACCACCACCACCACCACGTAGTACATGCTCAACGTCTCGGTGCAAAAAAACTTCGCGAAGGAGCCGTACAATTTCCAAACCATAATCATCGGGCTGCTCTACATCCCAAACTCGATCGGCTACGTTCTCGCGTCCGTTCTCGGCGGCTCCTGGAACGACCTAATCATGCGTCGTGCGGCGCTCAACCGACGGGCGTCATCGGACACGCCCGATTCCGACGAGCCACTGGAGTACCTCCCAGAGGACCGCATGGGAATCAATGCGTACATTGCGGGAATCGTCTTCCCCCTCGCCCTGCTGTGGTACGGATGGACAGTCCAGAACGGCGTGTTCTGGTTCGTCCCAATGATGGCGACGTTTACGTTCGGATTCGCGAGCATGCTCGTGTTCAGTGTTGCCACCACCATGCTCACCGAGTTTGTCCCCGGAAGGTCCGCGTCCGCCGTCGCGGTTAATAATTGCAAGCCTTCCCCCCCTCACCCCCCCTTATGTCTGTCAGCTGCTAACAACCCACTACAGTCGTCCGCAACATCTGCGCGTGCATCGGCGGAATAATCGCGGAGCCAGTGATCCAAGCAATCGGCAACGGCTGGCTATTCACGATTCTCTGTTTCGTCGGAATCCTGAGTTGCAGCGTGGTATGGGTGATGCAAAAGTACGGGCCCCGGTGGCGGGAGCAGGCGCAGCACGGGGAGTACAAATTCTTGTAATGGCTACCTATACCGTGTGGGAAGGAAGAGGGGGTTTAATTTGTCATGAATGTATGAAGTTTGCTTTGTACATACAATACCTATCGGGAGGAGTTTCGGATTTTTTTTGTTTTGTTTTGTCTGGTTTTTGTTTTGCGATGGGGTTCATGGCAGCATTGCGCGGGGAAGGCGTGGGGATGGGTACCAAGTACCTAGGTCGGTTTGGTTGGTGGGTTATGATCAACATGAGATGAGGTATCCACTTGTTGAAAAGTTCGCCGTTGCGGGACGAGAGAGGCACAATTTCGGATGGCGGCTGCGAGTTCTCATACTGCACTCTGCAACCGCAATTGAGATGTACATCCGCGCACCCACCTTGGAGAAGAGTACCTAAATCAGCAAATGGAGGAGAGAGAAAAAACGGCGACGTTGCCGTCTTACCCAGGACGGAAGAACGGCGAGAGAGAGAGAACATCAAATCAGCAAATGGAGGAAAGAGAAAAAACGGCGACGTTGCCGTCTTGCCCAGGACGGAAGAACGGCGAGAGAGAGAGAACATCAAATTTTTGTCGCATACATTAGACTGGCGACCAGACGGAAGAACGGCATTTGAAGAATACATAGAGCACCCACCAAAACCCGCGAGTGATCGTCTATGCAGTGGACCGTCATCAGCTGCAGCCTGTATGTGGAATCTGGATGTCAGCCTTCAGGCGCTTGGGGTAGGGCCGGGATCGGATCGGGTTCGGTTTATAATCTGGCAAGGTTTCCGGCTATGTCGGTACTTACCATGTATGCATACTGTGAGCGTGGCAACCGGGAGTTTCTTCAACGGCACTGTCGTGCATCTTATCACTCATCTAGCGAGTGACGACCACCCACATAAGCAGTTAATGCAGGACTGTCCATCCGCTCCACGGCTCGGGAGAAGGATCACTTCAGGATCCGCGACCGCTTCGCTGACAAGCGCTGCAGCGAGGCAATCCTGGAGTTCCTAGCAACAACAGATGTAGGGAGAATACCTACCTAGATCTCCTGGTTCAGGAAGAGTTGACTAGCGAGTCTTCGAAGTCCTCGGAGTGCGAGTGGACACAGAGGGAACGCGAGGAATAACTGGAGAAGATGGGAGCGGAAGACGCTGTCAGGGGCCTGGTACTGGAAGGGGATATGGTGGCGGAGGAGGGGCCTCAGCTTGTACATATTTTATCCCATGCCGCCCTTTTAAGTGGCCTCGTCGGACGGGACAGGATAGTGGGAGAGGAAGGAGGGGAAGGAGGGGAAGGAAAGGAAGGATAGGAAGGAGAGGAAGGATAGGAAGCATAATTTGTTCCAGCTTTTGTGTTTCTTTTATATTTTCTTTACCTTGAGCGCCTCGGCGGAGGGTGGGGCAAGAGCCGACGGGGGCAAGAGCCGACGGAGGCAAAAGAGGGAGCCATCACGGGCCGCTGCGGACTGTTCGAGGTTGGTTTGGACGATGGACAAGAAAACGGTGTGTATATTTGCCATGATCTAGATAAGGTCGCACGCAATTAATTATGAAACAAAAAAAACGCCCATCCGCTCCACAACCAAACGGAACGACTGCCCTGAAGGCCGTACCGTAGTCTCTTCAAGACGAGTATGGCCATACATCTAACCCTAGATTTTATCCCAATCATCTGCTACATATTTTACCTGTGTGCATACTTTGTACAGCAAGACTGTACGCTGTTCGAACATTGATATTCAATTTACTTGAGTAACGTCTGATCTACATCCTATGAAGCTCGTTCCTGGGAGCCAGCCCTCCGGTAGCATCATACTGAGAAGAACTACATAATAGCTGAGGCCTTGTATCACTGAATACTGTGTATAGACCCCTTGCGGCATCAGTACTTTGCCTTTTCCCATCTCTCCAACCCACTTCAGTATATATTCATTATTTGATCGCTCCCCACCCCAAAATTGCAGCTGGAATAAGTTGGTCATGATATAAAGCAAGTACCAGGTCAAAACTTATCGCCACCCGCCTGTGCGAGACCACCACACCTCACCTGTAAACCTCTCGGACACAACAACTACACAATAGAAAGTAATACCAATTTGCATACAAGATGACTACATAGATGAATATGCAGCTTCAACAAAATTTCCTGCCAAAAGAAATCAATATTCTATGTAAAGTTCTGCGGCCAACTTGGTGTAAGCCATCAATTTTGACCAAAAGCGGTCAAATTTTTTACATATGAGAGGGCTTATGATTTTACGACGTCTATAAAAGACACAATATCTTTCCGCCAGACGAAGGGTTGATTTTAGTCGCGTGGAAATGGCCATGTTTGGTGTAAAAAGGCCCCCTGGCGATAAATTGTGACCTAGTACTTTATATAGGTCGAATACAGTATGATGAAACAGAAAAAAACCTATATACCCAACTTCCCGGTATGCCGGTAACTTTAAAGTTTTACGCCGGCAGACGGTTCGAAAACTCTTGGAAATGACTCGATAGGGCACACCTTGATGTCAGTGGAATAGAAACCAATATAGGTATGGCGTGTTGAAGCCGACATTTCTTGAGAACAGAGCTTCCAAAGTTCTGAATCTACCGTCACAGCATTCTCATCAACCTTTAGCTTAATGATCGATCCGAAGCAGGGCCCGTTTCGAACGGTCCCCCCCATAAGGTACCGCACGAAAGCAGTGCCGTCCGCACTTTTGGCCACTGGCCGGCATGATCGACGGATCTCCCCCAGAGTCTGAATCCTGATGCCTGAAAAGACCGTTATCCTCCGCAGCCCTAGGGTACAAGTAATGAGGCAAACCAGCATTTTATGGTCAATGAGCTCGCAAGAAACACTATCCTAAAATGAGTTCACTCAATTAGTGAATAGAATGAGGTCCAAGATGTCGCATTAACGGAGATGTCACTCAATGCAGCATGATGATGAATGCGACAAGATGTAGAATGCGCTGGGTTTTGAGATGGTATTGTTGCAAAATGCGATATTTTGGGTAATCTGCAGTGTTATCAAATGCGTTACATTGATATGTGGTACTATGGCTTGTCCTCCTATGCCTTCCTCCAGTTGCAACGCAGCGTACCGCCCTCTACCGACCGCAGATAGCACACTGTCCTTGCCGCTGTCCTTGCTGTCCTTGCCGCCATCGCCGCTATTCTTGCTGTCCTGCTCTTAGCTGTTGGCCCTTGGCCTTCCCCACTGATACCGCCGCGGATACCGCGCCAGTCCTTCTTGCCGCGGATTGCACACTGTTGTGGAGGAATGGTGGAGGAGTGGTGGAGGAGCGATCTGTAAGAGGAGGAGCTTTTAGCGAGAAAAAGAGCTACTAGCGAGAAGGAGGAGTGGTCAGTGAGGAGGAGTGGTCAGTGAGGGGGACTTGTCAGTGGGGAGGACTTATCAGCGAGGCGGATGTACCAGCGAGGAGGAGTTATCTGCATCCCAAGAGAAGGAGCTATCAGCGAGAGGGAGGAGCTGTCTGCGAGAGGAGGAGGTGCAGTCCCAGGAGGAGTTGCGGCGGGAGTAGGAGTAGCGGCAGGAGGAGGAGTTGTGATGATGATGAAAAAAGGAAGAAGGAGAAGGAGAAGGAGAAGCAGACAGCTGTGAGAGCAAACGACCCCGCTAGACCCCCCACCGCTAGTGCTACCCATTCGCTTCCTCTTGCAGATACGTCCTCCTGCTGCTGCCTCCTTCCGCCGACAGCTCTCTCGCCGGACCCTAATAGTCTTCGGGCCGGCCGGACTATTCTCAGACCTGGCCGTCTGCAAGTCCGTTGTGTGGCGGTAGACGAGAGTAGAGGTTGATCATCTATCCTGTAGATGATGGTGATGACTAGGGAGAGAGAGGAGGTGGAGGTTGATCGTGTATTCTGCAGATGATTATTAGAGAGAGAGGGGGGGGGGGGGCGTGTATTCTGTAAACTGTGATGAATATGATGAGTGAGAGAGATGAGGCCTACCGGACAGCCTTCAGGTTCGCTGCCTGCCCGCTGCCTGCCCGCTGCCTGCTGCTCTAACCACCCACACTAACTACATCCGTTTCCACTCGCCGACCACTCTTATACATACCACAACGCATTCTATGACAATGGCGCATTCATCACCACCGTATTCACTATGAGATTCGCATTTACTAACATCACTGCAATCAGCACGGGCGAGTTTGCTGCATTTACTAGCAATAATGCATTTATCACGGTGCGTATCTGTCACCTAATGAGGCGCACCTTATTCTGCGACATTTCGGGTGCAGTCAATGAGTGATTCACTCATTCCTTGTACCCTAGGGCAGCGACATCACTGGGTATCCACTGGACCGATTCATCGATGAAATTGTCATGCCATCAAGGCCCAACTTGCAGCTCAGCCCCAGCTCAAGTGAGCCTGTCCCACATGCATTTCATATTGTCACGATAAGGTGCATCCTTCATCTTCAACTAGGAGTGACCAGAGAACTTGGGCCCGTGTGCGCACGTGCATCAGATGGATTATGGATAGGCCCCCACTGATTCTGTGAAACCATCAAATGGATGTGCAAACCTGAAACTCAGGAGGTTAGTGGCCCGTGTGACTACATATCTCCTCAGAACGTTCTTCAGGTCTCCCTCAGCCGCTCCCCTCTGGCAGCCCAAAAGTTTGAGCCTCCCCCACCCACGGTCTATCTGAGATTAGATCTGTGGGCTATATAGATTCAATCTTCATGGTCGAGACAGCAGTTGAGCCGTAGATCTACTTTATTCTCAGTTCAGCAGGGCGGAGAAGTAAAGTATGATGTACAGCTGGGTACTTGGCCTTTAGCGAGAATATCTGCCTACATAGGCGAAGTGCTGTAAGGCGTCTATCCGCGTAGCATTCGGATGTGCTCCCGCTGATCAAACATATCTACATACGCACACTACACTGCAACCTGGCAGTTAGGTTCAACAAGTAGATCGGAGTCGATGTTCTGGAGAATTGGCCAACGGCGAACCTTGCCTGCAATGGTGTAACCGGCCCAGGACAAACCAATGTGGTAGGACCGATTGTCACCACCGACTCCACCTAACTCCTATTGGACTTTAGCTGTGAGACTGTGACTGACCACCTCCGCCCAATGCACCTAGTATGTGTTCTTGGCGGTTACCTAGAGGGTATTTACAAGGCAGCAGCGCTGAAGTTCTGAGCCGCCTTTTTATATTAGGATCCCACAATCCAGTGCATAGTACGTCTTCAACAGCACAAAGACACTGAACACGAAAACGATGAGCCAGCCACGAAAACCCTCAATCAGTATCGATGCAGGCTAGTATGCTCCATTACACTTCCTCATCGATCACTAACAGTGGCTGCAGCTTTGAGCAAGCCTCCGCCCACCCCTGCGACGACAGCCAACGAACGGGCGGACCTCAAGAAAAAGGTGCGGATATCGCCCAAGGTCGGAGACAACGGGACCGTAGCGATTCTGAGCCAGTTCGGGGAGCTGCTATCGCTCACACAGATTCTCGCGGACGCCAATGGGGAGCCCAAATGCGTATCGGCGGAAACGCGGGATTGTGTCTCTGCGGATATGCGACATCCCAAGCAGTGGCGAGGCTACGATGGCGAGATGCAAGCCGAGGTCTACGGAGAGAAGGAAGACCCAGCCAGCAACGAAGACAAGGATAGTGACAACGACAGCGATCGTGACAGCGGCGATGAGGAGGAGGGACGGAAACCACTGGAGGATTGGGAATCGCCAGCCGGAATAAGCCCGCATTATCACTATCGGAAGACCGCATTCAATCGCCTTTACGAGAAGGCTCATTCGGGATTTGGCTTGCGTCTGGCCGCCGACACCGGAAAGTTGGAACTTCATGAACTACGATATCGAGAAGACCGGTGGCCAGAATTCCAACTCGTCCGAAGAAAAAATAAAGAACTCAAGATCGATGTTCAATACTTCGTCGACAACAATCAGCTCTTTCAGCAGTACACCATTACATCAACGGACAGTGATACATTTGAATTATGTATGGACATTGACTTCACCGCCGCCCTCCGGTACTGTCTACTCGGCACCGTGGAAATCAGCCCCCGAAAGTCCTATGATAATCTGACATCCGTCCGAAAGCTACACGGTTCTGGCCAAGTTGCGGTGGAAGGAAGTGCTCAAAAGTTGATAGTCACCTTGTTCAGGGACAACTCCATTGTCCCATTGAATGGTTTCGAAGAGAATGAGGATATATCAGTCAAATCTCCTGAAGAAATTACTCACCGGGAACGTGTCCAGATTGCTCCCGGCGAAGTAGTCACTTTCACCGCAGTCTATGCAATACTGAACAAGGCAGAACAGTTCGCTACTCTCCCGGTCTTGCCAAGTGGAGGATTCGATAGAGCCAGTGGAACGAGGTGGTGGGATTTCAAGAAAGAATGCAAAGATTCCTCCTTCACGTACCGCCGCTCCCTCGAACACATACTATGCGTGACGGCACTACCACTTCCCACGTCTCACCCCGGTTACGAGGGCGTTCGTCCATACATGCTACTAGACAATTCACTCTCGCTAGCCCATGAACCCCAAGAGGGATAGTATGACACTCCGTTGCTTCTTTGCAGCCAACTCCGACTAATCTACCGAATAGCATGCAACTGATATTCCTACTCGGAATGTTTGAACTCTTTTCCACTTGCCACCTCGCGGACCCGGTCTCGACCGAACGATACCTTTACAAGATCCAGGAGGTGGCGAAGGGATATCTTCTATGGCTTTGCGAAATGAAGACAAATCCGAGCGACGACGATCGCATGAAAGTTCTGATAGAAGGAGAAAGTGAAACACCAGACACCGACCCTGATCGGGGTTGGATTCAGACCACCAACGTTGCCGAACGATATTGTGATAGACTGATAGCACTGCACCGCTTCGCCCGTCTATTTCCTGGGGAATCAGACTTCACTCGGAAGATATTGTGCAGTACTGCGCCCAAAACCTGGGAACACGTCAGAAAGGTACAGGACTCAGATACTGACATGGTATCCGATATTTTTCGGCGTGAATATCTACCTCGTTGGGTGCCTATCAAATATTTCGAGCTGAATACGCAAATCATGGTGTGGAGGGCGATGGACGCCTTCAAGAAACTACTCAAAATTCTGGACATCTCGACTCAGGACAAGATCCGCAAGATTTGGGAAACGGATCCACACGCGTTTCGGCGGAACGTTATCGAACGGTTCACTGTCGAGGAAAACCCTTCGGCCGCTTCTGCAAATGGGGGGGTTTGCAGACAGTTGATGGCCACGCAGTAAGCTTTGCATGCTCCAAACCTGCGAAACGACGATGCTAATCAATGTTAGTATGATCTCCGGCGCCATAACGTTTAGAATCTCGCCCAGAATAATGCCTCTACTGGTGTCTGCTTTGGACGGAAGCTTTTTTAGCAAGGACGACCTGGCGATTGGTCCCTGGAATGAGACACTGAATCAAACTGAATTGTGGCCATTTTGCCCCGAAAACAAACCACCCGACGAGTTTGTTAATTGCGCGGTATTGAATTTGCTTTTGGTGCGATACCGAGATGGTACCACCACCCATCAGGATACAGTTGATGCGAGGATGCACCTAGAGGCTGTTGTCTCCGACACAGGACTACTCATCACCAACCGCTCTCTACACCAAATCGGATGGCAATCGATCATGACGCTTCTTTTCAACGACTACGAGGAGCAGCTCTCTCCCGCAAAGTCAGTTCTCCCAGTTCTTCCAGGAGATATTTTTTACGTGCACTGACAATGCCTCCTTCAGGGACCGAATGGAATGGAATAGGAGCCCAGTTATTTCTCCCACCCCCAACGTGCTGCGTACAGTGCCTGGATCTCGGACAGCCGATACACGCGACCCTGCACCGCCTCTTCAGAGCTCACTTCGCGATGATGTCTCCAAGAAACGCCGGAAGCTAGATCTTTCTAAAGAAGACCAGGAGTTGATCAACGAAAAACCAGGTGGGAAAATTCGCGAGTGGCTGTGAGGATCCTGGCTTATATCGCTGCAGAATATGGGCCGGCATGGCTATTCCATGATCTTTGGTTCTTTTCCAGTCCAGAACACAGGATTTCAATCCCCATAAAATCTTTCGTGGACGTCAAAACACGGCTTTTGCAACTTGACAAGGTCGACGAGGAAGATTTTTTTGCTACCTGGCTAAATAGTATCATGCCAAAATCCCACGAAAGAACCTTATTTATCGAACGCATGACAAAGACCCCCGGCACGGCTCTGAATTTTATCGTAGACTTCGGGAAGAAGCCGACGGTCTCCAAACTTCTTGGTCATCACCACTACGCCCGCGACACCGTAGGAGCCTCGATCATCAACCGTCTTATCAAACCAGTAAGACTATCATACTAGCAATTCTCTGATGAACTGATTTGTACTGGTACTAAAGAAAACCGTGGCAGAGAGTTAAAGCAACCTCGAAAAAGCGAGTGATGTATGTACAGCCTATTGGCTACTGCTTTCGGACGGCTAACGCGAATGAAGCGTGGTGGAAAACATGAACAAAGCCTTCTTAATGGTCCTTTGTGCGACCCACGTCAATTCAGAGGCATATTACTTGGGAATTTTCATTGAGTCAGTGATCAAGTGCACGCCAATGCACGTCTTCGAGGTTTGGGTGCCCATCACCATCTTCAGTGAAAAATGCTGACGTTCTCAAGACATTAATACCCGAGGGAATATGGGAAACGCGCGTATGCATAAAATACATCCAGCACTTCCACCCGTTTGACGACATAGACACTGGAAACGTTGATCAGAGCCATTTCCATGCGAAGCGTTGGCCATTACGGGACAAAAGCCCAGGGGATGGGAGACTAAGTTCCCTTCCAGATTGGCCTTTGAGAGAAGCAGCTTTCGGATTTAGTATCATAGGGGATATCCATGATCGCCACTGGACAGCTTACATCTTTCACAATTATGATGCGGACCTATGGGACTTGACCGGGGACGCGTTCCGAGGGCCATGCCCTTCCGATAACATGCATCAAAGGAAGATCCTAGAGGGATGTCTCGTTGCTCGGGCTCTCCATCTCTTGCTAATGAATACTCGCTCTATTCTGGGGCAAATCGATCAAATTTCGCAGCAAGACAAGGCGGGTATCTTCCATGGACTTTCATGCTCATATGCTGACGACTACTGGTCATAGTACTCGTTGTTTGATCAATTTGGAACGGATCGTGGAAGCGGGGAGCACAACTTCAACAGTCGATATAAACACAGCGTGCTCTTTCCCTGGTTGCTTGAGCTGTTGAGATTGCTCAGTGGTCATTGTGATAGTGCTCAGACCACGGTCGATGTCTTCTTGCAATCCGAGAAAAATTTCAAGCACAAGCCGAGATGGTCGAAAGGAGACCAAATCAAATACGGAGAGCAGTTGAGAAAAAATCGGAAAAAAATCAACTCACAGCTTACCAAAATCAGGGAAGTCAAGGGGCAGATTGGGGAAAAGATTGCATGGTTCACGAAACTCAAGGAATGGATCGCAAGGTCAGATATTTTATCAGAATCAGTGCCGCCGCTTCCCTCTAACATCTGCCTGTCCCGCACAGCGACCTCGCTCTCCAAGATGCCCGGCGTTCTATTATTCTGTCGGAGAGTGCTAGGATTTTCACAGTTGTAGGTTTATTTACCCACTGTTACGAGCTGCAGCCTGTTGATAGGTCTACCTAGGTGACACTCATATTCCTTCCTCTGTCTTTCAGCTCAGTAAGTAGATGATAGCCTAGAACAGTTCAATTCTCGCGCTGATGTTTCCTTTCAGAGCATCGTTGCCATAGACGGCCTTAGGTGAGTCCGAGAACGCTGAGGATCCATCAAACCTTGCTAACTGCTTTTTATAGTTGGGGTTCGCCTCTCGCAGGACTGTTTAAGATTATCGCCGCTGTGTCAGCTTTCACCATAATCATTTTGGTCAACCTCGATTTCATAGACCGATGGACTTGGTATCTCCTCGCCAATTGCCACAAGTTCCTCCGGATGAAAATGAAGAGCGAGCCAGGCGGTACCGCCAAAACGGCTCCGATAGTCGATCCCGAATCAGGCGGCTTGGACTCGCCCGATTTGGCCACCGGTTTTTGGGGCAATAAAGCCGGCGAACTCGAAAGCATGGATGACCGTAAGGAAATCATGGGCGAGGGCGTGTCGCAGCTAAATCCCGACACCAGCGCGTGGTGGTACTGGCTGTTCTTGGTCTTCTACAGTGTCGTCAAGCTGCCCATGACGGAGGTGGCGTTTGCAGTCGAAGTCACGTGGCGCAAAGTCCCTCGTGTCGGACCGCTGCAGAAGATATTCCGTTTGGCCTGGGTTCCGTTGTGGTTGCTTTTACTGTCACTAGTGTACGTTGTGTTGATGGTGGGCGATGGCCTTGTGATGGTGTGGGGATTGATCTGCAAGGGGTTACGTATTGCGTGGCAAGGCACGGAGGAGGAGAAAAAGAAGGAAGGAAAGGAGAGGGGAACGGATGAGGCGGATAAGGTTGAAGAACAGGTCATCACTCCGGAGGTTGAGCAACCTTCATGGAATATCCCATGGTGGAGGAAGCCGCTGCACGCCATGGAGTACGGGCTAGTTCTTGCCGCTCACCGAAAGAGAATGGAAAGCCCTACCGAAGCAACCCCGGAAGTTTCCAACTCGAGCACCACAGCGGTCAACCCAACTACGCCGGTGATAGCCAACGTGGACACCCCCGCGTTCACCAACGGCTCCCAAACTTCAGTTAAGACAGAATAGCGAAAGAGCCGAAAACGGGGTGAGGTTGGGGGCTTGGTCTGTGCTTTCATACGGATATGTCTTTGGAGGGGTTTATGTTGGGTTTATGTTGGGTTTATTTTCTGGTTATTGTTGTGTGATTTATAACGAATTTTGTATTCTATTCCTTTTCTGTGTTTAATCATACCCGCATTCGGCCATCCAGAATAGCGGCGTACTTTCTATCTGTCTCCTGTCCGCCGTCTCGACCACAGCTTCCCTTGTCTGCCGCCAGGCCATCACAAGTAAAAAGAGATAATACAGTAAGGACTGACATAGGCCTACATCTCCACTCCTCCCATTCCGCCCCCGCCCCTTTTTTTCCCGCATGGCAACATCACGCTGCCTGTTCTATTCCAACTAGTGATTTGGTTTTGTTGTTAATAAAATCCGAGTGATATACTGTGATTCGTTCTGTAGACCCCGTTCCCTTCCATCCATTCCCAGACCCAATATATGCCATAATTTACTGGGAGTATGGTGGATTTTTGATTTTATTTCCTTTGGCTTTATCTTCGATTTCTTCAACGAGGCCCGTCGTACATACTCCTGTATTAGGCTACAGCTAGATTTGTCTGTGTTTAGGCTAGAATGCTTTCCTGACGGTTATACGGTACGGTATTGTACCTTGAAGGATTCCCAGAGAACGACCATGTCACTTTGGTCAAAATGACAGTTCAAGGAGACAGATATATTCCTCAATCACCAGGTAAAAAAAAACCAACCCAGAAGTCAGCACCACAGTAATCAAATTAGGTACACCATCATACACACTACATCCGCCTCCATATCCATCCCCCCCTTTCCCTAAGCCTCCGGCTCCATATTCTCAGGATAAAAGTCCCTATACGGATCGTTCCCCTTGTACTGGATCAGGTCGTTCTCAAAGACCTCCCAAAAGTACGGGCCCTTCGGCACCCAGCCCAAGAGTTTCTTGGCGCGAGCGGCATTGGTCCGCGAGTTGCTGCCAAACATCCACAGCGCTATCCCGGACCCGTCGATCATGTTCTCAGTCTCTTCGGGTGTGCAGGACCGCGGATTCTCATTCTGTATCAGGCCGTGCGATTTCAGGATCCCCGCGGCGGCCTTGGCAATGTCCCGCATCGAAACGTCCTCGTCGTTGGAGACGAAGTAGAAGCCCTGTAGCGGTCAGCGGCGCAGAGGGGGTTGATATGAGAGGGGGAGGGGAAAGGGGGGGGGGAGGGTACGTTCTCGCCCCAACATTCATCTCTCAGCTTCCCGGTCTTGATGGTCCTGACCGCCTCCTCGACCAGCAGTCGATACAACTCGCAGAGATCGTGTACGTGCACCAGGCTCCGCATGTTCGCGCCCTTCCCCACGTACAGCGCCGCCTTCTGCCGCGACACCTCGTCGCAATAGAGCGGCAGCATACGACACTCCCTCTTCCTCTCCAACCCGCCTGCCCCGGTGCCGTAGATGTCGGGCGGACACACGATCGCCGTGTGGATATTCTCCCCGTACTTCTTTGCGGCGCCGAAGATCAGCGAATCCATTGGGCGGTGGATGTGATTATTCGGCAGGGTGCGGATCTCGGGCAGGTCGTCGATATCGCTCCACACGCGGGGGTCGCGCTCGCCGAACTCGATGCCGGCCGAAGCGCAGCAGTTGTATTCGTTGCCCGACGTGGACGAGGCGGTTGCGTCCGATACGGTGATGTTGCTGCTGAGGTGCAGGAAGAAGCTGGGCTTGGATTGATCGCGCGAGGCGAGCCCGTGCAGGAGCGAGAGGATCACTTTCTCGGCTTCGGGCTTGCCCGCGTCTAATTGTGGTCAGTAGTCTGTCCGGTGGGTCCTAGTGAGGGAAGGTACGGATCACGATGTCGCTCTTCGCTGCGTGCTCCTGGATCACGTCGTATTCACACGGGGCGTCTCGTGGGATGGCGGTGACGGGAAGTTCGGGGTGGGTTTTCGCCAGCCGCTCGAGGATACAGCAGCCGATGTAGCCCACTGATCCGGTCCTGTTTGTTGTCAGTCATCCTCCATGGAGGTAGGTAGATCACGGTCTGACAGGAGGATTCTTGGTTGTTGCTGTTGCTGTGCCATTTCTTCTCTCATGTGGTTTCACTTTTCTTGCCTTGGTGAATATGATGATGAAATTTGTAGGAAAATGGAAGATCGAAAGTTGTGTATAGGAAAGTATATACCTCCCGCCTGAAGAACGCACATACATCATATCACGCATTTTCCACCACCTGATCCCCCCAACCGGCCCGTCGCCCTCTTTCTCCGCGGCTGGAGCTGAGGGAAGGAGGAATATTGAGAGATTTACGGCGGCGGCGACGGCGACGGCGGCATGTGTCATGACGGCACCATGACGGTCCTGCGGCCAGAGGCGGAGGTGGCGCCCGGTTGCCAGTACAAACTCCGGCTTAAACTTGCGAGATCACTCGATCGATGCGGCAGCCGCGGTTGGCGCTTGTGCGCTAGTCTGTGGGAAACGTCCTCCTAACGAGCAGGTACTGAGAGACCTCCGACGGGTACGGGCAACTGGCGAGACTGATTCAATTGACTAGAAAACAACAAGAAAGAAAAGTAGCCTGATGTTCTTCAGAATGATGACCTCAAAGTATCTCTGCGGTATTAGACTAATAATGTCTGCGGTGATGATAATGTCTGATGTCTTGTGCCTAATGTCTCGTGTGTTGTGTGTTGAACGCCAGATCGACCGACTAGACGAACACAAAAGTAGTAACAGAGAACATTTCAACGTTGAGGCGACCGCATCGGGTCGGCCCCGAATTCCACAATACCCAGTTTTAACTGGCTCATTCATTTTCATTCTGCAAGAGACAAGTAACATGTAAAGACATGGTATCCTTACAACTTAGCAGAACAATGACTCCCCCCATCGACCGTGATAACCGAGCCATTGATATACGCCCCCGCCCTCGAGCTGAGGAACAGACACGCACCCGCCACATCCTCCGGCGTCCCGATCCTCTTCAACGGAACCCCCTCTTCAATGGTATCTCTAAACTTCTCGAGCGTCACCTTCATCATCTTGCTCTCGAACGGCCCACAAGCCAAAACATTACTCGTGATCCCCCTTGGGCCCAAATGCGCCGACAGCACCTTACTCAAGTGATGCAACCCAGCCTTACTAGTGGAGTAAGCGAACGTCTCGAGCGACGGCACGCGAATGCCATCGATACTCCCGATGTGTATGACCCTAGCGGGGTCGACGCCCCCGGCGCCGGTCGACGCCGCCTCCAGCAGCGGCGTGCACAGCTGCGTCAGCGTAAACACGCGCTGCAGGTTCAGCGTCAACAGCTTCGTCCACGCGTCGTCGGGGTAGCTATCGTACGACTCGCCCCAGTTCGCGCCGGAGTTGTTGACAAGAACGTGGAGCTTCTTCTCGCGCGCGCTGAGCGAGCGCACTAGGTTCTGAACGTGCTCGAGCTTTTGGAGGTCCGCCGGGATCGCGAATGCTTTACCGGGACCTGTGGAGGTTTCCCCGGTCAGCTGCGTGTAGCTATGCGGAGAACGGGAATATCTAGGGGGGAGGACTAACCTTTGGCGGTGAGTTCGGCGGCGGCCTTCTCGCAGGACTTGACGTCACGGGATGAGATGTACACCCGTGCGCCGTTGGCTACGTACCCGGACGAGATCATGTAGCCAATACCCTTTGCGCCGCCGGTGACAAGGACGACCTTGTCTTTGACCGAGAAGCTGTCGTGCGTTAGTCAGTTCGCCTCTCTTCTAGCTGGTGAGGAGGAGGAGTTACAGTGTTGATACGTCCATTATGGCTTTCGGCTTTGTGTGGAAGAGAGAGAGAGAGTGTGTGTGTGTGTGAGCGGTGTGTGAGCGGTAGGAAGGTGGTGAGAGGTAGAGCTTTGGGATGTGGAGGACTCTGGTTTGTATGATACATGGAATATGAGTGGACGTGTCACACCAAAACCTGGGGCCGAGCCGAGGCATCTCGGCTGCATGCTTGTGTTCTTGATAACGCGGTGAGCAAGAGAATTGTGTCTACGAACTGTCGAGTCCATAGGACACATCTACTCTACATCGGGATAGTAGTCTCCTTAGTAAACAGGAGTCTCATACTCGCCCACTGATTACCGAATACTTACTCCTGAGATGATTCGAGTGAGACTCCGTGAACAACTCCGAAACCCAGCAAAGTTCAATCATATGGTAGCTCCACAGGGCACCATACGTAACAGCAGCACATCAACGATTTCGACATTGCAACATACGTCCATCCCATTTCTACCCAGAGACCTGAAAACTAAGGAAATAAAACAAAAGAAAGAAGAAAAAATCAACCCAACTTTTTTCCCTCACTCCCTATCATCAATCGCTTACTCGGTAGGATCAAGCAACTTCATGACCTTTCCGATAGCAATGGTCTGTCCCTGGTCACGTAGGGTGAATCGGCCTAGCTGCTGGTGATCGGCATATGTCTCGATGGGCACTTGTCCGGCCATCTCAAGGCGCGCGATGATGGCTTGTCCTAGAGTCCCACAGATATTAGTTTATCATTATTCAACGGGGTGTTACGGAGTCATACCCTTTGATGCGAACGCCGGTGGCTTCCTGCTCTTGCGTCCGGTTCCTTTCTCCAGTTTGTGGAGCAGGACGGCAAATGTAACCTCCTGCACGGTGGTATGCACGTGCATGACACAGGTGAATCCGGCAGTGAGAATACTCTTAAGCTCGATAATGTGAATCTGTGCCTCGAATGCGGACACGCAGTGGATAGGGTTCTTGGGGCTGGTGAAGACGAAGCCAGGAACAATTTCCTCCTCCTCGGCACCACGCACACGGAGTCGCACCTGGTCACCACAAGAGGCGTTGGGCAACTCCTCTTCCGATTCGGAATAGATGGCGACAATTTCGATAGGGGTGCGCCCAGGCATCATGAGGAGGTTGCTGCCCTTCTTAATCACTCCACTCTCGATCTTGCCCTCGACGACGACTCCCATATCCTTGTACTTTCCGGAGATGGGCATCATGAATGGTGCTCGCAGCTTGCGCTCGAGTCCCTTCATGTTGTCGAGGTATTCCAGGAGTGAAGGCCCTTGGTACCAGTCGGCAACACCCTTCGGAATACGGTCTTTCAGACCGAAGCCGGTGAGTGCCGATAGAGGCATGAACATGACATCTGCACCGGTTAACATGTTTCACAGCATAGAAGCTGAAGGGAGGGAGGTACCAGTCTTGGGGTTGTACCCAGTTGCCTTGAGAAACTGGGCAAGCTTTGTAGTACATTCTTCATAACGCTCCTTGCTCCACTCCACGGTAGGGTCGTCCATCTTGTTGATAACTACGACGAGCTTGCTGACACCCTGAGTCTTTGCCAGCACCGCGTGCTCTCGTGTCTGTCCTCCCTTCTCAAACCCAGTCTCGTACTCTCCCTTACGTGCTGAAATGACGAGGATACCGACGTCAGCTTGGGAGGCACCACCGATCATAGACGGGACGTAATTCTTGTGGCCGGGGGCATCAAGTACAGTGTAGCGGCGCTTCTCGGTCTCGAAGTATGCTCGGCCAACCTCGACGGTCTTTCCCTTCGCGCGCTCCTCACGGGTAAGATCGAGTGCCCACGACAGGTACCAGGACTCTCGACCAGCCTCCTTGGCCTCACGCCTGAACTTCTCCATCGTACGTTCGTCCACCATACCGGTAGCATAGAGGATAGCACCACCGAGCGAGGACTTTCCGGCATCAACGTGGCCGATAAATACCAAGTTCACATGTTCCTATATCTCTATTAGCTTCGCTATTTCTAGGCAAGCGCGGGTATTGGCGTTACCAACCTTTCCATACAGCTCGTCAATCAACTGCTCGTCGACCTCCTCCTCCTGTGCCTTCAACACGGCATCAGCCTCCCGCTTCTGCTGCGCCTTCTCAGCAGCCGTAGGGGTCGCCGTGGTGCGAGCAGGAGACGAACGGCCGTCAGTGGTCGAAGGGCTAGTCTTTCCACTGGGAGGACCGCTCTTCGACACAGCTTTAGCGGCAGCGGCCTTCGAACCAGCCTCGGGCTTCGACGAGGGCGCGCTCTTCGCGGGAGTCTCCTCCTTCTTTGGTGTGGATGAACCCGAACCACCAATTGTAAGAACCTTCGTAGTCGCACTGCCATCACCACCGATCGTCAACACCTTGGGCTTCGAAGCCGCTCCGTCACCTCCGATAGTGAGGACCTTTGCGGGACCTGAAGGAGCAGCGGCGGCTGGATCCGGACGCTTCGCGATCTGCGGGACCTGCTGCTGTTGCGGCTTCTGTGGCTGCTGCTGCTGTTGCTGCTGCTGCTGGAGGTGGGGTGGTCTGTACGCCTGCTGCGATGGCTGCTGCTGCTGGTAGTTGTTGTAACCAGCGAACCCACCCTGGTTCTGCGCATACTGCTGATGCTGTCCTTGTTGACCACTGTACTGAGCGTACTGATCATACTGTCCCTGTTGAGGCTGTCCGTAACCTTGGTACTGCTGGTATCCGCTAAACTGCTGCTGTTGCTGCTGCTGGCCGTATCCGTAGTTCGAGTAGCTCTGCTGGCCGGGTACGAACGCTTGTACTCCCGGGGTGAAAGTGGCGGCGGGATTGAAAGAAGCTGTCGGTCGGAACTGCTGCTGTTGAGGCTGTTGTTGTTGTTGTTGCTGCGGCTGCTGGTTCAGATTCATGTTGCCGGTACGCGACGCAAGATCGTCATCGCCGGCAGCGTCTTCCCAGGAGTTGGGGGTGTTCGACATCGCGACGATAGTTGTAGGAAGAAGTAGTTGTCGAGGCCGTGAAGGTTATGTCGGTTAGACGAGGGTATGTGTGGAGGCGTGGTGGCAGAACACTGTCAAGGTCTGGGCTTTTTAGGTCGGACGTTGCGGGGTTCGTTCTACAAAACCGTAAAATGCAAGGTTTTGTCGTCCACTAAACGCAGATACCCCACCAAGTCACCATGAATCATCATCTAGCAACAGCTGCAGCCTGATTTTGTGAGCATGATGTTTTATGACTCCAGGCGCCCCCGCCCAATACAACATAGATACAGAATTCATCACAGTAATCTTAACGCTCTTCTCTATTCGATCGCTGCTTAAGTACATACTTTAAGCATTCAAGTAGCCGGTGTCGTAAGCTCATCCATGATAGTAACACACAGTACTATATAAGAAGCAAAACAAAAGGAAATAAAGAATCTAAATCACTGAATCACCTGATTTCATTTTCAGATTTCTCGGAGAGTCAAACCATTCCCAAAGATAAAGTAAGATGAACAAGAAGAAGAGAAAGAAGAGGAAGAAAAGGAAGAAGAACGAAGAGGAAAAAACGAAGAACAAAATATTACTACAGAAGTACATAGAAAACAGGAAAGAAGTACAGCCCTCATCGTCAATCCGTCTGTAGAAGGGAAGAAGCTCTACCAAACTGACGCAAACGCCGTTCGTTGAATCCATCATATCTATCAACGGATAACTGACTTCTCCGGGGTAATTAAAATGAAGTAAATCTGCCCAAACCCAGTCTATAAGTTGATCCCCCATCCCATCCCATCCATATCCCTCTTCGTTGCAATCCACACGCGCACAAATTTCTGTAGATGAATCGCCTCTCCCTCCAGGAGGTTCATCGATCCCGCTCAGCTTATCTCTTACCGGCCGCCCTTCTCCTGAGCTCAACGTCTCCCTCAGCCAGAGTGATGGCGGCCTTAACCATCTGCACAACGTTGATCCACTGCTTGGCGGCACAGATGGGTGCAGTGGCGATGGCAACAACCCAGGGCCATGTGTGGTTCTGGGCAAAGTCGGGGAAGCTCAATAGGTAGAGCGCGAGGAAGAACAGCTCATTAGCGGCGCAGAAGGTAAAAAGCACTTTCTGTACTAACTATCAGTATGGCCGATGCTACAAGAGGTTTCCCCGGGGTTGCATACGTTGTTAGAGTAGTAAAGGTTCAGAATTTTGCTGCGCTTCTTCTCGACTTTCTTGTGGGAAGCGGCTCCGGAATCCAGCGATGCATACCTATTCACCGGGGGTCTCCGTTAGCTACCTCGAGTTCCCAAGGCAAAACATCCGCCACGTGGAGTTTTTCGCGCATAACGCCACCGTTGCCCCCCCTTGCCATCCAAACGCGATGCGAATAACACGCAAGCAGCAGAAACACAGACACACACACAAAAAAGGGATACAACGTACATATGCATGTAGTGACTCGCCAGATCTAGCGAGATGAGCACCTGGAACAGGACGGCGTAATTGGTGTAAGCGGCACTCAGGAACACCAGCAAGCACGCAGTTGTACACCGATCCGTGACCATGTCCAGCACCGCGCCGAACTTTGTCGCCTGGTTGAACTTGCGCGCGGCCCATCCGTCCAGAGCATCCAGCAGACACGAAAGCGAGTATAGTATTGCGCAGTAGTTGGGATGGTACGACATGAAGTACAGCGATGCTCCAGCGAGCAAAACACGCGAGTATCCTATCCATCATCACTCCGTCAGTGCCGGAGCACGCGACACACACATCCGGGGGTGAGCAATACCGATCAGGTTTGGAATGAACAAAAAGATGTTTCCAGCATCAGCGTCAGAAATGGAGGCGGACTTTGGTCGGCCGTTCGCACTGGACTTTGAGGCAGCCATAGTGTGGGAGGTTGTAGAGCGGAGGGGTTACGGTTGAGGTGGGGCGGGTTGTCGGTGAAGCGGTGAAGCGGAAGGTGTAGCGGTTAAGGGGTGCAAGAGCACAAGATAAGGACCGTTCTACTGGTACTATGGGGAGGTGCGTGTCGACGTGAGATGTTCGATGAGCGGTGAAGGGCGTAGCAATGGATGGATCCGACTAGAAACGAGCGTAACGGGTTCGATGTCGGAGTTGTGAGGGCAAAAAGTGGTTTTGAGATTTTGTGGAGGGTTGGATGTGGGAGTGAACTGGGGAGGTGAGAGTTGGGTTTTGAGTTAGAAGGATGGTTGTTGGGCCGGGCGTTCTGGAGTGGAAACGAACAAGACGCGGTAGGGATTCGGGGAGGGGGGCACAGCAGAATTGAGAAGTGGTACGTACGACACCAGGAATACCAAGTACCAACCGGACGTGAGTATTTGGTTACTGGTACCAGGTACCAAGTACCACGCCCTCACACGAAACGACCCGTGCGCACGGCCCGGGACATGGAACTACGCAGCTCCGAACGCCGCAGCGGAGCCCCGTAAGCGGCGAAAGGCTTTCGTACGCTAGGCTCTCGACAGTGGGTGTTGACGAATTCAAGCTGTTTTGAGGACGGCCCGAATCGAGCACCTGGCCGGGAGAAAGTGATCATTTCGTCATGCAGACCGGTTCCCGTTCTCTTCATCGTCCGGGCGTTGGAATGGCGGCTGCGTAACTACTATGGTACTTGTCCTGAGGATCTTCCCGCCGTCCTCTTTCTCCCGAGGTTCCGCTCGGCTTGTTCGCGGTTTCGATCATCGATTCCTAACTACACGCAAACAGTCTGTACGTACCCGCGCGCGCGGAAAGCTAATGTCACGGCCTTTACCAGTCGAAATCAGTGGTTTCGACTCACCGAGCCAAAACCCGATGACCGACACCGGCACCGAGAAAGGCTCGTGAAAGGACCGACGGAGATGGGACGAAAGGAAAGGTCCAAATGAGGGAAACACAGCATCAGCACCACTTGGCGACACACCAGGGCTTTCTCTGGGCATGTTCAACGGCAGCTCATGAGAATCCTGGCGAACTCTCACGAACCTTCCCACAGTATCCTCTTAAAACTTTGTATGTGCCCAATGAGATACCTACACGAACATGAGCTATAATGAAAGTTTCTGCATAAACTCTCTGCCTTTTCGTTGCACACATTCTTATATTAGGTGCCGTGAGAGCTTATGCTTATGACCACCGTTCCCTGGAGGGGGGCGCGAGTGCGATCGTGTGTATGGCTGTGGCACGCAAGTAGGAGATATCGCGGTATATGCCTTCAGTACTGCCCCTTATATGGACGATTGGATTTCGGTGCCTGCCTTCTGTGTTTTAAACATTCGGGCTCTCTTTTGGTTGCTATGAAAGAAGCCGGAAGAGAAGCTCTCTTCCCTTGAGATTGGATGGTTTCGCGGCTACGGAGACTCACGCAGGAGCCAAATCGAAAAGCTATCACGACTTTCTTAAACAACAGAAGCCCATCCACCCTGTGGAGATTCCCTTTGTTTCGTTTGATCATTACATTCGACGTTATTAGATCATGGCAGTTACATGGCCGGTTCCATCCCAGGTACTTTCCTGCCCAATGTGAGTTCTCTAATATCTTCCGCCCGACCCTCCCTTTGATCGTACCAAGGAAGTACATGCAGAAAGGAAAAGAAAAGAAAAGAGGTCCGTCCCTCGCACCTATCCTCGCTACAAAGACATCCACGCTCCACATGATAGGCAACGCCGTAGCTGTCGAGTGAGAATTCCAGGCGGACAGTAACTTCTCTAGTGGTATCCACTGTGCGAGCATCACCACGGCAAGTGGCGCATAAGATCCCCAGTTCTCCACCAGTTGCGGTTGCCGGATCATCATTTGCTGCCAGACAGTTCGCCTCTGTCCGGTAGATTCTCGAGCACCAGTGCCAGTGACATTATTTTTCAAAAAAAGAATTGCAATGGAACATCACAACTCCAAAAAGCTCGAATGACCTATGGAAATTCGAGACGTTGATATCATTTTACAAAAGCGTGGCGCAAAACTTCGCTTGTGTGTCAGTGTTACACTCCCGGTGACATTCACGCACGTTTAAAAGCAATCGACACCTCCGCTTTCAACCACACCACACTCAGCGCCGGCATCATCCTCTCGAAGAGATATCGCCCCCCAACCCCACACCCACACCTATAAGCACCTTCCCTTCGTCTACCCAGCAAGCATCGCACGTCGAACCCTACCTACTCCCGCCGCCACCTAGTTCGCTGCACATCAAGCTCTCTGCTTCGAGCTTCATCCTCACACCTCGCCATCCCCGCCCATAACTACAATCCGCAACGATGAGTTCGCCTCGAAGGAGGATCGAGACAGATGTGAGAATTGCTTTGAATTCTGCTACGGGTGAGGGCGAATACTGACGGCGGAATTAGGTCATGAAGTAGCGACACCGTCCTGATGCCCGGGTATAGAACCACGTGACTAACCTACGCATAGGCTGTAGGTGACCTATGCATGGAGAATTATGGGACTGTACTCAACTGTTTCGCAACTACAGGTTGATGAGTGACTATGAGGTTACCTTGGTGAATGATAATAGTCTGTACCCCACGGATTCCACAGCTCTTCCGACTTAGACGTGCTGACGTGCATGTACCCGCAGTGTACGACCTCTGCCAGCGCTGCCGCTGCCGCCGCTGCCTCTCCGGATACATTCGCTGATTTCTCTTTTCCACCAGGTCGGAGTTCTACGTCCGCTTCAAGGGTCCGGAAGAGAGTACGTATCCCCTGCGCCTGTCCTGATGGCTCGAAACCAACGTCTTCAAGCACCCTTCAACGGCGGCACGTGGAAAGTCCACGTTGAGCTCCCAGACCAGTATCCCTACAAGTCACCATCCATAGGCTTTGTGAACCGCATCTTCCATCCCAATATCGACGAGCTGTCAGTTCTCATCACCGCCTCTGTCGTAACTACCCACTTTTAACCTTTGGCAGAAGCGGTTCCGTATGTCTCGACGTCATCAATCAGACTTGGTCGCCGATGTTCGATATGATCAATATATTTGAAGTGTTCCTTCCGCAGCTGTTACGGTATCCGAATCCGACGGATCCATTGAATGGCGAGGCCGCCGCACTGCTGATGCGGGAGCCGAAACACTACGAGGCGAAGGTTAAGGGTGGGACTTCCCTTCTCTCACGCTCTTCGGTGATCGGGACTGAGTGATGCAGAATACGTGGAGAAATACGCTACCAAGGATGCGATTGAGGACGGAGACGAAGGTTCTGACGATGAGGACGAGATGAGCTCTGTTGGTAGCTATGACGATGACGATGAAGACGATGAACCGGCTGGGCAGATGGAGGTTTGATTGCTAATTGCTGAATTTCGGTTGGTTTCGATGTTACCCTGTAGTTTTTGCGCGCTGTTTTGGACCTTTGTTGTTGTTCTTTAATACACACATTTTTCCTTTTCCTTCTCGTTCGTGGTAGGGGTTTGATTGATGGTGTCGGTGCTGCTCCTTGTTGACGGACATGCTGATATGGTCTTCGCCACGCCTTCGTGATAGCCCGGAGATGAAGCTGATGTATAAAGATTGTTCTACTTCTACTTGCTTGTAGTCCAACTCTAGATGTGATAACGAGCCAGGCGGAGGGAAATTTCGCCTCCAGAAAGCTGTAGATGTCTCGACCCGTGGCCATTCCTATGGCTTGTCTGACCCAGCGGTGATCTCCGGGCCGGGATGACCCAAATCAGGCAGCTACTCCACATACGCTAGTTGCTAGTAGTGGCAGAGCTCTTTACCGCATCTGCAGAACGCAACGTGTGCTTCAACAGCTTCAAAGTCCAGCACCTCATCTCGTCACCATTCCTCCTTCTCTCACTACGAATACACAAACCATGAAGCAACGTACCACCTACCTCGTTTCCGACACTTTGGCCACGCACCCCGACAACTTCGACATCTCGCCCACAAGCCTACAGATCAAGTCCCTGCACGCCGCGCGCGAAGACCGTCTCGCGATCGGCTACGACGAGCTTTCCGCCGAGATCCAGGACGTGCTGAAGCAATGCAACGAGCTCCTCATCCGCTGGTCTACTGGTAGGCCGTACACCAGCGTGGATCCGTTTGCCGCCCGAGTGCCGGCGGGCTTGCACATTCACCTGCGGCCGCAACGCGATGTTGTTCCGTATGTTTCCACCACGCGGGTGAAGGGGGGGGCGGCGATATTGGTTGACTAACTGGAAGACCTATTTGCAGATCTATATGTGACACTGTGAACGTCGCGTTTGGCATCACCGACTGTCGTGGCTTCGCCGAGTCGTTTATCCCCATCTCCGGCGTCGAGAACGCATACCAGTTCTACGCACCGGTGAGATCCATCGACATGTTCGCAACCTTCGTCGCAGATCATCTATGCACTGGTATGAATTCGTGGGAATGCGCGACTGGCGTCGAGTCCGCGGATTACGTGGACCTCAAGTGGGATGCTATCTCGCAGATGATCGTGGTCAACACGTTCTGGTCGAAGTCTGGGGAACCGCAGGGAGCGGTCGCAGTGAATGTCCAGGAACCGAGGAACATTGAGGTCGGTGTGCTGGGGAATGATAGACCTATAGCAGAAGAGAGCTTGACTATGGGGGGTGTTTTGCACGTGGTTGGAAAGGACGATAGAATGGGTATGTTATGGACGTCGCTTTCCCGATGAGGGGGTTTCGATGCTGACTGTGATAGAACCGGTCATGTTCACTTTCCCGGCACGACATCACAGCTCTCCAGCGACTTATAGCCTCACGACGTCGAAGCCACCTGGACTGCATCCGAAGCTACAGCTTTCGATTGCGCATACCCAACCGCTCAAGGCACCAGGCGACGAGTGCACTCTAAATGCGTACTTCACCCTACCACGCGGACTCTTCATCGACAAATACCAGCTGTCACCAACGAACCCGCAGCTCCTTGAGTCCCTCAACATCAAGCGCATTCTCGGTGTTAATGGTGAAACAGATCTTGAGGCGCCGGTTTGGGCGAGTAAACGCTGGGGAAGCTCCTTGCTGGTAGAAGTGGACACCGCACGGGCCTCCAATGGGTTGGATATGGAGCTGCCACTGCATCTCCGGTACCTCGAGCCCAAGCATGACTCCACCTTATCGGAGGTGAACTTTACGATGCCGGCAGTGTTTTGGGCTTGCAGAAGCGAAGAGTGGAGTAAGATGGTAAGCAGCCCCTTCGATAGACTACACTTAGGGTGGGAACATCTATTCCCGGAGCAGACTATGTACTACCACCTCTCGCCATCCGAAGATGCATGGAAGTCAGTGCCGGTTCCAGTTCTGGACTTGCAGCAGGCGATGCTGGTCAAGATCGGGACTGTGGTTGTCATCGTGAGCGGCTTTTTGTGGGTTGTTTGGAAGACTTGTGCGGCGTTCACTGGTGGAAAGAAGGTTGGGGCAGGGGAAAAGAAGACGCAATAGTTTACGTATCTAATGGACACGGCAGTTAATGAGGGGGGCTGGACGAATCAAGCTTGTTTTATGTAGATTCCGAGTTGTATTATCTATCATCTCGCTCCAGTCCCGGAACCTGATGATCAATCCGCGTCTCACGTGACTGTATCTTTAGCGGGGTTGACTCAACGAACCCCTCCATCCAGCAGCATTGAGTGTATAAGATACCGACCGACTGTGTCAACTCCTCACCAACTCCAATCTAAACCAAGCAACCATGGCCGACACTTCCATTGAGGACCTCCTAGCCCCGCGCTTCGCCGCTCTCGGCCTCGGCGAGAAAGCGCTCAAGGAAGCCACGCGCAACAAGAAGATCACCACAGCGTGGACAGAGGTGCTCGAAGAAGCCGGGATCGCCGCCGACCACCCCACCACCATAGCCGATGCGAAAGTGGGCACCACGCTGGCTTCGCTGGTCTCCACCACTGCGAAGGGCGACGGCGCGCTCGGCGGAAAGCGGAAGTACATCGTCCAGGCCATCCTGGACGGCCGGGTCAAGACCAACGTGCAGGTCGATGCGGCGGTGAAGTTCGTCAAGGCGTGCGCCCCCGCCGCGGAGGTGGACGGCGAGGCGTTCGATAAGGAATGCGGCGTTGGTGCGTTCCCCGGAGTGGGCGCGGTGGGATAGAGGGGGGGAAGTGCTGATGGTGATGACGCCGGACAGGAATCGAGTTCACCCCCGAGACGCTGGCTGCCGCCGTGGCGGAGTACATCGAGAAGAACCGCGCCACGATCGAGGAGCAGCGCTACAAGACCCTCACCGCGACGCTGGCGGACGCAAAGACCTCGACAGACCTGAAGTGGGCGGCGCCCGGCGATCTCAAGAAGGAGATCGACGCGCAGTACCTTGCGCTCCTGGGCCCCAAGGACGAGCGCGATGCTCCGCCCAAGAAGCAGCCGAAAGCGCCGGCCGAGGCGAAGGCGAAGGCTGAGGAGAAGAAGACGGAGGAGATCGCGAGCGATCGTATGTTTACGGAGGGATTCTTGGCGCAGCTGCATAAGCCCGGTGGGAACGAGCAGATCATCCCCGAGAGGATGAAGGAACACTTGGAGGCTACCGGCGGAAAGGTGTTTACTAGGTTCCCGCCGGAGCCGAATGGGTACTTGCACATTGGCCACAGCAAGGCGATTGCGATCAACTTCGGATTTGCGAGGTACCATGGCGGTCAGTGCTACCTGCGCTACGATGATACCAATCCCGAGTCCGAGGAGGAGAGATATATCGTCGCCATCAGGGAGATCATCGAGTGGTTGGGCTTCAAGCCGTTTAAGATCACCCATGCGAGTGATCATTTCGACAAGTTATATGAGCTGGCCGAGGACCTGATCAAGCGGGATAAGGGATACGTCTGTTACTGTACCGCCGAGGAGGTGAATGCTCAGAGGGGTGGCAAGGACAACCGTGCTCCTCGGTTTGAGTGTGTACACAGAAACAGGCCGGTTGAGGAGAGCCTGGCGGAGTTCAGAGCGATGCGAGACGGGAAGTACAAACCCAAGGAGGCTATGATGAGAATGAAGATGGATATCTTGGGCTCGGGCAACCCTCAGGTGAACATGCTTCAGGACAACCGATCGATATGGCTGTACTAAACGGATGGGGTAGATGTGGGACTTGACGGCATACCGGATTCTGGATGCCCCTCACCCTCAGACCGGTACTAAATGGAAGATATACCCAACATACGACTTCACCCACTGTCTTTGCGATTCTTTTGAGAACATCTCGCACTCGTTGTGCACGACAGAGTTCATCAATTCGCGGGAATCATACGACTGGCTGTGCAATGCTTTGGAAATTTACAGGCCTCAGCAGAGAGAGTGAGTACTTGTTCATTTCTCGTAGGAGTGCACAGATACTTATTTTCACCAGATATGGCCGTCTCAACCTGACCGGTACCATCATGAGCAAGAGGAAGATCATGAAGCTCGTGGATGGTGGACACGTGCGGGGCTGGGACGACCCACGGCTGTACACACTGGTGGCCATCCGTCGCCGCGGTATCCCGCCCGGCGCGATTCTGGGCTTTGTCAACGAGCTCGGTGTGACCACATCCCACACCAACATCCAGATCAAGCGCTTCGAGCAGACGGTGCGACGGTACCTTGAAGAAACCGTTCCCCGACTGATGATGATCCTCGATCCTCTGCGAGTCGTGATCGAGAACTATCCTCGGGAGCAGGTTGAAGAGTTCGACTCCCCCTTCAAGCCGAACGACGCCAAAATGGGCACCCACAACCTGCCGTTCTCCCGCGTCATCTACATTGACCGCTCCGACTTCCGCGAGACGGCTTCAAAAGACTACTTCCGTCTCGCGCCAGGCCAGCCCGTGGGTCTTCTCCGAGCGCCGCACCCGATCCGCTACGTTGCCTGCAGCAAGGGCATCGGTGGAAGAGTCCTCGAGGTGGTCTGCCGTTACGAGAACGACGTCCCCTTCAAGAAGCCCAAGACGTACATCCAATGGATCGCCGACGCCCCCGAAAAGGGTTCCCCCGTCCCCGTCGAGGTCCGTGTCACCAATCAGCTCTTCAAGTCCGAGAACCCTAACGACAATCCCGACGGCTTCCTTGCCGATATCAACCCGGACAGCGAGGAGGTCTTCAAGGACGCCATCATCGAAACCGGTTTCCACGAGATCCGTCGGCGCGCGCCGTGGCCCGAGCAGGAGGGCGAGAAGGATAAGAGCAAGATCGGACCCGAGTCTGTTCGCTTCCAGGCCTTGAGGGTGGGGTACTTCGCGATGGATAGAGATACCGTCGATGATAAGATCGTGCTCAACCGGATTGTTACGCTGAAGGAGGACGCCGGGAAGAATGCGTAGGTGCGGATGATGGTGTGCTAGTAGATCGATTTCCTACTTTCTTCTCTGCTTAGTGTTTTGTGGGTTGGGAGCGGGTTTGGTTGTGTGCTCGGTATAGATTGCAAACGTGAAACATTGGTGTAACGGTTCCCGTGTCGGCAAATCCCGAGTGATATCGAGTGTTTGTCACGTGCCTGTCCTCCTCTGCCCAGGTCCGCCCAAACTTCAAAAAAGACGCGTTTCTTTTTCCAGGCCCGTTTCTTTATTCAATGATGACGGTCTGCATTTCACCACCGTCAGGCTTTGCATTTACATCTTCCTTCGTGGATCTCTTTTTTTCGCCGCAAAGACTTTGAAGTGCTGTACTCTAGGTGCTGCGCGTTGAATGGCTGTCTGCCCTGCCACCGGCACTGCACATAAGCATGCGTGGCAGAGCTTTTGCGTCCGTCCGTTCGCTTTGCTTATGCTGATAAATTTCAAAAACTGGACTGGACCTGTCTTGACTCACCAACGGCCAACTTTTAACCTTCCCCCCCAAACCTACAACGCATCACCCACCTCCACCTCCACCTCCACAACCTCCACCTCCACCACCTCCATCACCCCCACCCACACGACTACCAACTACGGCCTCATCCTTTCAACTCCACGAAACTGCGAACTGCAAAGACGAGATAACGACTGGGAAAACCGCGTATTGTCACCGCTGCTCATATCCGCCCGCCGCCACCCCTTTCTCGGTCGAAACATAGCCTCTCTCTTAACGATCCGCCACGAAACGAATCGGAACAGAGTAAAGGAAGCTTGCTCGCTGCAACGGTTGGAAGGGGGGATAGTATCGTAGTCGGTCGTCGTCGTAGGGTAGAGGAGTGGTAGGGTAGTGAGATCGGTTCGTAGGATTTAGAAGCAGAAACTTCGAGGAAGGGGAAAGAAAAGGGGAAAGGCCAAAAAAAAGAAAAGACGAGCCCTCTCGCCTCCGCTTCCGCCTCGCCGCATCTTCACTCGGGCTTCCTTCTGCCCCGTAGGCGCAGACCTACATACCATACACGCAGCAAAGATGGCGACAGCCGCACCCGCGCAACCACCGTCCAAAGCCTGGGAGGCGAACCACAACGTCCAGGTGATGTGCCCGGACTGCCGGGAGATGCCAGCGAACCTAGTCGAGGAGTTCAGCAGCGGCGACATGGTGTGCGGATCGTGCGGGCTAGTCCTGGGCGACCGCATCGTCGACACGCGCTCCGAATGGCGAACCTTCAGTAACGACGACCAGGGCAACGACGACCCGTCCCGTGTCGGTGACGGCGCGAATCCGTTCCTCAATGGCTCGCAGCTGGAGACGTCGATCTCTTATACGCCCGGCGGCGCAGGGCGGGATCTCCATCGCGCACAGAGCAAGGCCACCGCCCAGAAAAATAATAATAAGACCCTCCTCGCCGCGTATAAGGAGATCGGGGCGTTCTGCGATTCCATGGGGCTCTTGAAGAACGTTTCCGACTCGGCGAAACAGCTGTTCAAGCGGGTCGACGATAACAAGTCGCTGAAAGGAAAGCCGCAGGAGGCCATCATCGCCGGCTGCATCTTCATCGCCTGCAGACAGGAGCGTGTCCCGCGTACCTTCCGCGAGATCTTCGCCCTCACCAAAGTGCCCAAGAAGGAGATCGGCCGCGTGTTCAAGCAGCTGGAGAAGGTGTTCAACGAGCAGCAGCGGACCGAGGAGGAGGAGGCACGAGCGAAGGGCGATGAGCCACCCGTCGTGTCCGCCGCACACTACAAGACCACGTCGAGCACCAAGGCCCACGACCTCATGATTCGGTACTGCAACAACCTACACCTGTCGCAGAACTGCACGGCGATCGCGCAGGAGCTCTCGAGCAAGGCGGCGTTCCTGGGTACGCTGGCCGGTCGCTCCCCGATCTCGAGTGCCGCCGCGTGCATATACCTCGTCAGCTACCTGATGAAACAGCCCAAGTCGGCGAAGGAGATCAGCCAGGTTGCTGGTGTCAGCGATGGTATGCTTTCCCCTGCTTCCCTCCCTCCCTAATCCCATAATTGCCTCCGAGTGATGGATGAACCGGTGGTTAATCCCGTTTGCTCCTGGGTATTAAGGCACCATCCGCAATGCGTACAAACATCTCTACGCCGACCGCCACAAGCTCATCGACCAGCGCTGGCTCGAGGGCGGAAAGGGCGACATCAGCCTTCTGCCGACATCATGAGGGCCCCCCTCTCAGCCCAGTCCAGCCCAGCCCGTCCCGTCTCACGTCCCACGTCCCCGTTGCTGTAGATGTGATTTCTTCCCTTTTCCCTTTTCCCTTTTCCCTTTTTCTCCTTGGTTCATTCTCGGATATAAAATTGGCACCGGTCTGGTCGGTCGGTTGGGGATTTGCTTTGCTTTTTGCTTTTGCTTTTGCTTCTGCTTTTCTTTCATTTTTCTTTATTTTTATTCTTTTGTCATCTTGACTTAGGTAAGTACCAGCATGCTTTGTGCTCATGCGCGAGGGAGGGAGGCATGGTTGCTTTGATTTGCTCTGCTTTGCTTTGCTTTGATGTGTGGATGTTGTACTTCTACCTACCCTTAGAGATGTGGTGGTGGTTGTGGTGGTGGCAGACTGATATTAACTACAGGAGGATAACTACTACTTAATAGAGGAGGAGGAAGAGGAGGATGGTATGGGCTACCTATTGGCATAGTAAGTATTACCGATAAATTGGTGGTGGGATGGGAGGGTAGGACGAGAGAGCTGGTTGAGAGTGAGCTGGCTATGATTACTCGATTCGAAATTGATACCCAGACTTGGGATTGAAGTGGTTCCAGGCGGGATGATGAAACAAAAAAACAACGGGAGAAGTGTTTCAAGCGTGCTTGAATACTTTTTGCCGAGTGATAGGCGCGGACTGAGTTCGGTGTGGGTGTGTGAGTACCGTACAAGGTTCACAAGTGACAGCAAACCGCTCATCAATCAAATCAACAAGCCAATCCAGTCATACCATTCCGACTGTAGGTAGTAGTAGGTAGCCTATCATACAAGAAAAACGCTAAAGAAGCCAAAGAAAACGAAAGAAGCCAAAGAAAAAACCAGACCCTCTACGCCCCAGTAAATTATTTATGTGTAAATCATTTCATCGAAACGGGGCACATATCAGTCAGTCTACCTCTACCAACCCCCCCAGCACGCTTTACACAGCCGCCCACCGACTATTGATCTGCTTCCGCTTGACCATTGGCGCGACAAACATAGTGCCGATAGTGAGCGCAACGATCGTGAGGACGAGCTGAACCTTTCCGAAGCCCTTGCCCAGAATATCAAAGGGCATGCTAGGGGCGACGCGGGTACCAAAGAGGTCTCCGCCATAGGCGAAGACGAGACTGGTGGACTCGAGCATGCTGGGGGTGGTGGCGACGTGCGTCAGGCCGAGCATCTTGCGCTCGTGCGTGAGCACCGCCTTGGGGTCGATATCGATCACGGGCGTGTAGCGGAACAGGCCCTCCTCCTTCTCGGCCGCGTCGGTGTCGCGCCCCACGGGGCGCCGCGGGTCGAGCACGCGCTTCGGGATCGTGTAGATCTGCGAGGTGCCCGCGAGGAGCGTGAGGACCTCGCGCGAGGTGATGCCCTGCTTGGTCGATGTCACGGCGAAGCTTGTCACCGGAGAGGGGAAGATGTAGCTTTGCGAGAGGACGTAGGGCTTGCCGTTGGTGGTGAAGGAGGAGACGTTGGCCGCAGGACCGAGTGCGCCGCGGTCGTTCTTGAATTCGCTCTCGTAGAGTTCCGAGACGACGAGCTGGTAGCCCTTTGCGGCGCCGGGTGTGGCGACGACGTCGTTGTCGCCGAAGAATGTGTACACCAGCCAGTTCTCGGAGACGGTGGCGACGATGGGCTGCGAGGTGTCCGCGCCGGCGTGGGTGGCGGAGTGGAGGATAGAGCCCGACACGGCGTCGAGGAGGTAGACGGATGCAGTGGAGAGAACCGGGTTGATGGTGGTGATGACCAGGAGATGCTGGTTGAGGTACTTGTACATCACCGAGCGGTCACCGAGGACGCGGCCGATCGACGCAACGGGGTCGTGGGCGGGACGGGTAGCAAGCGACGTAACCTCCTCCGAAGCCGGCGGGACAAATGTCCAGGTGGTAACCGGCTGAGACGAGCCCGAAACACGGATACCCTTGACCGCACGGGCCGACTCCTTGATGGACAAGTGCACCGGTTCGAGACCGTAATCGCCGCCGAGGGGAAGCACAACTGCGTCGTTGTTGTCGAGGAGTGCAACGACAGCCTTAGCCTTCGTTGGGGTGTCAAACAAGGCTGTAGCCTTAACAGTAGCCGCAAGCTTGTCGTGATGTAACAAGGTGCCCTCGAAGGCGTCGTACTCAACATAGTCGCCGCCAGTAGTGACCACACCCACTGTTCCCTTACGAACTTCGTAGATGCCCAAGACTCCCTGGAACCTGACCTCAGGAGAAGCCAGTAAAGCCTCCCAAACGACTTCACCGCCCTTGCCAACATCAATAGCCGCGAGACCGCCTTCTGCAGTGACGACGATAGCAAACTTCCTGAACCCGAAAAAGTCCCTCCACTTGCCAGTGTGCTCGGTGTCCACAGTCTCGGCAGTCAAGAAAGCGTTATAGATCCTGTGCGGAAGTGCCTGCAGCCAGTCGGGGCCGTACAGGACAAGCTCATTAAGATGTCTCTTCACGCGGTGGACGTAGGCAGCGGCAATGTTGGTGTGGGTCTCGACCTTGAGCTCGTCGACGATTTCCTCGGAAGCCTGGTCCAACAACTCGACCCAGGTCGAAGCAACAATGGACGACAGCGACTCCTTACGGCTCCACGCAACCTCACCGTTCCTGATCAGGTGCGAATCACCAACAAATCCAGGAGCAGTTGAAGAGACGAATGTGCGCATAGCGTAGGAGGCCCCGTCCGGGCGCGGAGCAACCTCCGAGATCCCAAAGGCCGCGTTGATCGTCTGGTTGGGAATGACATATGTGGCCAGCACCTCGGGCTGCCTGGTGTCGTAGAGAATGGTCTCGCCGGGAAGGTTCCAGACGAGGTATGTCAAGTCGCCGGAGGTACTGAGCGAAGAAGCGCTGTGGGCACCGATCCGGGGGAAGAGCGCATAGAGCTTGCTCACTTCTTGCGTCGCGGCGTTGACATGGTAGAGATCAATCCACGAGTCGCCGTGCGTCTTGAAGTGTACTGCGATCTTGTCGGTGAGAGCGTACAAAGATGTCTCCCGGACATCATTTGGGATCTCGACGGCGATCGGGGAAACTTTGCGGCCCCAGGGCGCAAACTTGAGGGTCCGTCCTGAGTTCTCGGTCCAGCTCAAAATGCCATCACCGTGGAGCACCTGGTGCTTCGAGGGAATGTCCACGTGTGCAGCAATCGACGATGGCGACGACGCTTGTCCAGTAGCGAGAGCGATAGTAGTCAGGTGGAGTTGCTTCGCAGCGTGCGACGAGGCCACGATAACCTCCGAGTTTGTAACGTGGATCGAGACGGGAGTATCCTTGCTGCAACGCCGTCAGTTCCCGTCGTCAAGCCAGACACCAAAAATCGACAAAAGGCATACCTGTCCAGACCTCTCCACTCCCAAGCCACGTCTCCCGTTTTCTCGGCAAGCAACCTGACAGCACCATCCTCAAACAGCGCCGCAACGGCATTACCAGCAGTGACCCCCAGATCGACAACTTTGCTCGCAAACTCATTGTCCCAGACCAACCGCCCACTGCCAGCGTCAAAGCTGGAGACGCCATTTCCCGTAGCCGAAACGACGACGCCGTTTCCACCACGTGCGAGGCCATTCCCGCCGGCCACATCGGCCAGCTGCTGGCGCCACACCAGCTCCCCATCCTTCGGGTTGAGCGCGGCCAGGACGGACCGTGTGGTGAGCGTGTAGATCAGCGAAGCTCTGGACTCGGCATCTGGGCGGTGGAAGAAGGTTGCCGAAGCGATTGACGGGCCGATGAGTGGGATGTGCCAGTCGGTGGTATACGCATCATCCTTATAGACGGCAAGGACGGATACCGCGTTGAAAAGGAGCAGTACGCCCGCGAAGAAACGCATGTTAAGGCGTGGATTTCGGGGATCGGAGGTGTGTGTCGGGGTTGAGACAGACGTGGAACTTTGAGGTTGAGTTACTACTTGAGTTGATACATACTGCGAGCCGCAGCGCCAAGACTGTCAGCAGTTGCGAACTGTCAACAGTGGATCTCAAAGATGCGGATACTGGCCCTGTCTCTCTTCCCGCCGTTCTCTTTGGCGGTATAATCCGGGAGACCTCTGGAAAACATATTTATTTATCTTTGATGATTCGAATGAATTGAATTGATATGAGTTTATAGCATCGCCACTGGCGGTCACTCGCTTTGATATCCGGACGGAGGAGAATTGTATTCATTTCTAAAGTGAATTGCCTCAAGAAAAAGAAAAACTCCAACGTATCGAACGAACGAAATGTGTATCATAACCAAAATTACCCAGACCCAGACTCCAAACCCGAATGCCCAAAACCAGCCCTAAATCCTGCTTCCTAACTCTTGATAGGATGCAACAACATCGCTTTCAAACACATCCTGCCACCCCTCTCGAGCCGATCAATCTCGCCTTCCTTCCCTTTACTCCCCGTCACCCACGCCTTATACAGCTCAGCGGGGAAGTGGGCGTTATAATACCACGTCCCGCCCCGGAAGTTATGCTCCCTCTTCCCAAAGACGCTTTCCTTGCGGCCGCCTGTGAAGCCATCGACGCCGTCGTTAAACATCTTCTCCATGAAGCCTACAGGCCACCGGCGGTCCATATAGACCGGATGTGGCGCAAAGACCGCCTTCAGCCCGTGATGCAGCGCTGCGGTGGCAGGAAACATCTCCGAGAACATGGCGCGCCCGTTCTCGACATTCTCCTTGTGCATGGCGGTCAGTAGCCGGCGAGAGAGCCGCGATGCAGTGATGATTGCGGCCCTGCGCGGCGGGTCGGCTGGGTATCCGGTCGTGTCGTCGCGGAGGATCCACGTGGTCCCGTGTGGGTCGAATAGAGGGTTGAAGGTGATCAGGTCCGCGGGCTCTCCCTCGCCCATTGGGGGATTGGGGAGTATGGGTGTTACACCCTCGACTGGCACAGGGCCGAAGATGGTGTTGTTGGTGATTGCAGCGGTCGAGGCAACGAACTCATCCCAGTCGCCGTGGACGGCTGGGACGTAGAAGCGGGAGTTTCTTTCCCACAGCCCGCGTCGCGGCTGCTTCTCTGTCCAGAGGTCGAGCTGCGAGAAGAGGTGGTACCAGTGGCCCGTGTAGCGGATATCCATCTCCCAGTTCCAGACAAAGTCATACTGCGAATGCCGCTGCGAAAACCACTGTACCGGCATGAAAGTGCTACGGTACACACCATGCTGCGGCAATCGTAGGAACCCCTTGTCATCCGGAAGGGTGGCCCCTCTCCAGTTCGCAGATGTGTCCGGGACACGGGCGTAGATTTGCTCCATGAGCGGCTCGTTCCATAGTTCAGTCAGGTTCCAGAACTCCCTCGGCAGTCCTGACTTGGTCAGAGTCTCCCGATATACGTTCGGATCGTCCCAAATCTCCAATCGCTTGTTCCGCACATGCAGCAGGATGTGGACTGTGTATTCGCCTCCGGAAAGGAGCGAAAGCTCGCTGATGAGGGACCGGAGATTCGCGACGTCGTTCAGCGTGTATTTATATCCGGTATATGTCCGAAGTAGGACGGCATTGCGTGGAAGCTTCTTCTTCTTCTTCTTCTTCTTCTTCTTCTGCTTCCCATCCCTCTTCCGGTTCTGAGGCTTCAACTCTATTGTCAGCTTTCCGCCCTCTTTCGCATCCTTGAATCGGGCTTTGTTAAGTTCTCCGCATTCATCCTGCAGCATCCTCCAATCGACGCCCCTCCAATCGACCTTCCTTAGCGGAAACCCTCCCACTCCATGCGCCGTCTCGACCGTCTTCTCTCTTTCCCCGCCATTGAACACCGCGACGCCGAGCCCACCCTCGTCGGGCATATACCCATAGCCATAGCTCCCCAGCCGTCCATATCGATCAAAACACACATCGCTCTGCAGCCCCAGCACCTGATGCGACCCAAACGCCGGCTCGGGCATCCCCTCAGGCACGCCCTCGAACACCCGGACCTCGGGCCGTGCCCGCCCCTCGCCAAACGAGCACTGCACATACGCCCCCTCCCACACCTCCTGATAACTCTTCGACTCATACGCCGGATACGGCTCAAACACCCTACTCTTCTTCGTGGCGGCCAGCTCTCCCCTGCCTCCTCCTCCCTCCCCACCATCCCCCCCACCTCCCCCTCCACCTATCCCCCCCCTCCTTGGAGGAAACTCGGGTACATTCCACTTATCCATGACCTGGGTATAAAGTCCGGCATAGTACTTCTTCAGCTTCGGAAAGCGGCGCCAGAGGCGCTCTTCGCCGGCAAACAGCTTGTTGTTCGCCTCCAGCAGCCGCGACGACGCGCCCGTCATGTGGTACAGCGACGTGCCGACTACGAGCACGGTGCTGATGAAGAGTAAAACTAGGATCAGGGAGAAGCGCGTGAAGATTATGTGGTGGGTCCGCGCGAGGAGGGAAGTGAGGAGGGGGGGGAGGCGTGATGGCCGCGGGGGACGTCGATGGGGACGGTGGGTGGACGAGGACGAGGAGGTGGTGGAGGTGGTGGAGGTGGTGGATGAGACTGAGGCATTGTGCATGTGTCGTGGGGTATGGATGAGTGGTTTCTCGGATTGTGGGAGCGACGAGGAGTCCCCGGATGGCGGGTGTCGTGCGTGTAGGCTGTCTTCGAGGGACGCCCACCAGCTCATGGCGACGCTGGTGTAATCAGATCGATTGAGCTACTGCTGGAGCTGTCAGTAGCTGTGCACCGGCGGCCTTGATAGTAGAAGTGATACTCACTGGTATGTAGGTGTCGTCCGGTATAGTAGATGGTGTTTATGCTCGAAAGATCCGTGAGGCGCGTGGACTCGCAGCTGTCATGAGATCGTTTGTTTTGTAGCGCCCTCGCCGTTGTCGCCCACCCACCAGTAACTCTTCGACTTCCTGGTTGTAGATCGCGGTTTACAACTTGCCCTTTCGGGATTAGCGGTACAGAGCTGTCGAATCAGCGGTTCGCAGGCAGAGCGCCCACAGTCTCCTCTTCTGCTTCGTATCAAAACATAATGTTTCATTCAACCCGATGCGAAGCTGCAGCTGCCCATCGATATTATCGAGGAGATTCGAGGTATCATAGCTCTATCACCAAGACCGGAGTTAACATATCCACAGAAAGCTTGATTTATCCCCCCTGCAATCGACGATATTCACAGCGAAGTCTTCTCGAAGGTAGCAAGTGCAATAGTATAAGGCAAGTCAACTGTGCTTCAGGTGATACGTTATACAACTGATATGGACTCGACTGTAGGGTAGGTGCGCACACCGTGGTGTAATCCGAAGGCCGCAGAATACTAGAGTCGATCATGGAGCTTTCCCAGTCTGCTGGATACGGATGGCTAGCGATCTGAGAAGGTCAATCGTCGCAGGGCGAAGGGTAAGAAGCTACACAGAGCTCGCGGATGAGCTCAAGGATAACTATGGCGGACTATACCGAGCTTGGGGTTGAAAGCGATCGATCCGTTGAGTTCCTCAGCTGTTGTCCTGTTTCATCACTCGTCATGAATTCGCGGAAAGCACATGCACGCCGGTGTCTTGAATGAAAGGACTGAATTTCGGCCATTCCGGCCAGCAAAGAATGCCCTACCTATCCAAAGTACCCTCGGTCCGCTGTGCTTCTGCATACCAGGCAGTTACATGGTACCGTGGCCTGTGTCGCCTCGGAAGCGGCGATTCGGGAATTCGCACTCGGAGTCGCACAGCCACGGCGGCAATACCTAATCCTGCTTTTTGCCTCTTGCTCGCCGACACGGTAGGTAGCGTACGTCACGGTCACCCCCGCGCGGGTCTTCGGTATCTGTCGAGTACCGGTATGTACTACTACGGTATGTAGAGTACTTTACGATTCCTCGTAGGGCTGTCTCCCTCGTAGGTATTTTTCTGTGGAAGGCAGTCCAGCGTGCCCGTGAAGAACAAGTTGCCTCGGCGTTTATGGCATCTACATATGGGCATCGATATGTAGGTACGGCTTGCCGCTTCAGCGTGCAGATTCCTGTCTGGGCATATATATACTCTATGCACCGTCCAGACGGGTACGTTTATGTAGGGCTATGTATGTACCAGGCAGGCAGGTACAAAGGCCTGTATGTAGAGCACTCTATTCTACAGAGATCCCCAGCAGGCACAGGCACAGGCTCCGAGAAGAAGAGCTTTGCATGTGCTCGGAGTATTCCGCAGTTTCGTGTGTATGTAGCACGGCGACGACGGCGACGAGGAGGGGCGCACAAAAGGAAAATGAATTATCGGAGGACCGGGTGCCGTGCTTCTTCTGCTGACGACCGGAATCGACGAATGGCGGACGCTTGCTCTCTCACGGGCTGGCTAACTACTGCGGAGGAGGAGGGAGGGCGAAAGTGTTGAGTTCTGTCGCGTGTCGGTTGGTTAGTGTGTCCCCGAGAAAAATGTCAAGCTGGATTCTTGGCGGAGGGACTGGGTGGTGGTGGGCGAGAACGAGAAGTGCAACATGATGTTCGTCGAATGGGTGTTAGTACTTCTACATCTGCTGCTCCCGCTGTTGCTATGTATATACCTCATCTGCTGCTTGCTTGCTTCTCAACAACTTCATCCATACCTCATTACCCCATGCCGCGCTCTGTCTCTGCTAGGTAGATAGCATTTGTCCATACGTTGACTAAACCGGTCCCTCCCCCACTACGAACCCAATCCACTACACTCAACCTACACCTACACCTAACTACACCTCCAACTACAACTACAACTACCACTTCACCTGCTAGGTATCTCCATGCCCCCATCGGTCGCGACCGCTACAACAGCTGCCAAATCACTTCTCGCCTCAGCCACTGCCACCGCCTCGAAAACCGTTCCTTCCGTCGCCGCAGCCACCGCCCATTCCACTGCCCTCCGGAGACTGGACCTGATCAAGCGGAATCTATCATCGTCGCCCGCAAAGATGTCGCCCATACCCACAAGGAAGCACCGTGTGACGGTCATCGGATCTGGTAACTGGTAATTGCACCCCGATGTCATCGTCGTCGTGACGGGAACAGCAGAATGCCCTTTGCTAACCACCGCCGCCCACTACAGGGGAAGTGCCATCTCCAAGATCGTGGCCGAAAACACCAAGGCCCACTCGCACGTCTTCGAGGAGGAGGTGTACATGTGGGTGTTCGAGGAGAACCACCAGCTCTCGTCGGACCACCCCAAGTACGACTCCTCGAAGCACTCCTCGCCGCAGAAGCTCACCTCGCTGATCAACGACCTGCACGAGAACGTCAAGTATCTCCCGCGCATCTCGCTGCCGCACAACGTCGTGGCCACACCCGACATCAAAGAGGCCGTACGGGAAGCGACGATCCTCGTCTTCAACGTGCCACACCAGTTCATGGGCAACATCTGCAAGCAGATCGACGGGGCGGTGCTCCCGTACGCGCGGGCGATGTCGTGCATCAAGGGCGTGGACGTGTCCGCGGAGGGGATCTCGCTGTTCAGCGACTACATCGGCAAGCGGCTGGGGATCTACTGCGGCGCGCTGTCGGGCGCGAACATTGCCAATGAGGTTGCGGAGGAGAAGTGGTCCGAGACCACTGTGGCATACGATCCTCCCGGCGACCTGACGCCGCTCCCCGAGGAGCTCCCCCCCGTCGACCACGCCGTCATGAAACACCTCTTCCATCGCCCCTACTTCCACGTGCGCGTCGTCCGCGACGTCGCGGGAGTGTCGCTCGGCGGCGCGCTAAAGAACGTTGTCGCCCTCGCCGCGGGATTCGTCGACGGGCTGGGCTGGGGTGATAACGCGAAGGCGGCGGTGATGCGCGTCGGGCTGATGGAGATGCAGAAGTTCGGGCGGGCGTTCTTTGAGTCGTGCCGGCCGGAGACGTTCACGGAGGAGAGCTGCGGCGTCGCCGATCTCATCACTAGCTGCAACGGCGGCCGCAACCATAAGTGCGCGATGCTGAGCGTGCGCGAGGGAAAGAGCATCGAGGAGATCGAGCAGCGCGTGTTGAATGGCCAGAAGCTCCAGGGAACTAGCACTGCGAAGGAGGTTAACCAGTTCCTGAAGGAGAGGGGTGTTGCGCATGAGTATCCCCTGTTCACGGGTGTGCATCGTAAGTGCTGTCCTCCACCAAAATCACATCCACCAACATATCCACATCCACCAGCATAGCCCCGCCCCCTCCCCCCACAATCGCCGACTCGTTCGGATCCTCGTTGCGCTTATCTTGTCCAACATGTTGGCACACTCGCGGACGAGGACGAGGACGGGGACGAGGATGTGGAGGCAGCGGCGGAGACGCTGATATGATTTACATATACCTTGTTGCTGTGTTGTGTTGCTTGTTGTTGTGTTGTTTTGCCAGCGGCTAACCGGTGATTCTTTATGCAGTGATTTTGACCGGCCAGGCCAAGGTTCGTTGTTGCCAGCTTCCTCCCCCAGCTTCCTCCCCAAGCTTCCCCAGCTTCCCCAGCTTCCCCCAGTTTCCTTCCCGGTTTCCTGTCATGTCTGTCATGTCTGTCAGAGTACATACACACATTAGCCGGCAGGATATCTACATACCCGCTTTCTTCCCCGCATCCCATCCGTTGCAAAACATATAGGTACACGTAAACTAATCATCTATTTACGATAGGTTGAGGATCTACCAAAGATGATTGAGCCTAGGGATACGAATTAATGACCTACGACCGACACCGAACCGAATAGACGCCAGTATCTCGTACCCATTATGACTACGAGCTCTAACCACGAGGGTTTGCATGAAGTGGATTGGATTGGATCTTGGGCGTGGGAGGGTGGGACAGGGCGGGGAGATATATGGTTGGGTTGGGGAGCATTGATTAGAATTTCATTTCGGTTTCTGTTACTCTTTTTTTTTTACATTAATTAATTTCGGCGATATCTACTACCTATGTTGCAATTGCAATTGCAGTGACGGGTTGTACCGTACATCCTTTTCTCCTCTCTTCCGTATGCTAGGTTGGCTTTTGAGATATCTTTTGGTTTGGTTTGGCTATCGGTTTAGCTGTCTATCGGTTTAGCTGTCTATCGGTTTGGCTGTCTATCGGTTTTAGCGATTTGGGATTGGGAGGATGCGAATGTAATACGACTTCTCGCCCCGAGTTTTTTCCCAACATAGACAATGATCAATCCTCGCTGTATGCAGATCCAATCCAATCCAATCCAAGAGCAAGCGGGAAGTTGAATAGTTGAATGAAAAATACCGCTCGATACAAGATACAATAGGTAGGGCAAGTGAATGTAGCCCAAGTAACCCCCCTCCGTCCCCGCAACCCCCCACCATCCCCCATCCTATCCCCCGTCCCCGTCCCCCGTTTCGTCCCCCGTCCCCGGTTCCCCGTCCCCACGTCCCCAAAAGCCCACCGCAGAAATAAAAAGTAAAAATAACAAAAACACCCCATAATATGAAAACAAAATGGTCAATGAAATAGGATAGGATAGGATAGCCAATGATGATGATGATGGTGCTGAAAACATGACGCAAGCAATGATGAGTACAAAGATAGTAGCCCAGGCGATGTGAATATGATGAGAAGGGAAAGAGAAGAAAGAAGAAGAAGAAGAAAGGGAGAAACTTGAACTCCAAAAAGAAAAAAAAAGAACCGGGTACCCCAGATGATGAGAAAGAAAAGAAGAAAAAACAACCAAGAATCCCCCCGCCCGTCGCGCCGCCCAATATATGTCAAGTCAATTCCTCCCTCCCCGAACCAAAAAACGGCGAAGCATAGTTTACGTGACACTAGATGTACAATATCTAACCGTACAGATCCTCTTCCACCATCGCTACTACAACATCCCGTCAGTCAGTAACAATCTCGGGGCTTATCTTCTCGCAGGGACAAACACATACCATTATTACTCTTAGTCGGCGTAAACGAATTCTTCTTCAATCCACCCATCATAAACATCATACTACTCTCTCGCCTCCTTGATTTGGATCCCTTCCCGTTGTCCGGTACCGATAGTCCGCCGTTGCCACTGCTGCTACCAGCATCTTGTGGTGGCATGACATCGAATCGTGGCGCACTGATTTGCGTGGGCGATGTGATCTGCGGTTGCGTATCGTAGTTTGGCTCGTACGAGACTATCTGCGGTGGGGGCAGCGAGCCGGGCGGTCGGATGGTCATTGGGTGGGAGGGGAGCATGGGGGTTCGCGGCGGTTCCATCATCCGTTGGGACGATAGGGCTGGTCGGTCAGTGGACTGGAATGTTTGCTGGCGAGGGGAGAGCGGGCCGGGGCCGAAGCCGGGAGTCGATGGATATTCCAGGGTTGGGAGCGTCGGCGGCGGTGGTGCGGGCGGTGCTTCGCCGTCCAGGAAGAAGATGTAGCGGTACTCGTGCAAGAACATGGAGAAGACTTGAGCCGGGATGTTCAAGGTTGGAGAGAAGACGATGCCGACGTTTCGGATGGTCATCTTGTTGACGTCCGAGTTATCGACGATCCTCAAGAGATGGCCCGAGAGCGCCTTAAGCAGTGCAAAGTTCTCCGGCGGGAGGCTATGCACGAGGTTGTTGAGAGCAGTGATCTTCTGGTTCTTGTCCTCCATCTCGGTGACCTTGACGAAGTCGTCCCGTCGGTCGGAGGTCAGGATATTGTTCGGCAGTTCGCGGAGGTACAACTTGAGCAAGCCAGAAATCGCATGCACGTCGTAATACTCATCATGGCCAAGCAGGTTGACATCGGCCTCTGCAGGGCTAGTTAGCCACACACACACACAAGGATAGGAAAGTGCCATGATTTTGCCTACCAGTATTAAACTTCTCCCTCAATCCCTTAATTACCACATTGCTACCCGACAACCTGAAGATACCTTCCTCGTCCGAAGCATTCTTCGCGTCGAGATACTCGATACACCGGTACACGACCGAAGGAAGTGCCACTTCGACACCGGGCGGCTTCGTCAAGTACACGGCCTCCTCGAGCGTCGCACCAAACACCGATCGCGACAGCGGGAACCTCTCCACCGCTTGTTGATGGCCGGCCGGTTGTTTCCCTTGGTCTTCGGAATTCGATGAGATCCGCTGCTTGAACCCCCATATACTCCTCTTCTTGGCCGCCTTCTCCGCCTTCTTGTCTTCCGCTGACTTACCGGCGCCCCATGCCGCAGGATCGGAGATGACGGACCCGTTGGTTGGTGCCGAGATCTGTTTGACCGGATGGCCCCGTTCAGGCACGGGTGCGCTGGACGAGAACGGCCCCGACTGCGAGAGCATCGAGTTCGGCGAGGGCGAGACCTGCTGTCTGCTCAGCTCTTCTGGAGTCGGGCCTCGCGCAGGAGCAGGTCCTTGACTTGCCTCGTCATAGCTCATGCTCCGCAGTGAGATACCGTCTCCGTCATCACTACCGTCCTTCGCCTCCTTGCTGTCCTTACTCTTGGAGTGCTTAAGCTTCTGCTTGCCATCCTCGTCCTTCTCCTTCTCCTTCTCCTTCTCAGAGCTCACATGGTCGAGCAGTGCATTGACCCATTCGTCCCTTTCCTTGTCGTTCTCAGAACAGAGCACGTGCCGCACCAGGGTCGCCGAATCCTTTCTCTTCGGCTCGAGAACCAGGAAGGCATGTCGGTATTGGTTATCCTCGTCTCCACTAGCGTCGTCCTTTGCCTTCTGAGACGCACTTTGCCGTCCAATCTGCGCGCCTTGCAACTTGATCTGACCGAGCTGAGCACCGCCTGGGGTATCAAAGTACCTCAAAACCGGCCCGTCGAGGACAAAGTATCGCTCCTTCCATCCGCCAAAGTTTTTGCCACGCTTCGTCAGGTATCCTTCCTTGACCGCAGTGATTCCCAGGCCGACATTGTCGCCGGCGATTGGGGGAATGCTCTCCTTGATGGTCTCGTGTATGCTGTTCGGATAATGCTCCACAACATCGGTCGAAAAGAATTCGCAGAGTCCCCGCGCCGCAGGTTCGTTCATGACGGCACCGAAAATACCAGCGAAATACTCGTCCAGAGCCGCCCTCCGTGCATCCACCCTGGCAGGTGCGTATCCCGAGAAAAGTGACCGATCCGGAACCTTGGAGTGGTAGGTGATGTACTTCCTCAGCTTCGAATCCAGGGCTGGCAGCGCCCCCACGTCCTTCTCGACCCTCAGAACCTCCTTCCCATCGGTTCGTGAAAACAGGCCCAAAGTGAATACCGAGTCTTCGGACGAGGGTCTCGGCTTTCCGGGTAACATGCTAGCTCTTGAGGGCTTCATCCTCGAGGAGACGACGCGGCAGTCCACGGTGGTGATCTCGGATGGCCTGATGACGAGCTCGATGATTGGCGAATCCTGTCGCACGCTTCCGTCGGAGGCGGCCCTTCCATGCCCGGTGACGAACGGAGGCATCCTGGGAGATGCCAAAGGCATTGCGGATCGAGGGGTCGCTGGGATGGTCAGGCTCTGGAACACGGGCTTTGGCGTTCCCGGAAGTCCCAGAGCGGAGTCCATCGAGAAGCCACGGGGCATTGGCGAATTCGGAGGCCTGTCTACTGGTCTCGGAGAGCTGGGCAAACCGGGGCTAGGCAATGGTGCCCTGACGAACGATGCCTTGATGCGAGCCGTCTCGGCTTCGGGAGATAATCTGTGGGACATGTTCATGTTCGACGGACCTGGAGTGAGAGGGACATGCATGTGCTGCAGATACTGAGTGGGAGGGGACCGCGTGGGTGGAGCAGTAAGGGGACCGTTGCCTACGAATCTGTTGTTGAAGGGCATGGGCAATCCTCCCACTTTGTCGTCCGGAGTGGCTTGCCAGCTATCGTCACTATTGGAAGCTGCCTGGGTGGTTGTGCCTATGTCATCGTGGTGGATCTGGTTGTGGAGTTGGGAGCGTTGGAACTCGAGAGGAGCTGGCGGTGCCTTTCGGATTGGGGTTTTCCCCATTCCAGGGGCGGGTGGTACAGCGGTCGTAATGCCCAGTTTCTTCTCGTAAGGTTCCGTTCGCGCGTGTGACCTACGGTCGTTTTCGTGCAGTTGATCCCGATGGTCGGGTGGTAGACGTGATAACGGCGATACCATCTTGGGCGAGAGCTGGGTGGGGGACTCATTCCGTTCGTGGTCATCATGCAGCCGGTGGATATCTGACGATGTAACTTCCCGTGGCCCGCGGAATACCACTTCATCGCTTAGATCGAAGCCTTGAGAAAGCCCCTCGAACCTTGCTGTAGCAGAGGAATCGATCGGGGACGAGATCATGCGTTCACGGGTAGGCGAGAGGGGTTCGATGGCGATTTCGAGGCCGGAAGCTTTGATTCCGCCCCGGCCCCTCTCGCTGGTCGACGCAAGGGATTCACTCCTCGTGATGCCCTCGCCACGAGTCGGTGACCTCGACGCCGATCTACTGTGCGGCTCGTCCAAGCTGGGCGCGGGGCTCTCACTTAAACCTCGCGAGGGTATCGAGCCCGTGGGCAGTGGGGGGATCATGCCCATGTGCTCCTTTAATTTCGTACGATACCGGTCCTTCTCCTTCAGAGCACGCTCGAGATCTTTATTGAGGCCCAGGATCATGGCGCGCTGTTTATCGACGAGCCTCCAGAGCTGCGAGTTCTGCGCCGTCATGGACTGTTTCTCCTTCAACAAGTAACGTACTGCCTCCTCCGCCGAACCAGCAGCTTGAATCAAAGACTGAACATCGGCTGGTGAGCTGCCGGTGATCTGGGAAAGGGCGTTATTAGAACTACTAGTAGAAGACGTATGAGCGTGACTGGCGGCCGACTGGACCGATGCCGAGGAAATTGCCGAATCGATGGAGGAGGCTCTCATGATGGCCCTGCTCGGGTTCGATGTGGTCGACGCCATTGCGACAGGCGGAGGGGCGACTACTGCTGCTGCTGCTGGCTCCGAAGCCACGGCACCCGAGGGGGACGAGGACGAGGACGAAGGATCGGATTCGGGGAGGGAGCAAAGACGCTGGTGCGATCTATCACGTCTATGATGAGGGGTGGGGATTCCAGTGGTGATTCCGCCGACGAGACTACACGCTTCAGCGGCCAATTTCTCGAGCTGGTCTTGAGGTGAGCTTGGGGTTTCGGAGTAGTAGTAGTTGTTGTTGTTGTTGTTGTTGTTGTTGTTATTGTTGTTGTTGTTGTTGTTGTGGGGATGGTGGTTGTGGTTGTGGTAGTGGTGGCGGCGTTGCGGAGTGTCGCAAGGGGAAGGGCGGGTTACGGGAGGTGAAGATGGAGGTTGCAGCGGCAAGAGAGGGGGGGGAGGAGCAGGAGGGGGGGGAGGAGGAGAAGGAGCAGTAGCAGTAGCAGTAGTAGCAGGAGCAGGAGGGACAGTCAGGGAGAGCAGGCTGCGATCCAACCTATGGTCCTGTGCTTGCCAAGGAGGAGGAGGATGCTGGTGCTCGTTGAGCGATAGTGGGTACTGGGAGTCAGAGGGGTTGTGGTTATGGTTGCGGTGGTTGCTGCGGTGGGAGTGGTGGTGGGAGGGCTGGTTTGGTGACTGCCTGTTTGAGAGATGCGATGAAGCCGCCGTGTTGGAAGAGTTGCGGGCGGAGGAACTGCTGGTGGTGGTGGTGGTGGTGGTGGTGCTGGCGCTGGTGCTGTTGCTTGTGGTGGTGGTGGTGGTGCTGCTGCTGCCGGTGCTGCTGCTGCCGGTGCTGCTGCTGCCGGTGCTGCTGCTGCCGGTGCTGCTGCTGCCGGTGCTGCTGCTGCCGGTGCTGCTGCTGTTGCCGCGAGCTGACCGAGGATTCCCAGTTCCACGCTCACTCTCCGCAGTAGCGCCTGTCATTATCTCCGGCCGAGCACCACTTCGAGTAATTACTGTTCTATGCTGCATACATACGCCAGTATGAGTATGGAGATGTTCGTTTGGGGATTAGGGGAGAGTGCGACGATGAGTGATCGGGCATGTGGGTACTGTATCTGGGGGGGGGAGTTGTGTGGGGGAAGCTGCTTGCTGGGGGAGGGGGGGAGGCGCGGAGAAAGGCACTTTTTACACACACACACGCAGAATTCTGCACGCACACAACTTGCACTTTCCTCGGTGTCTCTCTCTCTTTCTCTCCTTCTTCACTCGCACACACACCAGGCAGGCAGTAGACAGGCGACGGACTTGAACGACTAACGAGGTGGGGGAAGGGGGGGCGGGCAGGACAGACAGCACAGGACGAGACAGGACAGGACAGGGCAGGGCGTGGTTCCTAGTCGGCATGCGGGTGAAGCGAGCGCCGGGTGCAGCAGCAAGCAGCAGCAGAGGCAAGAAAACAAGCAACCTGTGCACCAACCAACAACCTGTGCGCGGCGCGGCGCGGCGGTGGGCGCTGGGACTAAACCGATAAGAGGCATGGTATGGTAGTTACATAACTACGGCATCTACATATCGCCTCGGTGCAACGCGCAGAACTGATGGCGGCCGATGGAATGGAATGCGGGTTGAAACGAAGCAATAACGCTTGGAACAATGAAATTCGCGGCTTGGTGGCGAGAGGAGAGAGGGGAGAGGAGAGAGGAGAGAACGCGTCGCAAGGGGGCGGGGGGGCTGGAGTTCCGCGCTCGCTCACCGTCGAGTGCCGTACCGTATGTAGGCAGGTACGGTAACTACGGCAGGCCGCAATTATGCACAGGTACTGCTACTTCAGTTACATGGCCCTTCACCGAGACGGTTCAACAAGCGGCGTGTTTGCCCGGATTCCACATAGGCACTTGGGTAGGCACGGTAGGTTCATCTGCGCGGCTATGTATAAACCGATGAAGCGATGAGAAGGGGGCACTGCATCGTCATGTCAAATTTCTACATAGCGAGAGCGAAAGAAAGAAGAAGAAAAAACGCGAGATGGCTGCCTATAGGTACTCTAGCTAGTACTAGGTATAAAGTAGTAGGCAGATATCATACAAGGGGGGAAGTTCAAAGAAGAACATCCACTCCCTCGACGGAGCATGGACCATCTCTAGATATCGGCGTATTATGTATAGTGCACACCGTAGTCCATACTCCACGCTCGTGGACGCTGGCGGTCCAGGCACTTTCCGCGGCACTGCGCTTACAACATACCCAACACAACACGCGCCGTAGGCCGTGTGTAAACCAAACCATCTCTGCCGTTTCCACTGCATACGGCAGGTATGTGCATAGACGGTAGATACCTCTTCATCATCAGCAGCATTATCGAGGATCCACAGCTAGGCACGTTCGTCACGCACGTTCGTTCGTTCGTGACGCAGTGATGCTGGGGGAGATGAGGGGAGGGAAGGGCATCTAGCATCCCAGCGTTGAGTGGATCCAAAGAAGAAGGGAATGACGGAAGCGCCGCGAATTGCAACACTGCCTTTTCCTTGCAACGGAACGGGGCGCTTATTCATACGTTCGAGTGTGTTGGCGCTGCCTGCCTATCTGATCGTCAGGATCGCCTCCGCGAGTCAGCAAGGAACAAGGAACGGAGGTCTTGTTGGAGAAAAGTCTGGGATGGGGAGGGGAGGGGGGGTGCTCACTGCTCACTGCGATCGGGGATTGGTTTGTAGGTACCGTATGAAGGTACCTGCTTCAATCACTGGAGGCAACCGGAATATCCTCAATCCTCAAAAACGTGAACGGTGTCGAGCAGAGTGCTTTTACGGCCCGCCATAAATGAGAATCTGTAATCGGCAGTGTTCGAACTTCGAACTTCGAAACGTCGACTTGCACTTTGACGTGAGGCAGAGGCAAAGGAAAAGGAAAAGCGTTATGTACCATTATTGGAATCTGTACATACCCCTGGTGCCTGACAGGCTGAAGCTCTCGAGTAGTACTGGAATAGGTACGGTAATATTGAAGGCGTGTAGAGCATGGACTCGACTCGGTGGGATCAAGCTCTTGTCCCTCCAAGTTCCTCCAAGTTCCTCCTCCTCACCTGCCGTCAGATCCGTGCTCGAGTCGAGTCGAGTCGAGTCCTGCAGCCATCCATCCAGCGGCGGCGGCGGCAATGGCTTTGTAGATACACTGCCCTCCGAAACGCGGATCAACGGCCGCAGAAGCCGCACATCTAGACATATATAGGCAGGCGAACCAGGCAAAGCGGCTGCGCTTAACTGGGTATGCTCAGAGCACACACATTCCCTTGAACGCTGTCACCGACTCACCGTTGTCATCCAGGCACAACTGTAGGCACGGTAGTCAAGTCCGTGCACATTGCACACTGCGTTGCGGGTGGGTGTAAATACAGAGAATACCTACAGTACGGTACTCTTCTACACAAGACAACCAGTCCCGGTAGTTATGGTAGGTTTGTATGTGGGCATATCAGCACTCACCAACCCCACCAATCCCACCACAGCTCATCAGATCAGTCATTCCCCTCCCATCCCGCCTCCCAATGCCCATCGGCCATTAGTCCCCTCCCTGCCCTGTATTGCGTAGCCGCCATTGGCTTCCCTCTCGCATCCCCTCCCATGCCTCCCCTCCCCTCGCATCCCTCGCATCCTGTCCATCCTCTCGCATCCCTGCCAATCCCTGCCCATCCAACATCCACACATCTTTTGCTATGTAGAGTACAAAAAAAAAAGAGAAAGAAAGAGAAAGCAAAACACCCCCTCACAGTGCCGGTGCCGGATCACCAGAACTGAACTGAACGAGTGGGTGGCACGAATGGGTGGCACAACTTACAAGTTGATGCCGTACCTAGCTGATGCGCTGGTGCAGCGAGAGCGAATTGATTATTTCCTACATACATGCTCTACATAACGAACGTTGCGATGGATACCGTACTGATGCATGCACCAGCACAACCCCGAGCTCGGGACGTATGGGGATTCGGGGTTCAAGGGGTATGTAGAAGAAGGAAAGGGCAGAAGTAGAGTAAGCAAGGGGGTGACGGGGGGTGAGAAGAGGGGGGGGGGAACGTGGGCTCACGGACCTGAGCACAAATTGTACTCTACTGTGGTTGCATCGTGGTTGCAACTTGCAATCGAGGGGTACTCACCTATATAGAGTGCACAGTTAGATTTGGTGTCTGACCACCACGAGATGGCAGATGAATGTGTAGATTTCTAGTATGTAGACGGAATGTATATATATAGGAACATGGTAAAGTAGGAGAGGAGAGTAGGTAGGAGGGAAGGTAGGAAGGTATCGCCTTCCCCTCCCCCTCCTCCTCTCCCTCTCACCCCAAGCTCCCACTCCAAGCCCGAAGGCAGCTCATCAGCCGAAGGCAGCGCATCAGCAGGGGCCAATTGCGGGGAAGCACATTAGCGACCCTCGTCCCCTCCCCCTTCCCCCTCGCCATCCTCGCCATCTGCGCAGCGCGCTCCGAGTGCGGTAAGCTCCAGGAACGTGCTTGGCATTTCTCGTTTACTGTCTGTAGAGTGTGTGTATGCATGCATCTTCACGGCGCGGTGGGGCGCGGTGGGGTGGGGCGGTGGAGAAGTTGGTATCTAGGCGAATTTCATATGGGTATATGCACGGCAGATAGAGTGTAGAGTGCTCGCGATTGTCCGAGTGCCTGCCCGGGGAGTCGGGGAGTCGGGGAGTCGGGGATTTGGGGACTGGCGTAAGTGCGTGAAAGCCGAGTCATTGGGTATGAACCGGGAACTACTAGTACTTTGTACGGGGAACCGCGGCGTCGGCGTCGGTCTTTGCGGATCGGTATGTCACTCGTGGGTCGTCCTCGCACGATAAGCCCCACCGAGTACCCAGGCAAGTACATAAGTACCGGTATTTACTCTAGGTACTCTACCCAGGCATGGGAAGAAAAGAAGGAAAAAACTCTTCATCGGCCCCGGCGAGTCGGAAACGTGGGAGTCATATAAACATTATGTACTCCATATGGAGTGGATTACCTAGGCACATATAGGTACCTCGGGTGATCATTAACTACCGGCACCTACCGATATCTAGCTGTTCCTATTCGTTCTTTGGCCAGCTCTGATCAGTGGTGTTGCAGCCAAGTTTCCGATCTCGACTCTTACCGTGGCAGCCGGGCTTTGTATTCGTCAAGGAAATAGTTGGTTAGCCGCGCAGTTGCGCAGCACAACACCTACGTACAGGATCCATTCCCTTCAGTCCGTGCCAAAGCCGATTGAAGCTATCCCAAGCAATGCCACAGCTGCTAGGGAAGTTGGGTATAATGGTCCGATTCGAGTGCCCAGCTATCGTCCGAATCTGATCCTCCGAATCAGTCCCGGTTTGGATCTACAGTCAGCAGAGTATGAGACACTGGGAGTCACTCGGGTGAACTGACGGCACCATCTTTTCCCAGGAAGATATCCATATTCACTATTGCTGCATGCAATTCATCATGAAACCAGAAGCAAAGATAAAAAATATTCATATTGGTACCCGTAGTCAAGCAATAACTACCTGATCGGCTGCTGTACCCCATACTTCAACATGCGGCCAGTAAAAGAACACAGGCCGAAAACCCATACACAGCTACCTAGTAGCCCATTAAACATACTCCGAACACCTATCGAAACAAGTCAAGTCAAAGCAAAGACAAAACACAAAACACAAAACACACGAAAACTCAAACAACAACACCATCCACCGACTGCAACTGACTACGTAAGCTAAGCAGGCGACCGCACCGGCGTCCCTGCACCGACCGCCCCATCGGTATCCGCACCCTCACCCGGCCATCCCATCTCCCTCCTCCTCGCCTCCTTCTGCGCCTGCTCACGCTCCTTCACGATAATATTATCGACGATGACCAGCATCCTCTTGAGCACCGCTCCCATTTCGATGTTTTGGTCACCCCAGTACTTTTCCATCGCGCCCAACCTGCCCGCCACATCCTTTCCCAGGCGGGACTGTGGCCTCCGTGGCGACGGTGAACGCCTATACCCTGGGTGCAGGAGGTTGGGGTCGACGGGGTTAGGCGGAAGGTTGTCGACGGGTGATTCGGGCTCCGCTAATATGTCGTCGAGAGCCTCTGCTTCATCGGGAGTCAACCCTTCGCCGCCCGGGTCGAGGATACTCTTTGTAGACGTTGGGTTGGTCTCTTCGATATGCTCGATCACCTTCTCCAACGTCTCAATGTTCTCCTCGATCATTTCCTGGGCGGATTTGGCTGTTGCCACACTCTTCATTGACGATCCGGACGGACGCTTCTGGAGTTTCCGTGTTGCCTTCAACGTCTCAAAGTACTTCCAATCCAGTGTACCATCGTTGTTGCCCCACATCCCAAGCCCCAGCCCGAGCCCCGGCAGTGTCGCAATCCATTCCTCCATTGTGGGTCCCTTTGCTTGAGCCGTGTGAAGGTTGCTGTCCGCCGCTTTCCAGAAACTGGGTGGCGGTTCCGCACCAGGATTTGGAGGTATAGCGGAGGCAGATTCGGAAGGAGCCAAACTCTCGTCCGCTTCTCGCCAGAACTCAAGTGCTGAGGAAGTTGGTGTTCGCCCGGCAACTTTGGGAGGCGACGGGGATGGGTGTGGTGATGGATCTTTGGGTCTCTGGATTTCCGGGAACGGTGACAGCGTATCATTGGGTGAACGGGCAGCCCCGTCCTTTGGACGCCTTTGAGTCGCATCAGAGACTACAGATACAGGCTTCGGGGGTGGGTCTATCGGTAGTTCGCGGGACTCAATCCTCGGGGAGAAGGTTGATGGCCGGGGAGATTCCACTGGTCCCAACTGGGAATGCTCTTTGGACTTCTGTGAGTTATTTCTGGAGGTCCTTTGCTCTGGAGTTGTCTGCTCCATGATAGGAGACAGTGCTACGCTTTCTCGTATCGGGTCGGCCGATCCATGCGGCGAGCTTGGTGAGACACCGTTTCTAATTGTCAACCTCGGCGGTGCCATTTCCGGCAGCGGGAGATACAATGAACTTTCTGCTGCGGCTTGTTCGACGGATTGCATTCTTGGAGACGCCGATGTCGCCTGACCTTTTCCCTTCCCGTCCTGGGATACCTTAGGAGAAGCCGTTGCTGGGTGTACGGTGGTTGGAGCTGGCGACCGGGAAGAAACCGGTGAAAGAGTAGGCCGGAAATACGGAGCAGGCGGCTTTGGAGGAAACATATAGGTAGAATTCGGCAGCGCTCCATGTACAGTCATGTTCATCAGTTGATCATCAGCCTGAACCAGGGGTGCCTGGTAACGTCGCTCAGCAATGAGAGGTACTGGCGGTATGAAACCCGGTATATCGGCAGCCCGAGGAATGTAAAGTTCCTCATCTGGAGAGCCCGAAGAGGAAGATCCCATATTCTGTGCTGCAGAGTTCCTACGTGAACTAGAGGGAGTTGTCACGGATGTCCAGCTCGCTCGTCTCGCACCAGCCTCTGCTTCCCCGGAGTGGGTGGTGGACATGAGGTGTGTGCCCATTCTCCTCATGGCATTTCCTAACCGGCTGCCGTCTTCTAAACCAACATCCATCTCGGCCTTGTCCGTCCCTCTGGATGCCCTATACGCTTCAAATTGTTCCTTGGGCCGAGAGAAATGGACGCTCTTCTTTACGGAGTCCGAGAGGTGGAGATGGTGGTGACCATCCATGGTGCGTTCTTGGGCTTGTTTCTCTTGGGCATTCTCCACCTGTTGAACCTGTTCGGCCCCTCGAAATTCCTGTGGCTGCCGGGTCTGCTGGGATTCCGAAACCTCCTGGACTTGGCGTTGTTGGCTTTGGTGCCCGGAGTCACTCATTTGCGTAGCCTTCCGCCGCATCTTGCGCTCTCGTTGATCAGTTAACCTCTGTCTAGCAGCATCGAAAGGATGGTGATCCGCATCATCCAGGCTCAGATTAGTTTCAACCGTTCCCGGCTTTCCACGGGGCCGAAGTAATTTTGCAGCCAATCTCGAGCGCGAGCTGTTTGTGCTTTTGGTGCCTAGAGCTTCTGCATCCTTGGCTTTGGCCTCTGCGGCGGCGGCGGCCTTTTCTGACCTCTTTCTCTTGAGCGCATAAAACTCTGAGGCTTCCGTAGGACTGTCGTCGGAGTCATCCTCCTGCTTTTCGGTCTTCTTGCTAAACAACGTCGTGATTTTGGACCTTGCCTTTACGGGCACGGTGTTGAGGACCCGCACACTACCGTCTATGTTTGGTATGCTGTTGCTGTGGGACCCCGAAGTAGGTGCTGAAGCAATGCTGTCATGCCCAGCAGGCCGCAGTACTACTCCTTCCATAAATGGTCTTGTGGGGCCTCCAAACTTCGCATCAGGGAGGGCATCGGCGATTGCGGTAGGCTGGGGGGGAATGTAGGAGTAAACAGGCGTAGACGGGGACATAATCGCTAATTGTTTCGAGCTCGTGCGGCGACCATAACGTGGCCCGCCACGGGAGAGAGGCTTGGATTTATCCCGCACGGGTACCGCTGGCAATGGGACTCGAGAAGCTGGATAAGAGGGTACAGTTGGTGGAACGTCTATAGTGGTTATCCTCGCAGCGGGGCTGCTAGTCGACCGTGGGAGGGAGGTCGGGAAATGCATTACGCTCAATAAATCCCAGCCTTGAACTTGATACGGTACCAGCAGGCAATTGTTGAGTCAATGGCCCTCCAGAATCCCTATAACCCTCGGATTAGCATCGGCGTAAAGATATCATACAACTTAGGACCGTCTTACCCTTCTCGCCTTTGCACACACGGTTGATTCCTCGGCGGTGAGAGATCCAGATGAAAAAGAGTCTGAATAAGCCAATTCACCAGGTGGCCAATTCCGAAACGCAGCAATCCCAGTACCGTCCACAGACGTACCCAATCCACTTGCCCGGTACCAACCAAACCTGACTCCAAACTTCCCAAAGTAGCTCTCAAAGCTCTGCCCGAACGGCGCACGAAGATTCGCAGGAAACGGCGTCCCTTCCCTGGCAAACACAGATTTTATCCTCAGCAGTGTCTCCCACTGCTCCCGTCTAACCGTGCTTAAGAATGCCTCGTTCCAACTCTCCTTCTCGGGCCCAGTCAACTCGGGCCGGCCCAGAAGTTTCCTCCTGCAGTTGGACCGGAGGTGATGCAGCTCGATCCGTAGACGGCAGTATATAAGACTCTTCTCCCACAGTTGCTGGAAGCGTAGGGCGTCGAAGCTGTCCTCGAAATCCTTGGTGATAGCAACCCTGTCCTTGACTCTGCAGCGATTCAGGACGATTCTCTTCTTCCTGGATAGCAGCCGGAGCTCCTTGCTGTGCGAATGTTCAATGTCTTTGATTTGAGCTCGGTGGTACTTGACGAGCCAGCGGTACTCGACGAGGTGGTGGTTGGTGTAGAAGATGCCGTCTCGTTCTTTTGGACGGCGGAGATAGGCTGAGCGGTCAAACGGGGCGAGGGAGTAGCCTTTCCACTGATGAGGAGGCCGCTCAAGAGCAGTAAGACTTCCGGGAGGACGATTCCTCTGGGATGTAGCGACGCACGTATGGCGGCGGTTCTTCTGAAAGACAGGCCTCGCAAGAGGAGATAGAGGCATATCTATCTAACCGCAATCACCACAAAACTGGATACACATACATTGAAGATGAGGTGAACGGAGGAGATGAGGGAGCAGATTCGTATATGGGATGGTTTTGTCGGTGGTGTGTGATGTGTGGTGTCGGGAGGTGTGTATGTGCCAGCTAGGAGGGTAGTTAACCAAAGCCCACGGCTCGATAGGGCATCTCTACGGCAACCGCGGGGAATGTTCGGTCAGCCGAGCGCCGGCGGATGTCTCGGTCCCGTGGGACAGTGTACAGCCCATACGGGCTCTGGCTAGGAACGAGTGAGGGAATGGATTAATAGGTACATGAACGTCCAAAATAAACAATGATATACAAGTGATTCCCATCGAACACCATAGGGGGAGATGCCATCCCATTGCCAAAGAAATCAGAAGACAGAAGACAGAAGGCAGGCAGAAGAAGAAGAAGTAGGAACAACCCAACGATATCAACGCCCTATGTATCTAGTCTACTCAAATCGCTCATGTCTCGCCGCGCCACCCCACAGTCCCAGTGCCTCCCCACTCGTGGTGGTATAATCCCTTACAGAGTTGAACACCATTTTCGCAATCCCTGGTCCCTTATTCTTTTTCTGCGTGCCCATACCTCCGAACCCACCGCTGCCCACACTCCCGCTTGGGATCTCCGAGCTCGGCAGTACATTGTCTGAAGCACTTAAACTAACAAACAGCGCAAACGGCACCATCCACACGCATATACCGAAGAATGCCGAGATCTCGGTGAAGGTTGGGAACCGGTCGGGGAAATAGGGGTCGGCGGTATTCGAGTAGTCGTACGGGCTGCCGCTGAGCCCTCCGGTGCGGTAGGCTGCGGAGTAGGGGTGGTCGGAGGCCAGCTGTGGGTGCGAGAAGTATTTGAACCAGAGGAAGTGGTTCGCGATCACGAGGCCTGGGTCAAAATTCAGCGGGGGCCTCATTCGGCGAGCGCGGAAGAAGCATACAGCAGGACAACATGAAGACCGGATCAGTAAACCGAACTGCAGATTCATCAGCACTAGCGCTTGTGGTCGTGGGCAGAACGTATATGCACCCATCGGGAAAGATTTTGTGACATTGGCGAGGTACACGCCATGACTCGCCGCCGAGAATATCGACAACAGCTTCGGGAAGCCATCAAACAGCATTAACAGGATGTGTATGGCGATGATGCATTGTATCAGGCCGGTAAGCAGCTTCTTCGAAATGACAGTGTGCTCTTCGACCAGCTCTGAAAGGTAGTAGAGGCCCGAAGCTTGACGATATTGTTAGCCAGGATCTGGAAGCTGCGCGACATCCTCCGGGCTGCGGTACCGATGGCGAGAGTGAGGAACGAGAAGCCGACTATCACACCGACATATCCGATCAAAGGGAATATCCACATTGTCGCTGGTTCTGGTCGCTTCAAGTTCAAGAGCGGTAGTGTAAGGCTGGTATGTTTGCGGAATCAACGGTTCGATGTTACGAACGTTTGATTGCTCCACAAAGAAAGTTGTGGATGACGTTGCAGCAAGCTAGGGTGTGGCGGTGCGATGGGTATGATGCGGGGCGCAGGTCCTTGTGCATGAATCAGTTCACCCAGGAGCACTTCAATCACTGGGGACCGATTGGAGATTGATTTCGACCAAAAAGTGGCACAACACTCGACGATGCTGTGGGTTACTCGGCCCTTCTCTACAACATGAAGCTTAATGCCATGTCCACGGCTGGGTTTTGGAGCAAGTCTATTTTTCTTACAGAACTAATCGCAAGAGCTACTGTACAGTTCGCGGTCCCCGCGTGCCCGCTTCGTATCAACTCCAATTTGAAAGAGTGCCCGTCTATCCTCTGCGCTCGACCCTGTTCAATCTTCTTGCCGTGTTGATTTGAGTCCTCGTTCTCTGTCCTCTCACCGGCAATCCCTAATACCGCCGTCAGCACACCGCAAGTCAGGCTCCAGCTGCACCCGGTCCATACTTGAGCATGTCGTCTTCCGCGATACGTTCCCATGTCCCTCAGACGCTTGATATCGTCCTTCAGCTGTCGTCGCAGGTCGTTCTCTATCGTCATTTTGGAGAGTTCGTCGGCGAGAACCATGGTCTTGGAAGTACCCAGCGTTCCGACCTGGGCCGTCTTGTGGATTGAAAGCTTCGCGCAGAGTTTCGAGGCGACACTGGGACCGACTCCGTAGAAGTTCTGGAGCGCCGTCTAATCGCAGGACGTTGTCAGAGAAGTTGCCGTGACTGAGCGCAAAAGGCGGTGATTTATACCTTGAGCACCCTGTTCTCGGGAATGTTGATGCCGAGAATGAAAACCATCTTGCCGTCTCTAGATCGAAGTCGTGTCCGAAGTTCTTGGATTGCGAGGCCAATTTAGCAAGGCGACGGAGCTGGCGGAGGATGGTGGGGGTAATTGGCGACGGCCGGGAACTTTCACGAGCGTGACTTTGCCCGCATTTACCCGGAAAAGCTCTTGGTTAGGCGGCAGTGCGGTTGCTTTGCTTGCTTGCTTGCTTGCTTGCTCTAACTTCGAATGATCCTTGACAGGCTCGTGCTGTGCTGGGCGCGCTGCACAACCGGAGGCAGCGCATATGTCTTCCCATGATCCAGAATTGAAGAAAGAACACCTAACTAACAAAACAACCGTCCTCCCCCAACTACCGCCACCCGTCTGAATCCCTAACCTAAATCCCTCACTCGCAAACCCCGTCTGACAGCTGTAGTTAGCTGCACGTCACCGCTCCACAAGCTAAAAAAACTATATGAGATGCGCGAATGAACAACATTCGCGACCCCTTCAGCATCAGAAACAAGCCCAACTTTAATCCGGCCTTTCAGCTCCTCCGCCAGCAGACGGTTCGGCACGTACACGCCGCCCAGAACGCCGCCCAGAACGCCGCCCAGAGCTTCTCCGAAGAGGTCCAGAAGACTACCCAGACCGTTGTCCTGCCTGCTGTAGACTCGGCTGTTGAGTCCGCGAAGGAAATCGCAAAGGACACGCTCGACCAGATGTCGTTCTCGTTGCCAAAGAATGTTCCCTCGTTCACAGCCGGCCAGCGCGATCTCGAGAACCAAGCTTGGTCCACAAGATTCGGACGTCAGCAGAAAGATCTGCCGTTGTACAAAGACAAGCCATATTACTCCAACTCGGCGACGGTAAAACAGCGCCGGATGGTACGCAAGAAGAGGTTCATTGTGTTCATTGTGGCACTGGTGTTCGGAGCATATTGGTTCGGGGTGTTCTCGCGGGACGGTGTGAAGCCGCCGGTGATTGGAGGGAAACCTCCGCTGCAGAGTGCTGCCGATTGGGATGCGCGGCGGGAGAAGGTGAAGGCCGTGTTTGTGGAGAGTTGGATATCATACGAGAGAGACGCCTGGGGTAATGCCGCTCCCCTCCCACAATCCTAGTGCCAATCACTCGCCAATTCCAGATCTGACAATGCTGTCCGGTCGTCCACAGGTTCCGATATCTATGCTCCCATTAGCAGGAGCGGCCGGCAGATGGGCAACCAGGGCCTTGGCTGGATCATCGTCGACTCCCTCGATACGCTGATGATCATGAACCTGACTACGGAGCTCTCGCATGCCCGGAGCTGGGTGGAGCACACCCTTAATTACGATCAAAACACGGATGTGAATACATTTGAGACCACAATTCGTATGCTCGGAGGGCTACTCTCGGCCCACTACCTGCAAGAGGTACTGCACCTCGTGCCGTCGGATAAAAACACCGATATGTACCTGGAGAAGGCCGCCGGCCTGGCGGACCGACTTATGGGAGCTTTCGATTCGCCATCGGGTATACCATATGCGTCTGTGAACCTGCATAGCAGTCAAGGGATCCAGTCTCACACGGACGGAGGTGCATCGTCGACCGCCGAGGCCACAACGCTGCAGCTCGAGATGAAGTACCTGGCTAAGCTCACCGGCGAGGCAATGTACTGGGAGAAGGCTGAGAAGGTGATGGAGGCCATTGACAAGAACGGAGCAAAGGAAGGATTGGTGCCCATCTTCATCAACGCCGTGACTGGAAAATTCCATGGAAGCGAGATCCGCATGGGCTCCAGAGGTGACAGCTACTACGGTAAACATCCCTCCATGCCAATTTCCTTCCATCAACTCACAGCAAGCAGAATATCTCATCAAGCAATACCTCCAAACCAAAAAAACCGAAGACATCTTCAAAGACATGTACAACGAGGCAATGGCGGGCATGAAAAAGCACCTCCTCGGAAAATCACACCCGTCCCATCTTACCTACATCGCCGAGCTGCCCTCCGGCATTGGCGGCGCAACCTCCCCCAAGATGGACCACCTCGTGTGCTTCGTCCCCGGCATGCTCGCCCTCGGCGCGACCATGGGGCGGCCCGTCGAGCGCGCGCGCAAAGCCTCGGGCGGCAAAACCTGGGGCGCCCGCGAAGAAGAAGACCTCACGCTCGCGCGCGAGCTGATGCACACGTGCTACCAGATGTACGCCGTGACGGAGACGGGACTTGCGCCAGAGATCGCATGGTTCAATGCGGATCCGCCGGCCGCGGGCATCGAGGAGGTCGTCGACTACAAGCAGGACATCATCATCAAGCAGCGCGACGCGCACAACCTCCAGCGCCCAGAAACCGTCGAGAGCTTGTTCGTAATGTGGAGACTCACCGGCGACGAAATGTACCGCGAGTGGGGCTGGAAGATCTTTGAGAGCTTTGTGGCACACACTAAGGTCCTGGGCGGAGGGTATACCTCGCTCGACGACGTGAGAAAGGTCCCCGCACCAGCGAGAGATAATATGGAGAGCTTCTGGCTGGTATGTCTGCCCCATCCCTATCCCAAACCCTTCTCCAACCCTACCTACCTCCCTTCCCATAACTAACGAAACCTCAGGCGGAAACATTAAAATACCTCTACCTCCTCTTCTCGCCCGAGGACCTCCTCCCGCTCGACGAGGTGGTATTCAACACCGAAGCGCATCCTCTGCCCATGTTCGACATGCCGTCACATTTCAAGAAGGCGAACTGGCGGAAGGAGACGACGGGTGCTGCGGATCCGGCAGCAGCAGCAGCAGCAGCAGCACCGGTGGTGCCTCCACCAGCCGCAAAGCCAGCCGCCTGATTGATTGGGCGAGACGGAGGGGAGACATAGGGGAGACGGGAAATGGGGGAGGAGATACTGATTTGCTTTGATTTGACTTCGCTGACTACCTAGCTCACAGGAATTTGGAGGGATTTGGGGGGATTTGTTTGTAATCTCACATTTGTTTTAACTACTTCTGGCAAATACCTGCAAATGTTCGTATCATTACTGAACGCGAGTGAATGTGATGTGTGAATGATAGTTTTAGCGGGTGAACGTAGGATCGTCACGGGGTTTTTATGGAATCGTGACGGAGGCTGTTGCCTAGGTGGTAAGGACGGGTCAGACGGAATGGAATCACGATCAACTACCCCCCATAATAACCTGCTCAGTAGAGTACAGCAAGCATAAATCTCGATTCATTACCCAAATGGTCCCGAACCAAGCTCTAAAAAACGTATAAGTACGGGGAAACAAAAAACATAAAAAAAAACCAGACCCTCACAAGCAGCACACAAGCAAACACGCAAGATGAGATGCATTATACGGTTCCGGTCCCAGTAAGTAAAACGAAAAGTATCGTAAACAATGCAAACAATCTCCATTCAACGCCGAGAAGAAGGCAGCAGCAATAGGGTAGTAGCATAAACAACCACCCGGACCGCCATATCTCATCCCGTTGGTCAAAGAAAGAAAAACGAGAGGTAGAAAGAGAATTAAGAAAAGAGAATCAAATGCAGACAACTCCTTTGCAGACCCCCCATCCCTCCTCCCCCGCCGCAATTCTGTGTGGCATCCATCCCATCCCAATGGTCCCCGATTCTAATGTAAAACCGAAACCCATACAGTAGTAGTATCTCCCGTGTGCATGCTTATGACGAATGAACCCAGGAAATCAAGACGCCCCAGTGGAGGAAAAACCCAGCAAAGGAAATAAGAAAATAGGAAATCGGGCATCAGGCAAGGAAAGGTTGACGGGAAAAAACGAAATGTAAGATCAAAGGTGCTAAGAAAACCCCCCCATTGAAAAGCAAAACAGTAAAGAGAAAAAAAACCCAACAGATTGCGCCATGTTTTCAAAACCAGATCCTCTTTACCCAAGTGTATCTGTACCAGAAGATAAGAACCAGAAAAAAACCGTGATCGTAAAAACTTTTCTCCCGTTCTCATCGTGTCGAGGAATTAAGGTTCAATGAAACATTAGCGCGCATCGTGCCGTGGTAGAGCACTACCACCAGGACTGTCCGCCAGGGTTTCCGTAAGATCCGCCGCCTCCGCCGTAACCGCCGCCGGCTCCAGCACCAGCACCGGCACCAGCACCGGCACCGCCGCTGTAGCCGCCACCGCCGTAGCTTCCGCCTCCGCTGCTAGCACCGCCGCCGTAGCCACCAGCTAGAATAGTGTCAGTACATGCAGTCGAATTGGATGATATATGTAAGGGAACTCACAGTTGTAACCGCCTCCGCTGCCGCCAGCTCCTCCGCCGAAGCCTCCGGAGCGTTCGCCGAAGCTGTTTCCGCCAAACTTACGGAAGTCACGGGAAGCGTTGGTAGCTCCACGACCTCCTCCACGACGGGCTCCACCACCACCACGGCCTCCGCCTCCGCTGTATCCGCCTTCCCTAGCGACGGTCTCCAGGAATGCCGGGACTTCCTGATTAGCCTCCTTGAGAAGGTCAATCAGCTCACGAACGACACCGCGGTTGCCACGGTTGAAGAACGCAGTAGCGATACCGGTGTTTCCAGCACGACCAGTACGACCGATACGGTGAACGTAGTCATCGATATCGGTGGGTAGGTCGTAGTTGACAACGTGGGTGACGTTAGGAATGTCGAGACCACGGGCAGCAACCGCAGTGGCAACCAAGATCGGGAAACGCCCATTGCGGAACACCTCAAGGGCACGCTCACGCTCGCGTTGGGTACGGTCACCGTGGATGGAAGTAGCGGGAAAGTTCTGGTTGATAAGGAAGTCGCTCAGAGCATCGGCCATACGCTTGGTCTCGACGAAGATGAGGGTAAGCCCCCCCTTGTGAGTGTGGAGAATGTCGAGAAGAACAGACTTTTTGTCAGGGTCCTCTACGTATTCGACTTTCTGGGTGATGTTCTCGGAAGTAGAACCCACACGGCCGACGGAGAGGAAAATATAGTCGCGCAAGAAATCCCTGGCGAGCATCTGAATGTCGCGGGGGAAAGTGGCGGAGAACATGAGGGTCTGGCGGTTGTCGGTGCCAGGCATGTCCTCACCCTCAACAATACGACGAATCTGAGGTTCGAAACCCATGTCTAACATGCGATCAGCCTCATCGAGAACGAGGTACTTGATATTGGCAAGCGAAATGCGACCACGCTCTATGAGATCGACAAGACGACCGGGAGTAGCCACGAGAAGGTCACATCCACGCTCGATCTGGCGAAGCTGCGAGCTGATGTCGGCACCACCGTAGACGACGCAAGGCTTAACCCACGAGCGGTAGGCGAACTTTCTGGATTCCTCATAAATCTGAGACACAAGCTCACGGGTAGGAGCGAGGATCAGAGCAGTCGGGAAGGCCTTTCTCCTGCCGTATTGACCGTTGTTGGCTGTCTGGGCAGCGGACGGGCCGTTCAAGAAGGACTGAGAGAGAATCGGGAAAAGGAATCCACCAGTCTTTCCGGAACCAGTTTGAGCACAAGCCATCAAGTCTCTGCCACCTGATACGATTGGGATCGAGTATTTCTGAACAGGAGTGGGGTTCTTGTAACCAGCCAAAAAGATGTTGGCCAGAAGGTGGGCGTCCAGAGGAGGGCTGGTGAACTCTGTGACCGCCTCGGGAACATCATGTCCAGATGCCTCAACCGGAATGTCGTCGTATTTCTCGAAGTTAATTCCAGTCTGCTGCTTGAGGGGGTCGTTAGGGACACCGAAAAGATCCCTCTCGAGACGCTGATTCACAGGGCCCGGGATGTGCTTTCCATCAGCCCAGCGACCCTCGCCGTAGTTGCCACGGCTGCTGCCACCACCACTGGGAGCACCGTATCCATTGGGGTCGAAGCCGCGTGTAGGGCGAGCAGGAGGCGCGTCCCAGTTGCTGCGAGGCTGGCTCGCAGGAGGAGTGGGAGTAGCCCATCCGTTGGCAACAGGAGCAACAGGAGCGGGGCCACTGTTCGACAGCAACAGTCAGCTACGAAATTTCCACGAAAGAACGTTGGGGTCGACCCCAACGATCAACAAAACGAGCATGCAGACAAAAGGGGGAAGGTGTTTCGAAACATACCTGCCGTTCGCCCACCTAGAGCCTTGAACGTCATTGGCGGGAGCTGGAGTGGGAGTGGGACCGGAGGCGGCGGCGGCGGGAGGTGCACGCCCCATGGTAGCTCTCATGTGAGGAGGGATGTACGCCTGCTTGGGAGGAGCCTGACCACCAGCGTGGACGGACTCGTTGATGCCCATAGCGGACATGCGTTGGTTGAGATCAGCCATGATGTGATTAATATGCTATCAAGCTAGCCGATGTCGAGTCGATGAGGTGTGTATGTATTAAGAGAGGTGATGTATGTGGACTTTCCGGCAGTGCAGAAAGTAAGGAAAAAGGAATCGGTTTTGATGGACTTTCCGTTCCGTCTAGAAGTTCGTAACGTCTATAAGAAAAGAAAGACTGAGGCGGGAGCGAAAACTTTTGATGGGGTCGTAAATCGAGCAGGTGAATTCGCTTCGTGAGTGAAAAACGAGAGACGGTATTCCCTTGTTCTTCAGCGAGACGGAGTTGGAGATTTGGTGGTGGTAGGCTTTTTGGTTGAGTTTTTGGTTTTTTGTTGATGGGGAGGGAGGGGGGAGGGAGGGTGGAGGGCAGAGGAGGAGGAGGAGGAGGTTTGCAAGTTGGTGGAGGAAGGAGAAGAAAGAAGAAGTTGGGTCGAGGGGGGAAAAAAGTTGTGACAGCAAGCAGCACAGAGAGGCAAAAGTGGATGGGGGACCCTTGAATGCCAAGACAATGCTTACTTTGCCCGCGGGGCCAATCAGCGAGTGTTTTTGCCACACCAGAAATTTCTTGTTCGGGCAATTGGCATTGTGGCCACGGCAACAGTCGTGTTCCATTGTACTCGGTGCTCTTTCTTTGTGCTGGCTGGCTGGCTGGCTGGTTCGGGGAGTTCGAGCAGCACCGGCATCATCGACGGCAGCGGAGGCGGCAGCAGCGGGCTCTGAACGCATGCAGAACACTTTGGTCGTGGCACTGCCTGTTTGCTTCTAGTCGTGTAGGTTGATCCATGCCCGCACAGCCCGCCGTGAGGCAGAGCATACACTACTCAGGTGCCCGAATCTGCTGGTGATAGTTGAGGCCGAATGTCCCAGGCATAGGCCCCGGTCCTTGTCCGGGGACAGTGGTGGACACTGGAGTTCACTACCCTTCAACGAGGCTGCATCTTCACGCTGACGGTGGCAAACACCCATCCCTCGGACTCCACACCGTACACAGTTCACTTCTTCAGCGTTCAGCGTTCAGCGGCAGATTTGCTATATACATGTAGCGTCATTGCTCCGCAACGGTGTAGCCTGTATGATACGAAACCATCGAAACGCGCACATCTCGAAGACCACGTCGTATTCTTACTACCGCCGCCGGATATACATCGAAGCCGAAACCATCCAGTATTCTTCTACGGAGGACGGCAAGAACCATTATCCACGATGCCGCGACTGGACGGAGGCTGGACCAGGATACTCTCGGTTGCTCCTACGGGCACTGCTATCAAGTACGCCCTCCGCGCCGGAGTCACCACCGAGCGTTCCATCTGTAGAGTGCCAGAGAGTGCTTTGGAGGCACACATCGTTCTTCTGGAGAAGATATCGTTTGAACAACGAAGGAGAAGAAGCACGAATGCCGCTGTAAAGTGCTCTGCAGCCGGATTATTCAGATAACTTCAGCCGCATCAAAGTGCTTTTCGACCGATTTGACCCTTCGACCCGCGGCCGTAAGTTGGAACAGCACGTGTGAACCGAATGGCGTTTAAGAATGGGACTCCGCGGTGTCGGCTGCGAGGGCTGATTGACGGGCTCGGAGAAATTTCCCCTCCTGCCCCCAAAATCGAGTGGAAGATAGACCGTAGGAGGAGAGGCGGTTTATGTAGGTAGTGTGCTGTGGGCCAAAAAAAAAGCTTGGAGTGCTCTCCATAAAAACCTACGGCCGTCGGTAAGCACCTGCGTTGTGGGGTAGATGGAACTGAGGCAGGTGCCAGTTAAATTATTTCGTCGTGCACAGCATCGATATCACCACTGTAGAGGAAGCCTTATGTTTGATTCAGGTACGTAAGAGGCACTTCTCTGCAGCATTGAAGGCATCAAGCGAATTTCTAGAGAATTCCTTCGATAAGGCGGAGAGCGGGTATAGTCGCCGACGCCTCCAGTTGCTGCCGCGACCAATCTAACTATCTGCTACGCGGAAGCTGGTTAGAAACACCGGACCGACCGGGCACTTGTCTGACGTTGTGCTGCAAGTGAAGCAGCAGCAACTTTACCGCAACCCCCAATTCTCGGCGAATTCCACTCTCCACTTCCCTTCACCCCTCCTCCTCCGATTTCATCCTTCCACCTCCTCCGGCCTTCCGTATTGCCGCCCGTCCTGCTTCTTCTCTGCTGAAGCTCCGTCAACCCTATCTCCCCTCACTCTCATCCCACTTAAATCAAGAAAACATGTTCTCGAAGGTACGTCGCTCCCCCAGTGCCAGACGTCACTCATATGCATGCGACGCGGCCATGATGCTATTGCGGCGGCTGTTATCTAAGCGTCTCGCTCGATGACCAACAACCCCCTCCGAACCTGTCCGGAGCTGACTTCTCTTGAACCCACAGTCGCTCTTGAACGCAGCTAAGCCTGTGGCCGCGCGCAATGCTGTTTCCCGCCGAAGTACGTTGCGCCGTTCTACGTTGATGCGATTGTGGTGTTGCTGGCAATCCGGCAAAATTTCTCCGGACGTGCGGAGCAAATGAGCGATTTCATGTGCTGACCTGCGATCCCGTCTGTAGCCATGGCGACTACCGTCGAGTCCGACATCTTCAAGCCTACAAAGTTTGGAGGCAAATACACCGTCACCTTGATTCCCGGTGACGGTATCGGTGCCGAAGTCTCGGAGTCCGTCAAGACTATCTTCAAGCAGGACAACGTTCCCGTGGATTGGGAGCAGGTCGACGTGACCGGTGTGCAAAGCGGGAAGGTCGACCCAGAGCTTCTCTTCAGGGAGTCTGTCAACTCTTTGAAGCGCAACAAGGTCGGATTGAAGGGTACGGAACTCCTTCTTTGATTATTTTTTTCTTTCATCCGAGCACTCTGGCCTCGGACTGGTTGGCGTTGGTGTAGCCCTACGGCGAACGGACGGCCAGGCGTTATCGAGATAAGCGTTCGTGACCACCCAGACTTGGCTGATTCAGTATGATCTGCGTGCAGGTATCCTCTTCACCCCTGTTGAGCGGTCCGGTCACCAGTCGTTCAATGTCGCGCTCCGCCAGGAATTGGACATCTACGCGTCGGTGGTCATGATCAAGAACCTGCCCGGATACAAGACCCGTCACTCCAACGTAGACATGTGCATCATCCGTGAGAACACTGAAGGAGAATACTCGGGCTTAGAGCACCAATCGGTCCCCGGTGTCGTTGAGTCCCTCAAGATCGTCACCAAGATGAAGTCGGAGCGCATCTCCAAGTTTGCCTTCTCCTTCGCGACCGCCAACAACCGCAAGAAGGTCACTTGTATCCACAAGGCAAACATCATGAAGCTCGCCGACGGTCTTTTCCGCAGGACATTCCAGGAGGTGGCCAAGCAGTACCCCCAGATCGAGACCAACGACATGATCGTCGACAACGCCTCGATGCAGGCTGTTTCCCGGCCCCAGCAGTTCGACGTTCTCGTCATGCCCAACCTTTACGGATCCATTTTGTCCAACATCGGTGCGGCGCTCGTTGGTGGTCCCGGTATCATTCCTGGTGCCAACATGGGTCGAGAGCACGCGGTTTTCGAGCCTGGCTGCCGTCACGTCGGTTTGGATATCAAGGGCAAGGACCAGGCCAACCCCACCGCCATGATCCTTTCCGCCACCATGATGCTGCGGCACTTGGGTCTCGACGACCACGCCACTAGGATTTCTAAGGCTGTTTACGGTGTCATCGCTGATGGGTATGTTTTCCTTCGAGCGACTTGTTGGGTCCGGACAAGCTTCTGACCAATATCACAGTAAGGTCCGCACCAAGGACATGGGCGGAAACAGCTCCACCCACGACTTTACCAACGCTGTTCTCCACAAGATGGAGACGATCTTGTAGTTATGACAGCTGGAAAGCGGTGGGCCTCTTTTGAATATGACCCATCTTAACGGTAAATGTTTCTTTTCCTCTTCTCTTGAGCGACGAATCGTTTGGGACAATGGAACTGGGTGTGTGGGTAAGGGATGAGAAGGGGGAGGGGGAAAAGTCGTTACGGCGGGAGCCGGGGCGTGAATTTGGGTCCAGGACACAGGTGTATTGTAGCAGTTTCCCATAGACCTTTGGATGCAAGAGTGTCGATACTAGGGGCATGATCTATGTGATGATGACAATATAGGTATGTGTATCTAGCCTAATTGAAGCGGCAAAGCACTTTTCCCTAGCAGAAAGCAACCAAACAAAAACGCCGTGAATTTTGAATCCCAAATGCCAACCGTCTCCAGACAGATCAGAAAGCAATCCTCCTCTTCCGTCCTGTGTACTTGCTGTCCTTCTTGACAACCTTGCCCTTCTTCCGATCCCGATCCTTCTTCCTCATGATCCACTCCTTTGTCGTCTCCCCTCTCTTTTTCGTTGTATGCCGGCCCCTCTCGTCCACCACCTCAACGCCCTCCATATCCTTCACCGCATCCGTGATATCCCTACCACTCAGCTCACCGCCACTGCCCACGGTCAGAACAAGATAAACCTTCCTATTCTTCGTCTCGGGATCATCCTCTAGGAGACCCGCGCCGAAGCCCGCCTTGACCGCGGCACCAGTGATCATTCCGCGCTGGACATCATTCTTCGGATAAAACTGGAGGACGGCCTTCCCGCCGCGGCGTAGGGACGCATACAGCCCATCAAAGAAGCGCGACAGCCTTCCTGTGGCGGAGACATCCGACGACTCAGCGTTGCACAGCCACTGAATAGCGGAGACGGAGACCGCGGCATCGAACGTCCCCGCGCGGAACGGTATGCCCTGTCCCATATCCGCCAGCAGCAGGTCGCCGGTCGTGTCCCGGTCCAGCGCGATCGCGAGCATGCTGGCCGATATGTCCATGCCGATCCATGTGTGCCCGTGCGCCGACACGATCTCGCCGCTGAGGCCGGAGCCGCAGCCGATGTCGAGGACGAGGGAGGACGTGGGCAGCGCGAGAAGCTCGAGGCATCGAGTCGTCATCGACGCTTGGATCGATTGGATTCGGCTGCTCGTCGTGTATTTCGCCGCTTCGACGTCGGAGTAGAATAGGTCCGGCGGGCTGGGAATGGTTAGTGTAGTGCCCGCGTGCGTTATACGGGGTGGGGTGGGGTGGAGATGTACAGGATGTCTTCAGGGCGCGACATGGTGAGGGTTGTGCGCGGTGTTGGGCGGGTGGAGGTGGGGCGGTACGCTCGATAGCGGTGCGAGTTCTTGATGTGCACGGAGACGGTTGTGAGATCGAAATTTGTGGAGGTGTGCCACTGCGCTAGTGCGATAGGCGATTAGGTTTAAGCGCAGTTCACAGGCTGGCACTCGTAAATTTGAAAAGTTTATCCATCATGTGCTCTTGCAACTACCACAAGTACAGACCTTATGGTACGTCTGTGGTATGGGGTAATGGCCTAACGATGAGCCGAGCTCGTATGTTTAGTCACACGTCACATCATAAATCTTGCAAGCAGAAACCCCATTCAGTAATTCAACGAAACTCCATTGCGATTGCCCGAAGTATAGACAATGAAAGAGAAAGCAAGACACCCAAATTACCCCGAAAAAGAAAACCATCCTAGGTGCAACTGTGGAGGAGCGTGTGGTCTATTTTCCGAACCAGCTCATAATGCCACCCTTAGCCTTGCTAGCCTCCGCCTCGATCTTACGGTCCGCCTCGTCGATCTTGCTGAGAACCGTGTGCTTGGCCCTCTCCTTCGACTCATCCAGCTGCTGGACGCCGGCCTGGATACGCTGCTTGCCTGGTGGGCGTCAGTGGGAGGAGCGTGAGGGGTGGGGTGTGGTGGAGTAAACTCACCCTCCTGGACGGTGTGGTCTACAGTGCTGCCAACACGAGCCATCTTCTCCTCGACAGCCTTCTTGTACTCCTTCTCTCGGCCAGGAAGCTCGTCACGGACTGATACGGAAGCACGAGATGCGTCGTCTGGAGGCACATGTCAGTCGTCGTTATGGGAATCAACAAGAGGAATTCCATACGCTGAGCGGTCTTCTTGGCGACATTTGGGTCTCCGCCAGCACTGTAGAAGTAGTATCCGAGTGCTCCGGCACCGGCGACACCGAGCATCAAAGGAACTCTGCTCTTGGGGGGAACAGCCTTGGGGATGTCGGCGCGGGGGATGTTGATCTTGGGGTTGGGAGTGGTAGACATGGTGAATGGTGTTTGTTTGTGTTGTTTGGTAGTGTTGTTTGCGGTGGGTTGGTGGAGAAGGGAGAAAAGTTACAGATATATGGAGAGGGGGAAGCTGTTATTCGTATGTTTGATGATGAGCGTGGGAACACAGGACGTTTTCGAGCCTTTTTGTATCCAAACAAATTCCGCTGCGGAGTTGGAAGAGCTGGAAGACGTGATGAGCACTGCACGACGTCATAGAAGCATGTGAGGCTTGGCTTAGCCGAAGACAGGGCGGTTACACACGCTAAGTTGTGGCCGTCAGCGTCATCGCTTAATGGAAGAGAATCCCGCTCGCGACCGACACGTAAAGGGGGAGAAACGGCGTCTTCAAGTTGGAATTCTCCATGCCTGGCCGTTGCGCTCGCAAGGACAACCCACAAGAGTCTCAACGTCTCCGTTCGGCAAATACTTGGCAGCTCGCCGCGCGAAGGTCTATTCAGCCGCGTCACTCGATCTCATCTCGGATCTGAGTTGCTCGCACTTCCCTGCAGCGATCCACTCTTCCTTGGTTTGAGTGGGTAGCTCCCCCGTCCCTAAGGGATCCCATAGCCATACCTGCTGTCCTGCTCCATTATCGTCGCTCGTACTTCCCTTCTTACGTGCAAATAACCCACCGATTGCTGCGTCACACATCACCATAGGAGCGAAGCCACGGTTAATCTACGCACCCATCGTCACGACCTCTCCACCCCCGTGCACCCCAATGTCGGCACTCCACTTCCACCGCGCCTCCACAGATAGCTCCGGCCACACCGCCACCAATGCTCCTACGCGCATCGCACTAATAGACAACACGGCGCCTGCGTCGTTTGCGCCATCGGGCTCCGCAGAACAGAGCAGGTCCCATTCACCAGCCGACGACGCGGCGCAGCAGGATTCACAACCTCGTCGCTCGCTCGGTGATGGGAAACGTGAGACGCTGAGGAAAGCCATCGCTGAACGGAGGTACAAACGTTGGTCTGCGGCGCCTGATGGGGCGTGTGGAGACGTTGGTGATAGTGGTTTGGAGGAGGCGCCGGATTCGAGGGCGGAGGGCGTTGTGGTTGAGAGGGACTCTGAGGATGAAGGGGAGGACGGGAAGGTTAGGAGTGCCGGTGACGGCGCAGGGGGTGTAAACGTGGATGGCATGCGGGATAGCGGCGTCGACAGTACACGACGAGGAAGGGAGCCTGAGCGGCAACGAGAACGGGGGCCTACAGGCAACGGCGTCGGCGGGACTGGGCAGATGCGGCGAAAACCCGACGGCGAAATTGAAACTGCCGAGATCGATGCGCTGTATGAAAACCAACGCGGGTAGGAGTCCTATTCCACTCTGTTGTCTCGCGAAGTGATCACATAAGCTAAAACCGGTCAATCGGTGTTACAGCGCATTTTTCTGCGGAATCCCACTATTCTCGTCGAAGTCTCTACTTAATTTCGATCCCTCCGCATGGCAGAACGGCCTCTTCCACGACTCGGCAGTCTCGATTGTCGACGCCCAAGTACCAGATCCCTCGTGGGCGTGGGATTGGGCGAGTTGGTATGTGGACATGACATCGGATGTTGACGAGGAAGGCTGGGCGTATAGCTTCAGCTTCTCGCCTGCCTTTGCGTGGCATGGAAATCATGTGTGGTTTCACTCCTTCGTGCGGCGGCGACGATGGCTGCGGAAACGCGTCAAGCTTCCGCAACGGGCAATCAATCCATCTGGCGATCCATACGGGAATACTGTCGATGGCAGCGTCACTAGGGCGGGGCATGGGATGAACAACGATTACTTCACCATACATTCGCGCAAAGATCGAGATTCATACTATGCCGGAGGAAGTCACAAACGGAAGAGTGTGCTCGAAGGCGGCAGCTGGGGTGGCACCGACGACGAAAGCGATCATGAGGTGGAAGTCAAGGACGTCGCCACACTGATAAGAGTGGTCAAGAGGGCGCGACTAGACAGGGAGAAGATTGAAGCGATCATGAGGTTTATTGAAGACGGCGGCGATGATGTTGCTTATCTGGCCGAAAAGGTGAGCATACCAGATAGACACAGCTCCGGAACGAGAGCTAACACGTCTCCTCCCTAGATCCCAGCTCTCATGAGCACGATGATCTTCCAAGCATCCCGACGGCAGCTGTTGGCACATATTCTCGACTACACAGAACAGTACGAGGCCGGAGAGGCTCCCACAATAACAATACAAGGACGCTCATTGCCCGACGAGGTGCCACCCACTCCGGGATCCACGACATCTTCCCAACGGCCTTTAACAGAGCCCAAAGAACCTAAAGAACCCACATCCGGGGCGGTTGTCGAGGGCAAACATCCAAAGGAAGACAGCCCAGAGGCAAGGAGACGAAAGGTTAAAAGCCTCAAGGAAGCGTCCGAGGCGGCCGATCAAGAGGTCAAGAAGATGGAATTCTGGAGTGATGTTAAAGATGTTGCGCGGAAAGGAGAGAGCCTCACTGCAGAGGCCCAGGCGGAGGGATGGGGTAGGTTGGGTATTAGTGGTGCCAGTGTAGGCAACGGGAAGGTCTTTGGCGGAGCTGGCAATGGCGGTACGCGTGAGGAAACTGAAAGGGTTGATCTCAAGGGGAAGGGAAAGGTGACTATTCAGTAATCGTTGTGGACGCTAAGTTTGATTTATATCCTGCCTTTCTGTTTGGGCCACTGTTTGGAGTAGTTTCTGGGCGTAGGAGTTGCGAGCCTGTTGGGTCTGTTGTCTAATCATTCATACACATATGCATTTGGGGATGTTTTTGCTTTAACACGAGAGTCTTTCTACTGCACTGTCCATATAGATGATACCGAGTGTTCGCTGAACTGAAATAATTGTCTTCACTGAATCTCAGCATGTTCCGGTCCTTCTGGACGGTGGTGCACCACTAAAACTCACTCGCCTGTCAAAGTTTGCTTGGCATTTGCGGCTCCAAATTTTGAAGAAAGTTCCTTCGCGACAACCCAGTAGCAAGACCACGAACGTTGCTTGTGAGAACCTTACAGCATCTCACCAAATTTCTCGGCCACAAAATTCTCGCTTTCCTCACAACTCAATCGCATCGACAAAATGGCGGCCCCTGTGCAGCGGCTCCAGCCGACCAAGCTCCCCACACTCCCCTCATCGACAACGCCCGAACAGCGATACTGGCGCACCTTCGCCTCGCCGCTGCTGATCCATGAGTACTCTAACATCACGTCGATCCACTTCTCGCCGTCGGCGCGAGCGCACGACTTCGCCGTGACCTCGGCGTCGCTGATCAAGATCTTCTCCGCCAAAACCCGCGCAGTCTCCAAGACCATCTCCCGCTTCAAGGAAACCGCCTACGCTGGACAGATCCGTCGCGATGGAAAAGTCATGGCCGCAGCGGACGCCACCGGCACCGTGCTCGTCTTTGATCTGGCGAGTAGAGCCGTCCTGCGCACCTGGGCTGGCGAACATAAGGCTCCGGTCCAGGCGCTCCGCTGGAATCCGAGGGAGCTGACGGGTCTCGTTACCGCGAGTGACGATACTACTGTGCGTCTGTGGGATCTTCCTGCGAGGGAGAGTGTGACCACCTTCACGGGCCACGAGGACTATGTTCGTTCGGTTGCGTACTTGCCGGTTGGTGGAGTTGCGGGCGGTGCCGGCGGGCTGGTGGTCAGTGGGAGTTACGATACTACGGCGAGGATATGGGATCCGCGAATTGCGGGGGGCAAGGCGGCAATGACGTTCCGACACGATACGGCAGTGGAGGATGTTCTCGCCATGCCCGGGGGAACGACGCTGCTGTGCGCCACCGGGAATGTGGTCCGTGTGTGGGATGTCGTTGCGGCGAAGGAGATCGCCGTCCTCAGTAATCACCAGAAAACGGTTACGAGCTTGGCGCATACGACTACGGGAGAGAAGAGGAGGGTGCTCACCGGTGCGTTGGATGGCCATGTCAAGATTTACGATACCGCCTCGTGGACTGTCGTTCATGGTGTGAAATACCCCGCGCCTATCTTGTCACTCGCCGTTTCGCCGGATGAGAAACATCTTGCCGTCGGGATGGTCGGCGGACTCCTCAGCATTCGGACGCGCCGCAGTGGAGGCGAGAAGGACACTGTCAAGGAGAAGGAGCGGGCGATGGATCTGATCATGAAGGGACTCGACCCGCGGGCCGTCGACAAGAAGAAGGGAAAATCTGGCAACAAGGCGAGGAAACTCAAGGGACTCGACTACAAGGGTGAAGAGGAGGAGTTGATCATCGACGCAGCACCGAAGCGGGCGAAGAAGGAGCGTGCATTTGAGGTTGACCTGCGGAAGGGGAGGTACACAGATGCACTGGATCGTGTTCTTGGCCCCTCAGGCCGTGGAGAGCCATCAATGATTCTTACTGTGGTTAAGGAGCTGGTCTACAGGAACGCTGTGGGCAAGGCCCTAGCGAACAGGGACGAGGAGGGTCTGAGGCCGGTGATCGAGTGGTGTGTGCGGTGCGTTGGAGACCCGAGGATGGTGGGCGTTGTGGTCGAGGTTGTCGAGGCGGTGCTGGACCTGTATAGCCATGCACTGGGACAGAGCATCGAGTTCGACAAGCTGGTGACGAGGCTCACGGCACGGATCAACAACGAGGTGGAGAATGCGCGGCAGGCACAGCGGACGGTGGGAATGCTGGGGATGCTGGTGGCAGGAAATGAATAATGCGTTGCTGCGTTTATGGATTGTATATAATTTTGGGCATCATGGCGTTTCTGTGTGCTTTAGATCAAAAAAGTCTTGTATTTGTGGGAGGATTGGAGCCGACTGCGGTCCATAGTAAATACCTTAGGAGCTGGTCATGTTCGTTCTTCGGATAGACTGTAAACTTGAAGAACCCGTACTTTGTTGAAGATAGCTCCGCATGAGTGTTCTTCCGAATTATGCCCCAGCTTTATCTCATGGCCGTTTCACTTTCCCCTCTCCAGCCAAACTGATACCTGTTCAGTCACTCGAATCCAAATGCAAAGATCAAAAACAAAGATGAAAAAAATAGAACGTCGCATTGACCTTTACTATAGACCAAAGTATCAGCGCTAAACAGCTCATCAGCTTCTCCCCTTGAGCTTCATGTTCAATCACCCGTATCTCCTTTCAGGTATTCGACGTGAACATTCCCGACAAACCGCCAGATTAACAGTTAACGGTTAACGGGCTCACCTACCTAACAGTTCCGAATCCACAGTGGTATCACTCGTTCCCGAGGCAAAGTGAACCTCGGCCCCGCGTACGACATCAAACGGAAACACTCAGGATTATCTATATTCCAAAATCCCGGGGGCACTCTACTCTACAATGTACGTATCATACAACTCTCAAAGGCTCGCAAAGCCAAATGTGACGCGTATATGTCGTACCTGATCATCGCTCACACGGTCACACACCACTATGGATAAGAATGGCACGCATGCTCGGAAACGAATTATGGGGATCGGATCACACTAGATAACTACCTAGTCGGGATGAGGGAAGTGTGGAGAATCCAGGAACATGGCGTGCTACTTGCATACGACCGTCTGCAGACTCTCGGATCATACTCTATATACATGCAACACGTGGAAACGGTTGATCTGCCGGATGTCGAAATGGGATCATCTCGGAACATGTTACATTAGCTGGCATTTAACGTATGTCCTTGAAGACCGTGAAAATGGGGTAAGTTGGGGCTGGGTGTAATTCGCTGTGTTTTGGTTGGTTGTCACTTTCTTGGTGGCAGTAGCAGAAACAAAATACGTCATGATATCACAATGACCATCACCGTTTTATAGGATAGTCCTTAGAAAACCCTATTCCAGGTAAGACATTTGTGTAGCATATGTGTATATTCTCCGGTCGTTCAGACATGCAGACTCCCGAGAAACCAATCAGGATATCAGAACCTTCTATTAATGTACAATGGGTATCGTTAACAGACAACATCACTTCTCCCTCTAATTATAATCAACTGTCCTCCTCCGTTCTCTCGCCATTTCCAAATAATGTTTTGAACCCCAAATCGTAACAATTCCACATAACCTTAAACAGCACCTTCTGTACTGTGATCATCCACCCGGGTGCCCGTCCGTTGTCCTTGGCGAACACCTTCGTCATGCTCATGACCAACACCATGAGCGGCATCCACATGATAGCCCACACCACCGCACCAACGCTCTGTCTCCAAGTCGTCCTGCGATACTCCTTCAACTCCGCCAACCACTCTCTATACTCCTTTGGCAGGCCATGCTCCTTCGCGCCGGCGCGAATGAGATCCAGATACCGTCTACTCGGCTGGGCATGACTCGACCTCTCCTCCTCCTGCGGCGCCAGCAGCGTGTGAACCGCCAGCTTCTCCCCCCCATCGATCTTGAACGCCTCGACGACGAAGTCCTGGTACGCGGCGCCGCCGCCCTCGGTCGCAATAATCGTCGCAAAGTCCTCGGGGGTGACCTCGTAGACAACACCAATCAGGCCACCACCAGGCGGCGTCAACAGGGTCCTCCCCTCGCCGGCGGTCTCGACGACGACGACATTTGCAAAGCAGGGCTCGAGGTATGCGATCCCGGGGAGGTCGAAGGACAGTGCGAGCGTAGGCACGCGGACGTTGTGCGCGGACACGGGGCGGATCTGGCGGCGGCCGCGGAACGTCTCGGCGCAGAGATTGGAGCCGTAGGCGAGGTAGTAGATGTTTTCTGGGGCCTTCTCGAGCGCGGCGGGCGACGGCACGCGCACTGGCTCGTCTGCGAAGTCGTCTGTGTACTTCTCCTTGTTGCGCGGGAGGAGGATGGGAAGGTATAGCGCGAGGGCCTGCGCGAATGTGCTCTTGGGCGCCTCGGCCGCATCGCTGCTGCCGATGGCTCCGTAGCTTGTTGTGGTGGCGGTGGCTTGCTTCATCGTGATGGACTTTCGAGATCGCTGGTTTTTGGGTATAGATTCTAGAAGATTGGGGGAATGCGGCCAACTTTAATCATCGCCGCACCCCCCCTGGAGACCCCCCTTGGGCCTCCTCCCCTTGGAGAGTCATCGCTCTTCCGTAGCCTGACTCCGCTGGATTGGATGATCTACGGAAAACCGGGGTTGCTGTCGGAACTGCCCTGTCGAAGAATTGCTGCGGCAGTTTGGTCAGCCAATTTTCTACCCCTAGCATCGGACATCCGTTGCCCCGATTCCATACGAGTGGCCGGAGTTAACAGCCAGCGGCATCAATAATCACTAATCTACCAGGAAAAAAAGTTGTGGAAAGGGCCATATATTGTTCCGAGCCTCGTACGAATATTACTATTTTGGTATCATAGGTGCCATATGTAGCAAAGTATATAGGTTTCTACGGTCGTCGACTCATCGGACTTGATGGCATGTAAGAAATCATGATGTAGGAGTCAAGTCCATGTAGACGCCATGCCCAATCGTGCGTATCTAGTAGTATCGTACAAAAATACAGACCTCTATCAACCCAACCCGAAACGCCAGAGTATGCAACTTGAAGAAACATGAAGAAATGAACACCAGTGCTATGCCCCCAAGTACCCAGTAGAAAATTGAACCCTCCGCGATGGAATCAGTCACTCCTGTCTTCGACCTTGTCCAGCTCCCATTGCAAGAGATTGCGTTCGTACTCGGCCACCAAGTCAGCAGCGTTGGCGATGTTGCTTTCAGGCTCCCACCTATCCGTGATCGTGTTAGCAAAGCGAAAATCGAGTTCGGACCAATTGGCCATGTTGTAATACGTACGTGTTGTGTTCACGGCTGTAGCCAGCCCACCTGATCAGGTATTCCTTTCTGCCGTCGACAATCCTATGACACTCAATGTCCTCAACTTCGAACTCTTCTTCTTCATCAGACGAAGCTGGCGGCGTTTCGACTTTCGCCTTCTTGGCCTTCTTGGTAGCAGTACTCGCATGAGGGCGCTTCTTGTTGGAGGTAGCCGGGACCTTGGGGGTGGCCGGGACCTTGGGGTTGGCCTTGGTCGTGCCAGGTGACTTCGCGGAGGCAGTCGACTTGACTCGAGCACGGGACTTGGTCATGGTAGGGGATTTTGAAGCGGCAGTGGACTTAGCAGCGGTAGAGGCCTTAGCCGAGGAGGCAGTCTTCTGCTTGTTAGAAAGTCTCGCGGGGCGCTTGTTTAACAGGACACTTGCCATACGGCGGCCCACCCAATCTTTGGCCTCATCGCTCTCGTTCGCATTGTCCGAATCGAGGTGCTCAAAGTCTAGGTGCTTGTAGCGGGCCCTGAGATCAGGGTCTACTTTGGTCGAGTAAACCTTGCCGGTACGCTTTGGTGTCTCGTCGACCTCGCCATCTGACTCGAAAGACTCGGCGGCTTCATCGTAGTCGGTTTCCTGGTCCGAAGCAATAATCTCGTCTTGGTCATTGTGGTCCGATTCCGAGACTTGGTATTTGCCGACTTTGGCCTTTTCTCCGGCTCCGACCTTGGGCTTATTGGCGTTTTTCACAGCTTCCCGGGCCTCCTTCTTGTACTTGCGAAGGAGCGTCTTAGTCGTACCACGGGTCGCCCATCCCACTCGCTCGTCCGTGTCGTAATATGTTTCCATATTCTCATCTTTTTCAAACGATTCATGCTCGTATTTTGCCACACGTTCTCGAGAAACAAACTTATAGATGTCCCGGGCCCCCACCTGTATGACGTTAGTATTCCTTTAAACAGTTGGGGGGAGAGAGAGAGAGGAGGGAATGAAACACACCTCCTTTCTGTCACCCGTTTTGTAAGTGACATGGTAGGTGACCTTGCCGGCGGGTCCCGTTTCCCTGAAGAGGTGAATAACATCCTCATCGTTGACCTCAGAGCTGTACCCGAGGTCACTCTGGGCTTCTTGGATCTTCTCCCCCTTCTTGTCCTTCACGGCTTCTTCCTCGAGAGTGTCGTGTTCGGGGTCGCGATCGCGGTCGTCGCCCTTCTCGTGATCGTCGGAATTGTCTTCGGAAAACGCTCCATTGCCCTTGAGGGTGGTGTCGTCTTGGGAGGTGTGGTCGTCGTCGTCGTCGTCGGCCGTGTTCTGCTCGTCCGGCTGGGCCTCTGCAAATGCTACATTAGCAACGAATTGACTGCGAGTGAGCAAAAAAAAAGCGGGGTGCTGACTACATACCTTCGTCATCTGAAGGATTGGCCAAAGCGCGTGAGGGAATGATCGGAGGTGCCATCCTAGTGTCGCTGGTGGGAGTGGTAGACGACACGTGCGCACCGGCGGGACGCGCACCACCGGCGGCTGGGCGGGTTACCCTCTTTCTACCCCTGACTAGTGAGCGACCCTGCATATATAAAAATAAAAATAAAGCGAGCGAGTGATGGGTCAACTTACGATCTTCTGGCCATTGTGTCGCTTTCGATGTCGTAATTCATTTCTTGTTGTCGTTGGCGGGAGATGTGGCTGAGGGATCACGTGAAGTGGAGGGAGGATGAGCTGATCACGTGGAAGAGAGAGAGGGAATGGTCTGTTGTGGCGGTGCTATTTAAAGGTGGATTTCGCACTTGTGTTTTTCGCGAAAGGTGAGTCGAAATCCGGCCCTTCCGCAACCTTCCGCCACACAAACGCCCGATACGGTGTATCACTCGGTGCATCACTTGACTTCGAAATGAACAGACGATTCGTATTGATTTTGAATTATGATATTCGACCTTTGAACGACGGCTTCTACAAATCTCTCTTTAATCGCCTCCAATTCGGTGTACATATCCCCGCAGTGACAGCATCGGTGGGCGTCTGCAGTCAATTTTCGCCGACAATTTTCGCCGACCAACGACGAGTGGAGGTTTTAGGGTGCGACTCTTATCGGCGCGGATGGGCTAGCCTGGCGCAAAAATGAGTGTTTGCTCATCTCGAGTGATGGCAATGTTCGCATTCACGATATGTAGGTGGATATGAGCTTGATGCAATTGAGTGTACCGGTCATCTCTACGGACGCCGGTACTTCGGGCTGACTTGGACTCCAGAAGTGAACAGCCCTGATCACTTCGATTGCTCGTATTCACTTAGTTCTATGCGATCGTCCAGGGCAATATCAAGCGTCGTGAAGAATACCATCCATATTTCGGTACTACCCTAAGAAATATTGAAAACGAACGTAGAGACGAAGAGAGACAAAAAGAGACAAAGACAAGGCCATCCCCACCATACAACCAAAAGCAGAAATCCCCCATGTAGCACATCAAATTCTAGACATCCACAGCATGGGCGTCGTAAAAAAGATCTATCAGGCAGCCCGCGCTCCACGCCTGTGTGGGACTACTGTCCGAACAGAACGAACCATTCTCGTTCGTAAGCTCGGTCAACCCAGCCCATGGCGTCTTTTCGATCTCGTGTCTGCAGCCCTCCATTCTCGCCGCGAGCTGCTGGAGCATCTCGACGCGCCCGGCCTTGGTCTTTCTCCGCTTCGAGTCGAAGGTCAACATCGCACGGAGGAAGTAGCCGAGAGGCCAGAGCCACTCGGGACCTTGGTGGTAGTTGCGGCCCTTGGCGGTGGCGTAGTCATCGTTGTCGAGGGAGTTGATGTAGTTCGGGCGGTAGTTTTGGTCGGACGGGTCCAGCGTGGCGATTCCCAGGGGTTTCCGAAGGACTTCGTCGGCGATCTCGAGGCAGCCAAGGGCGTGATCGGGGTCGAAGATATCCGGTGCCACAGCCATGGCGATCGCGTAATTCGGCCTGCGGATGAAGTTAAATGACGAGTCTTCGAATACGATCATGCGAGGGAAAATACCTGAGTTGGTAGTCCTCATAGACCCTGACTCCGCCAAACAAGTCCTTGTAAATGCCTCGGCGGTTGACAGTGTTAGCCTTGATGACATACTTGCTATCGTCCTTAGGATCTTTCGGAATGTAGTAGCAGCGCTCAAAGTTGTCCTTGATGAGGCCTGCCCATGACTCGAAGGTGATCTCCTTGCCATCACTCTTCTTGACCGAGCTCCACTTGTACTTCTTCTCCTTGTTGAGTGCCGCGACCCACTTCAGGGTGCTGTAAAGCAGACCAGTGATCTCAATTGCGGCACCATCTCTCGGGGTTCCTACAAATTGTAAGTTTCCGAGCAGCGAAATACAAATCAAAAGCAGGAAAACTGACCTGGGTGACCTTTGGATCCCGCCTTGTCGCTCTCACCCATCTTGTCCATCCATGTACCGCAGTTCCACTCATTGCCACCACTGACGAAGCCGGTTTCCCAGCTCGGCTGAACGTTGACCCAGAATCCTTCATCCTTCATCTGCATATCCAGGTTGGGCCCGGCATTTGCCTCTTTGTAGTTGAAGCCCAATGCGTGTGCCTGTAGTGACTCCTGGATAATCTCCTCGACGGTGCTCTCCTTGGAGTAAGCTCTGGGGTCCTCGACGGGAAACCACGTGTCGTCACTCGGCAGGAAACGACGCTTGACCTTCTCCTGGAGGATCTTGTGGCCGTCGGGAGCCATCGTGGTGTAGTCCTGGATTGCCTGGAGGAAGAACCAGATAGAGTCTCTGGCATTGTACCTCGGAGTCTTGCCGGCACCCAAGAGGTTTGGGATCATGCCATGTTTGAGGACGGAGGCAAAGGCTAGGATGTGCTCCTTCGCATCGTCGAATCGGCCGACGGCGAGACACAGACCACGAAGGGAAATGAAGACATCACGTCCCCAGCAGCGAGCCCATTCGACAGCAAAGTGGGGAAGACCAGCGGCCATGGAAGGAACCTCCTTGGTCGGCCAGAGTGAACCAGATTTGGTGATACTACCACAGTTAGTAAGTAATCAATCCACATTGAATCCAACAGACGTACCCAGTCATTTGAATGCTGCACAATGCTAGTGACTTTAAGAATTGAGTGCCTCCCTGAACTTGTTCACCGAACAACTTCATGGCGTGCTCGACTGCGGCAGTGTATGCAGTCTGCAAGACCAAGGAGAAGTATCGGGGAACAAGGAAACTAGGAATCTCCTTGATCTTGGCGAATCGTTCCTTCAGCCACTTGGTAGGTCCTTCTAGGCCCTTGTGTCCGCGCTCTATCAGTCGCTCCAGGCGTCCCACGGTCCAGTCGAGTGCCCACATGCCATCACGGAGATGTTGACAAAGGGGGTGTCCGAGATCGTTGTTCTTGATGATCTCTCTGACAACAGACCACCATCCTTGAAGACCGGCGTAGACTAGTCGTCCGTGGCCTGGAATATCATACACGCCGTTCTTGCCATCGGAAGTGTCTCGCTCTTCTGGGTCGCAGCGATAGAGGAGGAAGTTCAGGTCGACCAAGCTCACCGATTTGAACGCCTCTTCGGCCCCGCTGACCGAGAAAGAATCCAACTCGTCCCCTTTCTCGAAACCTTCTACCCAGGTCTCAAACAGCGCGATACTTCCAGGCGGGAAGTGGTCGAGGATGGTGATGATCGAACTGTCATCGACTTCCTCGATCCTCGGGGTTTCCATCTTGATGAGCTCCGCCGGCAATCCTCGTAGAGTGGTGGGGTCTGCTCTGACTTTCTTTATCATCTCCGGGGTGCCGTCAACCGTCAGACCCCAGGTACCAAGAGATTTGACCTTGGTCCTTGGGATCTTCACCGGGTTGAAGTTTCCTCGGTCAGTTCCAGGTCCGAAAGCACAGTGAGCGATCAAAAAGTATCCGCGGTGTGTCTTTGGATGTACTCGGTGCATGGTGATGTAGTCGCCCTCGTGGTGAACGTGCATCTCCGTGTAGCCTTCCTTGCCCATTTTGCTGTGTATCCTGTTCATGATCGATTTCACACTAGCGATGCCAGCCGTGCTTCCCTCGAGTTGCTTTGGCGGTATCTCGTAGTTCCGGGTCTCGTGGACAAGATCGATAAGGTGGGGGTATATCTCGTCGAATCCTTGGACAGAGCCCACCGCACAGTCGCACATAGCCGCAAGAGCGCCGTTAGGCAGGGTGTCTTCGGGGGTCCGCTTCTGGGTAGGCACCTCGTTGTCGTGGGTGCAATCCATAAACAGCGCGTTGATCGGGGATCCAGCGACGGTTGTGACGATTTCGTCTCCGGATCGGGTTGCGAATTCCTGCTCCATACTCCCAATCGGCTTTCCTCCGTGTCTGTGCAGGAGTCTGGAGAGTTCGCCCGGACCCCAGGCAACCATCGCCTCACGCACGAGACTGCTCAGACCGAGCCTTTCGAGGAAGACCTTGTCCTTGCGCTCATCACCAGTGAACAACTCTGCAACCGTGTAGAGGTCCGGCCGTTCGCGCCTTGCAATATCCAGCATGTACTCACCAACTTGGAGGGGTGTGGAGTGACAATTGTCGATTCGGAAACCATGGAAGATCTGGGCCATCAGCTTTGTGTATTTGGCCATGAAGTCCCACAGGTACGGTGAGTCTTCGGGCTTGTCTCCGTAGCGCAGCTTGACACAATCGCCCCATGTGATGACTTCCCGTCGCAGGTACGACCTGTGTTTCTCGGAGGCAAAGTCGGAGGTGTTGTCCCACAACCAACCATTGTTGGCCAATGCCAAACTCTTCGGATCGTGCTTCTTCGTTATCTCGTTGAGTGGGAGGCGAGTAAAGGCGGTTTCAATCAATGGGCTCTCCTCCGTGATTACGCCCATTTTCGGACCGTGGTCAGCAACTCGCGTGTAATCGATTCTGTTGTATAGCTGCTCTTGGGCTTCCGCAATGTCGGTATCGTATTCCTTGTAGAATGGGAGGTTGATCTCATCGAGGATAGACTTGAGCTCCTTCCGGGGGACGAGGACCGAGCCGATGTCCTTATCTGCCGAAGGTGCGCCGTGTTCGATGTGAAGGAGAGCAGCACCAATATCTGGATCGACGGTCTTCCGGAATCTCTCACCCAACCGGTCTCCTCCAATCAGGCCGTGCTCCGTGAGAAATACCGCTTTTGCCTGCAGCGAAATGCCCTTGGTATATCCGAGGGCCGTCACCTTCTCCACGGCAGCTTCGGGTCCCTGAGACTCCCACCTCTGCATGATCGCCTCGAGGTTCGCATCCACATCAATGATATAGAACTGCCAAAGCTTCACCTGGGCAATGACGTGGATTTTGATGCCGTCCATCACCTTCAAAAGGTCCTCCACGGTCTTCAGCTCGGTAGGATAGCCCAGCCCGGCTAGATTCTTGCTGAACTCAAGCAACGCTTCATCGAACTGGTACGCTGCCTCGAGCCACGGCGCCGTAAGTCGGTTATACCCGGCTTCGGGATGATGCTGTAGCCACTCCGAATTGTGTGCAGTGTGGTTCCACACAACGTCCGTGAGACTCAGGATGCCGTGCTCTTTCTCCATCTTAGTCACCATAGCTCTGACTTCCTTCTCACCGCCGGGGAAGGCAACCGGATCGAAGTTGGTCTGGTTGAATAAGCTGAAGGGGGAATTTGAAGCTCCGCGCTCCATCAGAGGAGTAAAGTGCACCATGTTGTATCCCTTCTCGGCAATGTACTTCATGTAGGCATCCCACTGCTTGACCGGGCCGAGGAACTTGGACAGCACGGAGTAAACCGTGAGTGCATTAAGCTCAAGGTTCTTGCCGTTGATGGCCAGACTCGGGGAGACGGTGACATAATAGGCTTCGGTCCGCGTGGGTTTCGGTGGCTCGACATCCGCCTTAGTGGTAAACGGTAGCAGCGGCGTATACGATATATAGTAGCAGTACGTTCCCGGCTTTGAGATAGGGATGTCGATGTGTAGGACGCGTCCAAATGAAGGCGTGAGTCTACAGCGGAACACACATCAGCATTCGTTCGGGAAAACAGCAATCTATAGCAAGCACTACAGACACCGCATCTTCCTGGCGCCAAGAGCGGGGGGTACCAACGGAAGTGCTTGGAACTTCTCTCTCTCGAATGCCTCATTGCCCTTTGGGACATTGATCCACAGCTTTCCTTCACGGCAGATGGAACTCGCTCCCTGGATCGCGAAACGGAGCGTGTAGGGCGTGGACGGGGAGGGGAGGTTGATGTAACCTTGCCCGCCAACGTCCGGAGCTCCAGCATCGTTGAGATTGAGCAAGTAGACGACGGGAGGGCCGGTGACCGAGGACGACATTGCTGAGGTCGGCGATGGAGGGAATGTGTGTGAGAGGGATGGAGGATTGACGAATGGCGAGACAAGCAAAGTGGTTATTCTCGCACTGGCCCTATCTCTATACCTCGTCCACACTGACTGCGTGAGGGAGACTGATGGAGGAGGAAGAGGAAGATGAAAAGGAGGAAGCGGACGAGGAGAGATGATGAGGGGTAGAGGGGCAACCAGAGATTGAAATGGCCTGGTCCGGTTCAGGATGAGGGGCATAACGACGCACGTCGGCCACACCCATGATATGCACACGTAGACGTAATCTAATTGATAGTGTGTTTGATGGCCGGAGAGGGGCACAGGTGCGTTGTTTCAGTAGCCAGAAGATGTACAGCCTCGATGGAATCGACGAGCGCGAGTGGGGAGGGCGGGCATTGTCTGCTGTCACTGGCCAATACGTCATGGCGATATAGCCTGAAGCTTGAGCAGTTAACGAGTCTGGGCAGCCGATAGGCCACGACCGACGAATTCTTCAGACAAGCTCTGTGCGCGGAAAAACAAAGCGCGGGGGGGTTCATGTGGACTCAGAGGTAGCCGACCCTAACCCCCATGAAACGAACGTGGGAAACGAGCCGGACATGCAAACGAACGAAACTATGTTCAGCGTCTAGGGGGGATTGAGCGAAGTGCAATGGCCTGAACCTGGTCCATGTGCAGGTGGGCAATCGATCGGTCAATCATTGCATTCGGGATGCCGAGCCCCATGGTGCTCCGGGTGTTTACCCCGCGGCCCGTGCCCCGCTTTGAAGCTTGAGCTCCCTCCCCTCCATCATCGTCCACTCATCCCTCCAGCCCTCCAAAATTTCCCATTCATGCTCGTGCACACTGCCCGATATCTACGGCATCAACAGACACTCCTTGAAGGAGGCTCAAGGTGCCGTTGATACCGCTGCTGCCGTTGCTGTCACTCATTGCGATACCTATTCGTTCGATCTTTGCCTCTCTAGAAAACCCAGCTTCGTCTCAGTGTCATCACCCTCCGTGTGCACGTCTTCCAGTCCTTCTTCCGAGGAGCGGGAAATGCTGTCCGCCCAAGGTTCGCTTTTCAGTCTTCACGTGGGTGCACGTGCCGGCCCCGGCACCATGGTCTCGGCTTCGCCATCCACTTCCCCGGCAAGCCAAATCCCAGCCGCACTGATCCGTCATACTGTCCGGTATCTGGATTTCAAGCATGTATTGAAAGCCCGTGGCGTATCCAAGGCATGGAATGATGCCGTACAAGCCGTGAGGCCACTGAGGTTTCCGGCGGTGTACCACTTGCCCGCAGAGCTCGTGCAGCAGATCTTAGCGTTGGTATCTCCCGCAGACTTCAACAATGCACGTCGGACTTGCAGGGCGTGGTACGTTTCGTCACTGAGCGCTCCTCTCCTTCGGAACCAGCTCGAAACTATCGGGTTCTGCAAGACGGATCCGGGCATCAGCGACTCGAAGAATCCCGTCTATCTATCCATGCGGCTATTCCGAGAGTGTAGTCTTGGGGCTGATGGGTCTGGAAAGTGTGACCTCCGGAACGTGGCGGTACTCGATCTCTCGGAAACGGTGACTGCGTCGACGAGCCACTTCACCGTTTCGATGTGCAGCTCTCATGTGCTCCTCTGCGATGGCTGTGTAGTACATGTATACCGTCTGCAGCCCAATAGCCGGGAGTTCATCGAGTTCGCGACAACCATCATTTGCCCTCGGAGGGTTATCGCCGTGAGCATGGACACGAGCAGTGGGCGCTATTCTGTTACAGTTCTCTTGGTGAGCGGTTCGACTTTTCCCTAGGGAGTGGAGCTGATTTTTACCTGTTGTGGGTAGGATGACCGGATGGGACTAGTCCATGACATCGTGGAGCAAGAGGCCAAATACACTTATTCAAATCTGTGTAGTGAAGAGGACCCTCCCCAGAGTGTGGCGATATGTCCCCAGCGGCGATGTGTGGCCTTTGGGTGTCAAGGCGGAATCGAGCTTCACTGTAAGAGTCCATGGCCGCCGCATCCCCGTTGCGCCCGTGAATAGCTGACTCTTGCATAAAATATCTAGGGGTTGATGCACTTACTGGCCAGGACTTGAATCGGTGGTTTCCATTGACGGCACCCACCGACTTCCTCTACTTCCTTCCGCCGCGACATGGGATCGACTCCACAAAGAAACTCAGATTGATATCCAGTGCTGCCCATCCGGAGGAGATCAATCCACTCGCTAGGCGGTTTGGAGTCCATAGGACTTCGATTGCATACTGGGGGACAACTTGGGAGCCGAGGATCGGACAGAGCGACCATTTTCAGGCGGTGCCGCTGAGTGATGGGTATCATATCCTGTTCACCGATCCCGTGACTGGATCTTTATGTCTAGGTAGTGATGCACCATCAGGGTAGGCGTCCCGTCCTCCCATTTCGATACATGTTGCTGAGTGCGGGTTGATAGAGGTCCGACCAAGTTGTTGAGGAAAATATGGCTCATTCCGCCCGAGTGGCCCGACGAAGGCAAACAAGAAGCGGATTTTGAAGCATCCGAGGAGGATGAGGAAGGTGAACAGGGCCTTGCAACATTATTGGACAACTTGGACTGTGAACCCGAGCAGGTCCGGGCCAGTGTCTACGCCTCTGGTGCAGACCTCCGATACGGCGTGCGTATTGCTGCCGGCTACAACGACCGCGTGATATTCTTCTCCGTTTCGCCCGATGTATTCCATAGCATGGCCGATAGAAGCGCCAATAGGGGCGGAGGGGTGGCAAGTAGAGACCTCAACGATCAGTCTGGGAATTCCGTCGTCGTCTTTGGATGCTACATTGGTACTGTTCCGGGTCTGGTTGACCTTGCGGTGGACAGTGGGCCCTCGATAACAGTCTATGCGTTTTCTTCCCGGGGCACGGTGGATGTCTATGGACTGGGGCCAGTGATTGGTGAACAGGGCTTGAAAAGGAGAACTTCTGGTGTTGAAGCCGCGTTCCCTCGGGCGAGGACATCCATAAGTGAATTGATGCCCGATCACGGACACTCAAGTGATGATGGGCTGGGTTATCATGGGGGTGATGGGAGTTTGAGCGAGATATGGGATGAGAAGCAGCCCTGGGTGAGTAGGGATGGATTGGAGTGTGAAGTTGTCGTGTAAAGATTGCAGGTTTGTGTTGAGTACTGGTTGCCAGAGCTTTATGGTCTCTGTGGATTCATTGGCCAGTTATTGTTACGAGGTTGCCTTTGCGAACTCACGGTCTGTAATCGGAAGACAGGTTTTGGTAGTCTCTACTAGTGCCAATCAGCCTTCGTGATAGTAATAGCTTCGATACAATTCCTCAGGCTAGTTCGCGGATGTCGCCTCTCGTCTCTTACATGTGATTAGATTCCACTCCCGGCAGCTCTCGTTGGTTTACAGTGCGACATCGTATTATTTTCGCCCACCCCGAATACGAGTCCTCCGCTCCCGAACACTCACTCGTCCGACTAACTTATCCTATCTATTGCGCTCCCTGGCGTGAGCGACGTGCGAGAAAGTCGGAAAGCTTCTGTTTGCTGGTTGTTTAGCATTCGGCCGTGAGATGTCATGAAGTAGAGTAAGCTCCATAGCTCCGGCTGCGGGACAGGGTGTGAGACAGTCAGCACCACGACAACCGCGGGTTTAGGTACCGCCCGGCTCTCAGCGAGATCCTTTTGGCCCGGAGATCCAGAGCTAGCAAGGCAACACGAGCTCGTTGAGAGCCGTGGGACAGAGGAAGAAGCAAAGCTTGGCGGAATTGACTCATGCATTGGACGAGGGCGTGGAGTTTATTAAGCCCCAGGAATTCCACTTCTCCTCCCTCCTCCCAACAGACAGCCGACAGCATCAATTCTTTCTTCTCCTTCTTCAGGGCATCAAGCTTCACTACATTTCCCATACCTGCTTTGTTAATCCTCCCTCTTCACTACAGACATGACTGTAAGTTCCCAATGCTCAATGCTAGCCCTTGTGCTACGTCACTGCCCCTCCATCCCACCTTTGGGGGCCGGCGGGGCAGTGGCGCGGCAAAAACTCTTGGATCGCATCCACCAGAGTACTAATGTGGAATTTACATAGACCTACTACATCGAGAACAAGACCGTCGGTGACCGGACCGCCTCCGAAGACTTGAGGGGTACAGCATTTCACCCCACAGCATCATTCTCAAGTCAATGACTGACTGATTGATCCACAGTCCACGGCTACAACCCTCTCACCCCGCCGAACCTCCTCCAACATGAAGTCCCCCAGACGGAGAAGTCCAAAGTGACGGTCCTCAAGGCGCGCGATGACGCCGTCTCGATCCTGCACGGCAAAGATCCGCTCAATCGTCTCCTCGTCGTCGTCGGCCCGTGCTCCCTCCACGACACCGAAGCGGCAATGGACTACGCCAAGCGCTTGATAGCGCTCAAGACGAAATACCAGGACGACCTGCTGATCGTGATGCGTGCCTACCTCGAAAAGCCCCGCACAACCGTCGGCTGGAAGGGCCTCATCAACGACCCCGATATCGACGGGAGCTTCAAGATCAACAAGGGACTGAAGGTGTCGAGGCAGCTGTTTGTCGACCTCACGGATCTCGGCATGCCGCTGGCGAGTGAGATGCTGGATACTATCAGCCCGCAGTTTTTGGCGGATTGCTTGAGTATTGGTGCGATTGGCGCGAGGACTACCGAGAGCCAGCTGCATAGAGAGCTGGCGAGTGGACTGTCGTTCCCTGTGGGATTCAAGAATGGAACCGACGGGACGCTCGGTGTGGCGGTTGATGCTATTGGAGCGTAGGTTCCCTTTTTCTGGTTGTGGCATGCAAGTGCTGACAATGTGTAGTGCCTCGCACCCCCACCACTTCCTGTCGGTGACGAAGCCTGGTGTCGTCGCCATTGTCGGAACCGCCGGAAACGAGGATTGCTTCATCATCCTGCGTGGAGGAAAGGCGGGCACCAACTACGACGCGGACTCGATCAAGGCAGCAAAGGAGACCTTGCGCAAGTCGAAGACTCAGGACCGTCTCATGGTTGACTGCTCTCACGGTATTCCCAATCCTTCCAATAGCAAAACGAGACGTGCTAACGAGGAAACAGGCAACTCCAGCAAGGACCATAGGAACCAGCCCAAGGTCGCCGCGAACGTCGCCGAGCAGATCGCCAACGGCGAGGAGAACATCATGGGCGTGATGATCGAGTCGCACATCAACGAAGGCAACCAGAAGGTCCCCGTCGAGGGCAAGAGCGCGCTCAAGTATGGTGTCAGCATCACTGATGCATGCATCAACTTCGAGGATACTGAGGCCGTCATTGAGAACCTCGCTGCTGCTGTGCGCAAGCGCAGGGAATCCAAGGGTACGGCGAAGCTCAACGGGTCCGAATAGAGGGCTCGCTGATTACATAGGGGCCATCAATTTCTTTTCTACGGTTAGAGTCGGGGTCAAGGCTATTTGCGGGATATCTCTTTTTTTGTATGGCTGTCATCTCTGTCTGGGCTGGGCTGGGTTTCTATCGTGGGTTTGACTAGAATATGATGGTGATGGTACACGCTGGGTAATACATTGCAAGTGCGATATGATGCGCACCTTTCGTTCCTACCTACCACAGGTGATCCATGATCAGTAAACCAGATGCGCCAAACAGACCCTCGGTAATGCAGCCCACCAGTTTGTGCATCTCCGTGGAGCCACCTGCTATAGGTACTCGAGCCCCACCTCCCCCTTCCCTCTCCTCCATACAGTACTCCAACCGCAACCATGGCCCAACTCCAACAACACTACCCGTGGACGCAAACGCCACTCATCGTATCGGCGCCCATGCGCACCGTCTCAGGCGCCGCGCTCACCGCGGCGGTCAGCAACGCCGGCGGCCTCGGCTTTTTCGGTGCTGGGTACAGTCTCAGCGACTCTGCGGTACTCTCGGACCTATCCACGCTGCCCACACGCCTCTCCCCCGGCGCCTCCTACGGCCTCGGCTTCCTGGTATTCCGCAGCGACCTCCGCGACGCGCTCTCGCTGACCACGCTCCACCGCCCCGCCGCAGTCTGGTTCTTTGCGCCCGCGGACGCCGCCCAGCTGCACGAGTGGCTGTGCGCGTTCCGCGCGCTGGACACCCGCGTGTGGGTGCAGGTGTCGTCGGTGCGCGAGGCGGAGCAGGTGCTGTGTGGGCAAGGCGGCGGCGTCGTGAGCGTGCTAGTTGCGCAGGGCGCGGCGGACGCAGGCGGCCATGGTAAGGTATGCGGCGGGAGTGTGATCGCCCTTGTGCCCGAGGTCGTGGATTTGTTGGCGGAGAAGGGGAGGACCGATGTGGCTGTCGTCGCTGCTGGGGGCGTGGTCGACGGCAGGGGCGTGGCCGCCGTGTTGGCGCTGGGGGCGGGGGCCGCCGTGCTGGGCACCAGGTTTGTCGCGTGTGAGGAGAGCGAGGCGAGTCGGGGCTTTCGGGAGTTGGTCGTTGGCTCGGCCGATGGCGGGGTTGGGACAGTTAGGTTCTTCTTCCCCCTCTCCATCTCCCCCGACCCCAACCCCGAGCACCACCCCCGGCTGACTGAAAACTGGTAGAACGCGCCTCTACGACAACCTCCGGGGCACGGGCTTCTGGCCGGCAGAATACGGCGGGCGCGCGATCATCAACGAGTCGTTCCGGGATGCGGAGAAGGGTGTAGCTGAGGACAAGAACGCGGAGTTGTACGCGCAGGCTGTGACGAGGAATGATTTTACGAGGTTGACGGCGTTTGCGTAGGTCTCCCCCCCCCACTAACTATGATTCGCGGTAACGAGCATGGAGTTGAACGTCGAGTAGCGGTACCGGCGTCGGGCTGGTGAAAGAGGTGCTGCCCGCGGCATCGATCGTGGAGAACCTGAGGACGCAGGCGAGGGAAGTTTTGAGGCAGCAAGCGGTCGAGCTGGGGCTTTTGTGAGCGTGGGGGAAGTCAGGCGTAGCGCGTGTCCTCCCGCATACATAACCGTGGACGGCTGGTGATAGGGTGAGATGCGGGATGCGGGATGCAAGACATGCGCTACTATGTAATAGTACTCTACCTACATCAGGTGCATTTCTACTAGTAGATGAGTATATGTGAATTCCTTATGAATAACCTTCGCCTCTCTTGGGATGGAATAAACAGCTAGAAAAGCAACGTGAACACACTCCCTCCCTTGCGCAATCACAACTCGCTCTTCCCCTTCCCTTTCCCCTTCCCCTTCTTCGCTTGATCCATCTCCTTCCTCCTCTCAGCCACACTCCCCTCCAACCTCAGCTTAAGCTCCTGATTCCATCCCATCATGAACAACACCTCGATCCACACAAACAGCGGCGCGAGAAACAGCGCCTGCGAAAGATTATCGAGGAGGGCAGGGGCCCTCTTCTCAAAGACGCCATGTCCCACAAACTGCAGAAGCCAGCTGACGACCTGGACCGCCGCAGCGTACATATTGAACCTGTCGATATGACCGACGCAGTAGCTCCCGACGAGGGACTGCACGAGCACGTACGGCGCCAGCAGCGTACCCGGGATCGGCGCGAGGAGGATGTACCCCAAGCCGTAGACGGCGGCGGTGACAGTGCTGAGGTTGGCGTATTCAGACGGGACCAGCGGCAGTGGCAGGGAGACGTTCGCTCCCAGAGACATCATCGTGAACATCAGCACTGGCACAAACACGATGTGGATGTAGATGTTGGTCGGGTGTGCGTGGTAGCTGCCGTACTGTAGCACGGAAGGGTCAGTATCCGTGCGTGTGCGGAGGGGAGGGGTGCACGCCGGGGTGCTAGGTACGAACGAAGGTGAGGTGCTTCTCCAGGCCCAGGAAGGCCATGTTTGCTGCGGTGTTCGGTCTCGGTCTCGGTGACGATGTTGGTGCTCGGGCGTGACGTGACGTGAGGTTAGAGTTGATTCGCAACGTTAACTGTCAAACGGAACAAGGCGAGATGAGAGCGAGAGGGTCCGGGGAAACTTAGGGGAGTAAGGGGAGAATATGGAGATCATATACTACCTATCCGATCTTCCGGAAGCGATCCGGGGGGCTGGACCATCACATGCCTGTTCGGCCGTTGATCTGCTCCTACTCTACACCACCTGATGTTCTTCACCGGTATGGCTGGCACGACCGTTTTGTATTATTGTTTAATCATCAGTGCATTCGGCCTTTAGGTGGATCATGTCATCACGGATGTGACGGGTTTCCGTAAGGCGGTATTTCATGCCTGGCTGCGAGTCCGGAATGTGATACCTGAGTGTCTAATACGAGCCCACGGCCGCAAATATGTAAGTTCAGTAGGTAAGACTTCAAGCAGAACCCAGCCCAGCCATACGGAAGTCACCTTCCAGGATGTCCTCCGATGTACGTAGGACTATGCATGAAATCGCATCTCAAACATCGACAGTCTTCATTCATTTGCATGTTCCATATCACATCCCATCCGTACCCATGGCATTCATTCACAGCCAATACGTTACATACCGGTATCCTTTCCATCTCCCATCTTCCCATCTCCCTCCACTTCCCCCTCCCCCTCCCCCAATCACCTCCGCCTTCTCCACCGCGATATCTACCGCGCACACACCTCACAGTTGACAAACTCAGGAAATAGAAGAAAAGAAAACACTTGAAAAGAAAAATAAACAAAAAAACAAATCCCAATCGCCGTTTTCCGCTCTAACACAACACAAGTGAAAGAAACACAAACATAAACAGAAAGAGAAGTAGGAAAACACACAAGAAGGAAAAAAGCGAATAATATACACGTCTCTTTTCTTCCCCCCTTCCACCCCGCCAAGCCCTCTCTCTCTCTCTTCTCTCCATTTTCATCTCCATCTCCACCTCTCGTTCGTACAGTACAGGGAAAAAACCGCCAATTTTTTGTTTGCCACTCCCGCGATATTAAAGGTCGGAAGGAAGGAGGGGTTGGGTGGTGGTGGTGATGGTGGTGGTGGGGATCAAAAAGAAAAAGTACACAAAGTTTATAAAACGAAGAGACTCCCCAGTACGGAAGGAAGGGAGGAGGAGGAAGTTGCGCACCATGGTGATGAAGAATAATGGAAAGAGAAAGGACAAAACACCAGCCCTCATGAAAAAAAACGGAATACTAACTGAAATTCGAAACACCCAAAAAAAAACACAGAAAAGGTCAAAGATCAAACAAGAAAAAAAAATTATACCCGGAAAAAAAACGACACCCAGGACACCAACAAAAGGAGATGAAAACAGAAGCGCAAGCCGTCCGGTCAATTCAAGAACCCTTTGCATCCGCTGGACCCGCACAAGCACGGAATCCGATCGTCACTGTCGAGCTCGCGCTCGAACTTGTAATCGTAGGTCAGCTCCTCGTCTGTGGGAAACCAGTTAGCATTGGATGCTTATGATCACGATTAGCATGCGCGAAGACTCACTCTCTTTGATATCTCTCAATGCATAGATAACGATCCGCTTTGTGCCCTCGACTTTGATGATCTTGGCAGTGCAGTTGGGGGTGCAGCTGTGGTTGATGAACCGCGCGATCCCACCCTTCTTGGTGGCATCGATGACCGTGTTCTCGTCAATCCGGAACAAGTAACTGCTTCCTATGCCGCTCTTGATGTACTTGCGCTCGCGCATGTCGGCCACCTGCTGGCGGACGATCTCGCCGACATACTCGATGATCATGTCGTTCGCCGGGATATTCTCCATGGCGTACAGTCCCCAATTGTGAATTGCGGACCGAGCGAACCGAACAGGCTTCTTCCTCTTCTTGAGTTGGTTGAAACGCATGATATCAGCATCACCGCACAGAATTTGTTTCTGATTGTTGAGCTCCTGGACGAGACGTCGGTTGTTGACCCGATTTTCGCGGGAGGAAGAGACGGGGACCTTGGTCGTCGTGGTCTTTGATGAATGCTGTGGCGAGACGTGGGGAGCTGCATTCGCGCGCTTGGCTGCGACAGCGAGACGATGCGGAAGGTACTTGGACTTTTCGGCTTCGGGAATCTTACGATATCCCTCGGTTCTCGCGCAACCGGTACGGTTGGGCCGATAGAACCCCTCGATCGATTCAACGGTATAGGTGGGACCTGCGACGAATTAAACTCGGAAAAGTGATAGTTTGTGACGGGGGATTTCTTACCTCGCTTACCCTCCCTGTTGGCCGCCTTGCGTTCCTTCATCTTGCAAGCCCACAGGTGGACATTCCCCACATTCGCCGGGATTGTATCTTCCAACGCCAACTTCAGGAACCGCACATCCTCATCGTCCATAACCACTGCCTGCAATCCATCGAGATCCATAATCATCTCTGTATCTTCTTCAACTGTCACCTTGGGCAGAATTGTGCTAGAAATCGTCCAGGACATGTCTACAACCGGCGGAGGACCATCCTTCTCAGCTTCGATCTGATCCAAGAACAGATCGATAGCTGCCTCCGTTTTCTCATCGGTGAGCTTCTGGTAGAGGTCGGCTTCTTTGGAGTCGTCAAGGCTTGTGATGTCCACCCCTTCGTCCTCATCGAGGATTGCTCTGTGACTGACTTCGTCAGATGCGAGCTTAGTAGCTTCCACCTTCCTGGCCTTCTTTCGGTTTGCGTGTTCTTCGCCATCATCACCGACAATAAAGCCTTGCAGGCTCGATTCGGTCGGCTCGTCATCAACCTCCATCGGATTCGCCTCCTGCTCTGGACTGGCCGTCTCGACAGCCTCGTCATCCTCGTCGTCCGTGGAGATGGCCGTATCCTTGAGTCGTGACGGTGTTCGAGCTCCGATACTTCGCTTCCGCTTCCTGCTCCGCATATCCGCCAGAGATGATGGCGCCAAACTTACGGAATCATCATCGCCGATATCTGTAGACAACGCCCTAGACACCGAGCCGCGCGACACAGGGCGCTGATCCGTAGTCGTGGATTCATCGTCGGAGCCGTCGTAATGGTTCAATCTATGAGCCAGTGGTCTAGCTTCTTCGTTCCTCTTACCCCGGTCGCCCTTAGGCCCACGGAGTGCATTGGACGTCGGGGTTTCTAGCCGTTTGGGTTTGTGCTTTTTGAAGCGGGGGAGGACGGTGATCAAGTTCGCAGGCAATGGCTGCGCTTCGGGAGCGGCAGCTGCGGTGAAGGGTGGAGGTAACGGGGAATCGCAGGCAGGCGTCGAGGCGGCGTCAGTGTCCGTCTTGTCATCTTTCTCCTCGGGCTTCTTCCGAGTCTCGAGTCGGCCAGGGTTCAACAAGTCGTATATGTGCGGTTCAGCGATTCGCCTCCGGATATCCGAGGCAAGCGTGGTCTTCAAGTCGGCTTTGGCGGCCTTATGGGACTCGCGGGGTACGTCTACTCTCTCAAGCTTTCTCTTCGGTGGTCTCGGTGCCGGGGAAGGCGAGCGAGAGGCTTGCCGTGCGGCCACAGCAGAGGCGTTCGGGTTTCCTCGAGGGTACTTCTTCATGCGCATTTGGTAGGAGAACAGGCGGTCACCATCGCACATCCGGAAGCAATTGTCCAATCCTCTCGAGTTGGTAAACACAACGAAAAATCCATCCTTATCGCATAGCACATCTTCAACACCGAAGTTCTTCAACCGTCCGTACAGATGCTTGCAGAATCGAACCTCTCCTGGAATGTACCTCGAAGAGATGAATATCGCCGGCCGTCGTCCGAGGTCGTTGATGGCTTTGTAGTTCTGTGGTCGCGGCTTGATGAAATGGCTGTCCGGATCGTTTGGGGAAACCGAGGCGGTCCGTAGTGACCGTTCTCTCTCCGGGGGCGGCGGTGGTGGTGGTGGCGGCGGTCGGTTTCGGGCCTCCTCCCTGCGCTTGACCTCCTCTACTCGCCGTTTAGCTTCCCCCTCCCTGCGCCTGACCTCCTGCTCTTTGCGCTTGGCCTCCGCATCTCTGCGCATGTATTCGTCTTGCTTCTTCCGCTTCTCTTCCATTATCCGCTCCACATATTTCGAGCACTTCATCCCATCCCGGTCGAGCACTACCTTGATGTTTTGCATCCCGATCTTCATCTGGTTTCCCTTCTGAACTGCGCTCCTGGCCGAATGGTGGCCGAGCACCTTGTCGCCTTTGCTGTCGCGGTAGATGACGCTGCAAATTCCGAGGGATCCGCCAGTCGTCGGGTCAACCTTCAATTCGAATTTCTGCACATCGCCGAACGTCCTGAAGTTCATCAAAATTTCGCTTTCGGTGGTGAGCGGGGATAATCCGGTAACCATGATTTGCGCAGGCGGCCCGGGCCCGATGTAATGGCGGTCCCACTCCCAATTCACTCGGCCCAAAGCAGTGCGCACTTTTCTCTTACCGCCTTTGGGTCCTAGGGTATAGTCGGGATGGGATTTCCGGGGGTCTTGTACGGGCATAGATAGCTGCGAAGCGGTGTCAGTACAGTTCCGCTCTGCCAAACATGTAAATTGATATCATCTCGCAAGAGTGCCGGGGGCGCGGGGGTCACGGGGGGGGCAAGAAATAGAAAAATGTATACACATACTCCCTCACCATCGTAGCGATAGGTTACTTTGCCGCTCTTCTTCGCCGAAGAGTCTTCGTCGAGGAATGGATCATATTCGGCGCGACAATTCCTTCGCTGGGGTGCCGGTGGAGTTGCCTTGGGTGTCGGGATTGCCGGTCGCGGTTGCTCGACTGCTGGAGGCGGAAGAGCCTTCTTCTCCTTCTCCGACATTAACACCTCTGCATTCGGCGATACTGTCGCGGGTCGCGGACTCACATCCGGGGGCGACGAACTCGACGTAGCAGGAGTTAGTTGCGAATTACTATGCGTGGTTGTAGGAATGGAGGCGGTCGAGGAAGCAGTGCTGCCTGCCGACAGTGCACCCGAGATATCTCGATCCCGGTCATACTCGTCGTGTTGCTGTATCCGTACCTTCTCCTTCGCGGCCTTTGCAGCCTGGGCTTTCTTTGCCAGGACCGAGGGGGCGGCGGGAAAGAAGTCGGCATATCCTGCGCGCGACATGTCCGTGTGGGTTATGTCAGGCGTCGCATTTACCGAGGACGTTGCAAGGGAAGAATTAGTAGCACGCGCTGCCGGCTGGGGACGGGGAAGCGACTGTAGTTTGTATGCGACAGGACGACCGACGACGTGAGAGCTGGCGACAGACGTTGCTGGTGCTGGGCGGGGACAGAGGGGAAGAGGAGGGGGAAGGTTGGAGGGTGCGTGTGAATGTGTGTGTGTGACAACGATGTGGGGGAGGGGAATGAGGGTCGCGGGAGAGGGTGGTAGAGGTGAAGGAGTTGAAAGAGTGTTGTCGTCGCAGTTAGGCGATGCGATGTAGAGAGAAGGAGGTGGAGGGATGTTGAGCAGCGGTAGCTGGGAGTTGTCGGGTGAGTTGATAGCGCGTCGTCTGGGGGTGGGTGTGTGTGAAGCTAAACGCGAAGGAAAGGGAAGAGAAAATAGCGACAGCGACACGGCAAGGAGGCTGAGGGGAACGGTGTGGGGGCGGCGAAAGCGACGGGTTGCTGAGGAAGCGGTAAGAGCATTCGAAGGCTAGAGGGCTTTCTTTGCTCGCGAAGGCAGGGTTAGTGGAGGGTCGAGGTCAAGGTCAAGGCAAGGTGAATGGCAGGTGAGCAGAGCGGGAATCACACGAGAACGAAGCGATACAAGAGTTTGAGACGTTTTGATTTTGGGGGTCAGCAACGGGCGACAGGCGAAGCAGTACGCATGATTGTTTGCGTTTGGGTACAGTGGAGGAGGCGGAGAGGCGGCGTTGGAGGGGTTTGCTTGTGAGATTTGCTTTTGAATATGAGGAATGATCTTCAACGACTTTTTTCTTCTTATGATGTAGGTTATGGAGCAACGTGCGTTCACTGGAATGGATTCCGTATTGGATTCGACGAAGGTGATGATCACAAGGCACTGTTAGACTACTTAAGCTATGTAGTTAGTGTATGTACTCTATCATAGGACTTGAAAGTTGATGAGGGAGAATTACATCTTCTGCATTGCTGGGGAGTGTGGCGTGTGGCTGAAAGCTGTCACGTGATGGGTCGGCGACTTGAGTTCGGTGCGTGTTTAGACTTCCGATGACATCTATTTCACTTTCGCCATGAGGCCGGAGGTAGGTTCGGTTTTGCCGGCACAGAGTTTATATGAACACGATGGGAACAGAAGAGAAGAGATCTTGGGTGGGCGATGTCAAATAGAGACAGCCATTTAACGTCTCGTTCGTACAGAGGAGAGGAAGATGTACAACACGTATAGAAAGACGCGTGAATAATACCATGTACTCGACTCTATTGCCGTGCACGTGAAGAATAGTTACACTTGACTCTATCGTCCCGCACGTAAAGTGAAGCGGGTTGTCCCGGTGATGAAGCTGACTACCTTTCGGCCCCTTGCACCGAGCTTCTCTGCTCCCTCTCACTTCTCGTAACTCCTCATCAGCCACGTCCTGCATCTATCCGTCCAACGACAACGGCTTCCACCAGACACCTCCCCCTTACGAGCCACCAGAACCGAAATACCGGTGTTGACCAACCAACGGCAGAAGAAACTCTCGTCCCCGACTCAGCATTACTGCACTCCTCTCCACGCCGATATCACAGCCTTTCAACCTATCCCACGAGTTTACCATCAAATCGAGCCTGGAATCTTCGCGCAAATCGCACGCAAGTGCACATATTGTATACTTGAGGCGTACATACGAGGCATATATGTTGTGCTGCAACAAGCAAGCAAACCAGCAAACGGCGACGCCACCAGCAAGCACTGCCCTACATGCAAGTACACTGCCCGCCATCACGACCACCACAACCATCCCCACCCTCACCACCACCACCGGAGAACGAACGAGTGAGCGAACGACCTCGGAGCAGAGATATAGCTCTTCCGTGGACGAAACGTGCCATGATAAACTGCTGCGATCGAACCGGTGAAGTGGTTCGGATATCCGGGCCCACCAGGCTTCGATGCCGACTTTAGAAGCTTCTCACCCCGGGTCCCTCGTCGTGACGTTGGTATCTATCACTTCGGCATGCGCGGTTTGGTGAGAATCAAGCCGTCCTTCACACTTCACTCCTACCAGGTACTATACCAACTGCTCAACCCAGTGAAGTCTACCGCTGCTGTTCCTGCTGCTAGAAAGAACCAGAACTACCTTATCCTCGCGCATTGCGGACTGATCGGCCACCGAGGTCGAGAATGCCATGAGGACGTCTTTCGCGATGATACGCCGTATGTTTGCCGGTTCGTCGTGATCTTAGAGTTCTCAGTCTGTAGAATAGGTACATAGCAATGAAACGATCCCTTTATCACGTGCCATAAGCTCAGCGCGCCCAACCCACCGCCAAGCCCCAACATTCCGCCCCCACGTAAAAAATCGCGTCCACCGTCCAGCGTCTCCACCGTGCCCCTACACCGTGCCCCACCGCCAAGCTCACCTCACCTCTCTACCACCCGCACCCGCACCACTCCACGACCACAGCAAAATGAAGCTCCTAACAACCAACTACCTAACCTGCGCGATCAAGGCCTGCCGCACCTCGCCGCTATCGTTCCCGCTGCACTTCAAGGATGCCGAGCTAGTGCAGGAAACGCTCGAGGCGAACCCGACGTTCATCCGCAACATCCTGCCGCGGATCGAGTGGCCTGCGCTGGTGACTACTGCTACCGAGGTGAGTTTCTGCGTCTGGGACCTGTCGGGGCGGGGAATGAGGGGAGGGCCTGAGGGGGCTAATCCGATGGGATTCACAGCTCGGCTTCACGACGTTGCCGCCCACGAAGCCCGAGGGGGACGAGTTGACGGATGAGCTGGTCGCGGAACTGCACACGCTGCTTGTGGAGGTGGGTTTGCTTGCTCGATACCTACCGGAGGTTGGAGGTTGGAGAGGCGCTGATGGGAGGGGTGCACAGACGCAGGTTATTAGTGGGAAGTTGGTGTGCGGCGCTTGCGGGCATGAGTACAACATCCACGAGGGCATCGCGAATTTTTTGTTGCCAAATCATTTGGGTATGTCTCTCCTGCTCCTGGTTGGTTGGTTGGTTGGTTGGGTGGTGGGTATAGAGCGCTGACAGGCTGTGCAGTCTAGGAGTAGGAATAAAAAACGTTTACTGTGACAATTTCACGAACTGCTATATGCACGCACACGCATGCGCGATTAACCAAATACCATCAGATTACCGTACCGTGTCATCCCGCTCCAAAAAACCTCAAAGATTAAAAACATCATCTCTCTACCTCGAGCCCGCATCAGAGCCGAATCCTTCAACCATCGCGTCATCAATCGACAAACCCAAAAGCGCCGCAAACCCAAAAACTCCAAACCATCCTACAAAAAACAGAGGTGCCTAGCCCCCCCTTGCGACCTGTCCACCCCACTTCGTCCCCACTCCGGTAACCTCAACAGCCACGTTGATCGCCGTGCCGACTGTCCAGATGGAAATGAGCGTGATGCCGATACGGCGAGACATCATCCAGTTATTCAGCGGAACCCACACAAGGAGGACCACCAGCGTCAGAAGCAGTGTTGCAGCACTGATAACGAGCGTGCTGGATACTTCGATGTGGTAGACTGGATCACCCTTGATAATGGTCATATACAGTCCGCTAACGCCGATACCGAGGAGGATGTTGAGCATGGGCCCACCGAAACACGCGCTGAGTGCCATCACCGGGAAGCCGAGTCGTGCTATTGTTATGTCCGCAACCAGGTCGCCGAGTGAGTTGCCGACTGCGAAGATGGTGAGACCGAGGATCGCATCCGATATACCAAAGATTACTCCGAAGGCTTTGAGGATCCCGACTACTTCCTCGGCGATGGTAGAGATCCAGGATATGGCCACTATGAACCCGCCGAAGCAGAGGAGGGTAGCGAAACCGTGGTGGCTGCATGGGCGTCGTCAGAGTGAGGAGTAAGGCGAGGCATACCAGCCCAGTGAGGAGCGCGTAAAGGATCGGTTTCAACAGAGGAGTATCGGAATCCGCAAACAGAACGAGTACTATGAACAGCGGCGCAGTGATACACTGGATTGCAACTAACCAGCGATTCCAGTCCTTTGGTGGCGGAGGGGGATCAGAAGGCGTCACCATCGGTGTGGCAATAGTGGTGGTGGTGAGGAACGAGCTTGGACTCTCCGGCGGAAGCGCATTATGTTGCCCGCCACCGGGCTTGCCGTCGTCGGCGGAGGGACGCTCGGGACCTTCAACTACTGGAAGTGTGAGGGTGAGGAAAAAGACGCTAGGTACTGCAACGAGCGCGAAGACTTTCTCCAGGAAAGTCTTGTCCGTGAAGTCCTGCAGTGTGGGGAAGAACGTGACGTAGAGGCGTTGCGGCGAAGGGAAAAGGCTGTAAGGCCAGTATTTCATCCTTTTCGCCTGTTGGACGGGTATGCTCAAAGCGGTCAAAGAGGAATCCATTGATGACCGAGGAAGTCGGAGCGATGGTGGCGGGGATGGCCGACCTCCGATCGGCCCCGGAGAATCCGTAATCACGTCAGAATCTACGTCCGAATCCAAGATCGAGAAGCGAGGTGCCACTTTCGACAAAGGAGATGGCGGTGCTGAGCCAGGCGGCGAGTGCGCCGGGCTTGTTCCGGTAGAAGATGGTGGAGCGAGGAATTGTGATGTATATATTCGCATTCCGGGAGGTCGTTTTATAGCAAATACATGCGGTTGATTCTCCTGCTCTGATGCCGACCCTCCGTCGTCCGATTCTTGTACCAAGAGGTCGGGGATTCGTGAATGGAGGTTCCCTACGTCAACCACGGCTTGCGCGGCATCATTGACGGAAACAGCTCGTAATCTGCCTAATGGCCCCGTCGACGGCCTCAAGAGCGAGTGCGGCGTATGGCGAGGATCTGTCGCATCAACCGGACCGCCCAGGTTCGGTCTCTCTGGGTTGGGCTCAGAAAGTGAATGGCCGGAGAGCATCGGGTCATCAGAATACCTCCTAAGGTGTATCTGCCTGCCCCGAAGATTCTTGGTCTTCTCGAGAGAACTGAGAACAGCCCGGAACTCCAGTGCGCCAACCAGTGAAGGTCTAATCGTGTGTGTCGTAGCAGCTGTTAACCGTCTCTCCATTCCGGGCCGACTATTCCTCACGTTATTGCTCAACTCGGCGTATTCACGCTCTTCACGCTCTTCTTCGTCTTCGTCGTCGTCGTCCAGGTCTCGTCCCAGCCCGCTCTCCAAGGCGCGGAAATCGTGTAAATCCCCATTTTCCTGGGCCCCCTGACCAACACCGCCGTCTTCGTCATCTTCCTCCACCAGGAGATCCTCCTCTTCGGGCGCGGTGTAATGCTCCCTAGCACGTCGCTCCTTGCGTCTTCTACGCTTCTTGCGCCCCGCCATCCAATGCCATCCGATAACGAAGACCACATACAACAAGTAAAACACAATCATCAAGACACATTCCCACATCTTGATCCTGCCATCCGCGAGGAAATACAGACTAAAAAGTACAGCCACGGCGAAGAACGAGACGTCGCGAATGAATGATTTCCGGCCGACCTTGAAGGGGCGTACGATGGCCATCGAGCCGGCGACGACAGCAGTGATAAAGCATGCGGCGCCGATAAGTTCACCGATAGCGAGCGAGCCGGAATTAATCTTCATCGCAGCAAACGTGCTGAACACGTCAGGCGACCCGTTACCGAAGGCGAGGAACGTCACACCCGCCATGCTCTCCGACATGCCGAGGATGGCGGCGATAGTAGAAAGATTGATGCAAAAGAAGTCGCTCGCGGCGATGCCGATGGTCGAGAACAGTATTCCGAGCCATGATGCCAGGATGAGGAATGGTACGCCTTTCGTGCTTCCGAAGCGGCAATAGTAAAGGTCGAGATAATCCAGCAGGCCAACTCGTTCTTCAAGGCAGTGTTTGCGGACGAATGCGCACTTGTCCTTGGATCTATTCACATTGCGACACTGTCGAAGTCAGCGTTGCCCACGATGCAAAGGTACAGATAGATGGGGGGGTCCGGTACGGCCGGACGTGCCTCGTTCTTATCATCGTTATCTTGTCGAGCCACATGGTGACGTGGGTTCAGGTTCCGGAGCGACAACCTAAAAAACGATTGTCTAGTGCTCGGTCTTGATGGCGTGTTGGCCACGGCGCGCTCAATGTCCTCAGGCGAGAGTTTATCTGGCCGGTGCACTCTCTTTGCCTCGGTGGTCGCTGCTGCGAGCAATAACAGTAGCACTGCGCATGCGAGTAACCTCACCGCCGGAAGCCGACGATTGAAAAGCTTCATAGTGTGGCGGCAGTTGTGTCGCGGGCGAACGAAGAGTAACTTGTCTGTCGGGCTGCAGACGCTGACGGGGAATTCGTAGAGCAAAACAGTCAAGGGTAGCTTGTCTGTCGGGCTACAGATGTTGACGGGGAATTCGTAGAACAAAACACCGAAGAGTAGAAGAAGTGTGTGTAGAAGCTGTTGGGCATCTCGAGCTCTTCAGGAGCTGCAGGAGGTTGGGCTGGGCGAAAAGGTATATCCGCAGAAGGAGGGTCTGCCCAGATTGGGTGGGGGGTTGCTCCAGTTAATATCCTGACTCTGTCGCAAAGGCGCGGAGGAAGGAGCTTGTTTGAGGGTGGGATACGTATGACGAGGGTTGTGGAATCTCCTGCGGCCGCCCGCGTACGATCACGCAAGTCTCGACCGTATCTACCGGGTACTCTGTGTACTAGTACTAGCACCGGCTGTGTTGCACAGCCTCGCTCTTGCTACAAGCGCCACACTTTCATTGTCTGAATCGACGATCGAGTGAGATTCCATGATAGTGGCCTTGCTCACGGTCATGATTAGAAACTTGAAGACGATTGACAACTCTAGGGCTTTGATCTCGGCTCCGCCACCTCTCTTAGGCATCCCGAGCGAGGTGCGGTCGTTTCCATGACGAATCGCCAGTCACGGAAGCGCTACAGTAGAGTACTAGTTATCTAGAACGAGAAGACTCTCCGCAGCAGACCGTGACCGCTGGAAACGTGTATTGATTCTCTTCGTTGAGGATGGAATGCCCATCAGCAGCGGCGTATTCCTATGGTGCCAGAATGCGCACAACAGACATTCAGTGGTTAGCTAACGGCGGATTTGATCAATTTATGCGCACAAATCCCGGATGCTGACGATCACTTGTGTTCGGGATTAGGATCGGGATGTCTTTGTCGGAGCAGGTAGCGCGCTTCTCATCCTACAGCATAAATGCAGTGTCGATGGAACTCGCGGTCCAAATGTTCACAGGTCTCATCTCATACACATCGAAGGGCAGTTCCTCGCGGAATTCATGTGCACTGGTTGAATGACCGGGGATCCGCTACAATTTCTAAACGTGGCAAGTTGGTAGCTGATAGACATCTTTTGCTACGATAGTATAGGTACTCTACAGCCGAGACACCTTGATATGCACACAATCATCGAATCCTTTGTTGTCGAGAGATGCTCATCACGAACAGTTTTGAACATAGCTCCACCGTCTTTCGGAAAGCTCCCTGCCTGCTGCACAGTCATCGCAGAGTCTCACTCGCTAAAGTCCCACGTGATCGCCCGCTCCGTGCTAAGGGCGCATCGTTTGTTTACCACCGCACAAACCTCCATTCCTCCCTCGACGACAACCACAACCACGACCACGATCACACGCGAAAACGATATCCTCCATCCATACAGGCTGCCTTTCCGGAACCACCAACCTTCGTGCCTAGCTGCAACACCGCAAACAGGCTCCTCCGCGCTCCACAATGGCCCGCACCAAGGGTACGGCCGTCGGCCGCGAAGTCTCCACGCCCAAACGCACTACAATGATTCCGCTCAACGATGATTCCGCCGAGAAAGCGGCGCGAACCAAGGAACGTAACCTATTGCAGTCCGCGCAGAGGCAGAAGATTAAGGCTGCTGCTTCCCCCGCTGTTCGCAGACAGACTTTGGGCGCGGATGGCATTTCGCCGATGACTCCTAGGAACGTCGCCCAGCAGGAGACGCCAAAGAAGGTTCAGATCTTGGCAAACTTTGAGGAGATGATGAAGATGGCTACTGATAACGTGGGTTTGCTTCTTGGGTTCGCGCGACGGCGGTGATGGGGATGCCGCTGGTGGTGCTGGTTGTGGCGGGGTATTACGAGACTGACGCGCACGCGTGTCACCAGAAAATTAATGCGACAAATTCGTGGGACTTCGCGTTAATCGACTACTTTTATGATATGAGCCTGCTGAAGGAAGGTGATACGGTCAACTTCCAGAAAGCGAGTTGCACTTTGGATGGATGTGTAAAGATATACACCAGCAGAGTCGATTCGATCGCAACCGAGACGGGAAAACTACTCAGTGGATTGGCTGAGAGCAGCGTTTCAAAACGGAAGGGCAGAGGTGCGGACGAGGAAGGAAGTGACGCAGAAGATGGGGAGGAGGTCGATGGCGAAGGCAAAAAGAAACCTAGGAAGAAGGTATGTCGATTCGCTGCGCAAGTGTATGTGAACTAACTGCCGTCGTAGACCCAACGCTCCTCCGAAGCAACGCTTGCCAAGGACTTCGCTCAACTAGCAGTCAAAAAGCTCGAGCTCGAATTCTCGGTCGACCCTCTGTTCAAAAAAGCTACGGCAGATCGAGACGAAGGCGGAGCCAAAGGCCTTCTCCTCAATAACCTCTTCATTGACGCACACGGGCGAATAGTGTTTGATAGTAGTGACGACAAAGACGAAGAAAAGGACGGGGAGCATGAGGATGATGGGGAAGACGATGCCGTAAAGGAAGAAGAAGTTCTGGATAAACCCGCAGAGATTTTGAGCAAGCTTGGCGACCTCAAGAGCAGATTCTTCCCCGACCTTTCCATATTGGACAAACAAGATGTTTGCCCATCTCTCAAGAACTTTGATCTGAACACTTCCGAGGGACTGGATATTCCGTTTCTTAAGGGCCTAGAAGACCGTGACAACGGGAAGCAAGCAGCCGATCCAGAGAATAACGAGGATGATGATGAGGATGTCGGCGCTAGAGATGATATGGCCTTCGGATTCGACGACGGATATGGCATTGGAGGTGACGACGACATGACCATGGCATTCGGCGAAGGAGGAGAGGCTTGGGCCAACGAAACCATAGCTGATGCGGCGGATCGTCTATTGAGCCCATCGAGACGACCGCTCTTCGGGTCTGGGGGGGCGGACAACGATGAAGGTGATTTCGATCCTGATGGCAGTCGGTTTATCGGCTTTGGTGGCGGACATGAGGATATTCTCAGCTACTTTGACGAAAGAGTGGGGACAAACTGGGCGGGACCGGAGCACTGGCGTATCCGAAGAATCAAAGACAGCTCCAAGCCAGCAAACACGGCACCGAGACCGCGAAAAGAGAAGGAGACCTTTGAGATCAACTTCATGGACCCTACAGCGGATGCTCCAGCTGAGGTGTTGGGCCCGCCCAAACTTCCTTCCTCGATCAATATGCCTAGGAAAGACCGAATAAGCAAGTCCAGGAACCTACTACCCGACGACAAACACTTCAACTCCCGTCAGCTCATCCGGATGTTCCTGAAGCCCGACGCCAGCGTCTTGCGAAGAAGGAAGAACAATGCAGGACCGGGTGGCATGCTCCCTCAAAACGATGAGCCACCAGAGAACCTAGATGAAGAGTTCTGGGCCAAAGAGAACATGGCAGGAGAGATCCAAGCCTCGTCGACCCCCGGTCCCAAGGGCGATTACGATGCCAACTTCTTCAATGACGATCGTCTCGACCTTCCTGCTGGCCTTGAGGACGACGACGACGATGCGTTCGCGGATGCGAGGGAATCGTTTTCACCGGGCATCGACGGTGCGGCGGCAACCGCCGGAGGTGCCGTACCGCAGTCCCAGAATCCTTTCTCCACCCAAGCTTTAGACTTCGGTTCACAGCTTGTTGCCCAGGCTCGTCGCATCAGACCAGAATACGTCCAGTACGCGCGCGTAGCAAAGAAGGTCGATGTTCGAAAACTGAAGGAGAACATTTGGAGCGGCCTCAAATTTGCGCCCGGCCAAGATCCAGACAACGTTGGTTCCCCATTCTACTCCTTCTCTGTATCCTTAACTAACATTTCATTCCTCCTCCTTCCAGTCAATACGCTCTGAAGAACCCACCCCTGACCCCTTCGAAGAACCCCGCAAGTTCACACGCGTCATGAACAATCTCTGTGCAGTCTATCCCGAGAAGGTGATGTCCGACATTAGCACGAGCTACTGCTTCATCTGTCTCTTGCACTTGGCGAACGAGAAGGGACTCATCGTCGAGGAGGAGGGGGGAACTCTGCAGGAGCTGGTGATCAGGAAGGATCCTGCCGCGAATGAGGCTGATGCCTATTAATAAATACCCGCTGAATGGATGGAGCTTGGTTGTTTGATTTTTTTTTGGGCGCGGGGATTTGGCGATAGGGATTTAGTCGTTTCGTTTCGTTTCGTTTTCTGCTTCGACTTTTGATGGGAGCGAGGGGAGGGCTTTTTGGATTTGATGTGGTTCTGCGTGGACCATGCCACCAGGGCTCTGATGGCTGTTGGATATAGAATGAGTTCCTGTACGAGTTGTAGTTATGTATCTGGAAAAGTGGATGCACAATCGAGTGATAGGTACCGGAGGGAGTAACTGGCCCGTTCTCACTCGTCAATGACTCCATGGACTTCAACACGATTCATCTACATACCGCAATCAAGACTTGAACTACTAGTACCTACACATTCGCTTTCCCGCTTTATTGATTCCCAGAGTCAGTACAGATTCCGCACAGCATCCAAAACCAAACACCGGCAATCAGAACATTTTTTCCCACCCGACACATCACCCCCGTCCCAGATCGACCACATCCAACGCAGAAGTCATTGTACTCAAAACTGTCATGACCGGATCCGGTCGCATGTAACAAAGAAACCGAAAACCGAGCCAGAAAGCCCGTTGCGTTTATCTTCTTCGAGTTTAAACAAAGACAACAGGCAGAATGAAGACTCGATTTCCATTCGGTACTTTCACCGAGCTAATGTCACAAGCGTTTTGTAGGTATCACGTATGTAGAGTCTGTGTGAATCATGACTCCATAAATTTCGTAGAGTAAGTACAGAGAATCGAAAGAAAAAGCAGTAAACCCGCAGAAAAAACCCCGAGAACCGTAAGAAAACCATGAAGAGAATACAAAGGAAAGAGAGAAGAAAAAAGAAGAGCCGACTACAAAACCATCCCCATTTTTTACGACCCTGTAAGCGTCCCCAAACAAGAAATTAAAGGAGTTTTCATACAAGAACACGCATAAGAAAAAGACACCCATCCCTCGCCTTGTATGAAGACACTTCTAACTCCCTATCGAAAAGAGCGACACATTTAGTCGACCTCCTCAACGGTAGGACCGTCGTCAGAGGCACCAGGAGGTCCTCCAGCACCGGCACCGGGGAAGCCACCACCAGGCATTCCTCCGGGCATGCCACCACCGGGAGCGCCACCCTGGCTCTGGTAGAACTTCATCATGATGGGGTTGGCGATAGCCTCAAGCTCACGCTGCTGAGACTCGAACTCGTCCTTGGTGGCAGTGGTGTTGTTGTCCAACCACTCAACCGACTCGTCGATAGCCTTCTGAAGCTTGGCCTTGTCGTCGGCATCGAGCTTGTCGCCAACCTTCTCGTCGCTGAGAGTGTTGCGGAGCGAGTAGGCGTAAGACTCGAGAGAGTTCTTGGCCTGGATACGCTCAGCCTCGGCGGCATCCTCCTCCTTGTACTTCTCGGCCTCGGCCAACATGCGCTCGATCTCCTCCTTGGAAAGACGGCCCTTGTCTATAGAAAGTTAGCATCTGGTTCAATAACGATGTGGAGTGGGAAATGCTTACCATTGGTGATAGTGATCTTGTTGGTCTTTCCAGTACCCTTCTCAACGGCGGAGACGTTGAGGATACCGTTGGCATCGATGTCAAAGGTGACCTCGATTTGAGGAACACCACGGGGCGCAGGGGGGATACCGGTAAGCTCGAACTTTCCGAGCAGGTTGTTGTCCTTGGTGCGAGCACGCTCACCCTCGAAGACCTGGATCAAGACACCGGGCTGGTTGTCCGAGAAGGTAGAGAAGACCTCAGACTTCTTGGTGGGGATGGTGGTGTTACGCTTGATCAACGCAGTCATGACACCTCCAGCGGTCTCAATACCGAGCGACAGAGGAGCGACGTCGAGAAGAAGAATCTCCTGAGTCTTGGAAGAAGTGTCTCCGGTAAGGATAGCGGCCTGGACGGCGGCACCGTAGGCAACAGCCTCATCGGGGTTGATGGACTTGTTGGGCTCCTTACCGTTGAAGAAGTCCGAGACGAGCTTCTGGATCTTGGGGATACGGGTGGATCCTCCGACCAAGACGATCTCGTGAACGGAAGACTTGTCGATCTTGGAGTCGCGGAGGACGCGCTCGACGGGCTCCATGGTGGAACGGAAGAGGTCCTGGCAGAGCTCCTCGAAACGGGCACGGGTGATCGAAGTATAGAAGTCAACGCCCTCGTAGAGCGAATCGATCTCAACCGAGGTCTGAGCCGAAGAGGAAAGGGTGCGCTTGGCCCGCTCGCAAGCAGTGCGGAGACGACGAAGGGCACGAGCGTTGCTGGTCAAGTCCTTCTTGTGCTTGCGCTTGAACTCCTGAACGAAGTGGTTGACAAGGCGGTTGTCGAAATCCTCACCACCCAAGTGAGTGTCACCAGCGGTGGCCTTAACCTCGAAAATACCCTCCTCGATGGTCAAGAGAGACACATCGAAAGTTCCACCACCGAGATCGAAGATGAGGACGTTACGCTCGCCGATCGTCTTCTTGTCGAGTCCGTACGCGATAGCGGCAGCGGTGGGCTCGTTGATGATACGGAGGACGTTGAGACCGGCAATCATACCAGCATCCTTGGTAGCCTGACGCTGGGAGTCGTTGAAGTATGCAGGGACAGTGACAACGGCGTTGGTGAGGGTTCCTCCGAGGTAAGCCTCAGCAGTCTCCTTCATCTTGGACAGGACCATCGACGAGATCTCCTCGGGGGTGAACTCCTTGGTCTCGCCCTTGAACTCGATCTGGATGATGGGCTTTCCGAGCTTGTTGATAACCTTGAAGGGGAAGTGCTTCATGTCCGACTGAACCTCAGCATCCTCGAATTTCCGTCCGATCAATCGCTTGGCGTCGAAGACGGTGTTGTGACTGTAAGGATAAATGTTAGTGATCAATCATGATAAACGCGTCGTGAGTAGATGGTAGAGAACTTACGGGTTCATAGCGACCTGGTTCTTGGCCGAGTCACCAATCAGACGTTCCGTGTCGGTGAACGCAACCTATTCCATCAATCATTGTCAGTAAACCATTTCTCATTGATGTTGTTTCGTAACGGGTAATCAATCAAACAAGCTAACAATGCTTGTTGGTGTGGTGGGGGGTAATAGTGGGGCAATGGCGGGGCAACGATGATGCTACGCAACCACCAATACCACCAACAATGAAGAGAGATACGAGGAAGAAGGAAATAACGGGCAACTTACGAATGATGGGGTTGTTCGGTTTCCCTGGTCATTTGCAATGATCTCGATACGGTCATCTCTGAAAACACCCACGCAGGAGTAGGTGGTTCCCAAATCGATACCGACAGCGGCCACCATTTTGAAATCTGTTGTAGAGGTTGTTGTCTATGCGAGTATTAGGTGTAGGTGGAGGTAAAGAAGAAAAGAATTTGTCTGTAAGAGCGCGGAGAAGAGAGGTTGCAGTGTTGTGGTTGTGCGTGTAAGATGATGAAGGAAGAGAGAGAGGTGGGAGTGCTTTGGTGGATAAGGATTTATAGATGGGGTGGGGGGGAAGGCGGGTTGCGGCTTTTGCTTTGCTTTGGAGGGGGGGGGGGGGTCGTTGGTTTGCAGTGCTGTTCTGAGGCAGGAACGTTGTAGCACGCGCTAGAATGCTCCATGAGACTCCATGATCTTCCACCACCTACGCACCGCTTCCAGCAACATCGACAACAAAAAAAATACACATACCACTCCCGATAGAGGGCAAGTCGGATTATGTAATTTCCCATCACATGCTATGTCGCTGCTGCACCACTTTTGGTAAATGTTTGGTCTTTTTTTGTGAACGGCGGGCGACCGAGACGACAGAGTGAGAGCTCGTTAACCGCCGAGGATGGTCCGTGCGCGACAAACGATTCTACTGCATTCCGCAAATGACGTAAAAGCCGCACCTTAGAGAACCCCTTGCAAGGCACGATTGCCTCCATACAGACATGGCGAAATCCTTCAGCCCCACTCAGCCTGCTCAACAGCCGTATACTTGCTACTATGGAGCCCCAGAATGCTCGAGGATGCTCTACATGCTTCTAGAGTGCGTGGCCGGTGGGGCATGCCAGGGAAACGCCCGACCGCGGCCAGTCCTTTACCACGCGGAGTCACAGACAAAGCAACCTAGATTACGGGACTCAAGGCTGCGTACCTGAACCCAAGTAGCACAAAGCCACACCCGGGTTGTCGGCCTCGCTCTTCGACACAGATTCATGGGTACTGTAGATACCCAGGTTGGCTGCTAGTGGAACTACCCCAGTCTGTCTGAATACATATCTACCAGTGAATCCGCTAGGAGCTCTGCAGCGGCGATGTGGCGATGGGTGGCGAGTGACACTAATAGAGTAAGTTCGAGACGTTTCCGTGATGCTTACACACTTCTCAACACGCTGCGAGATCGAGGTTCACTTCCCGTCAGCTTCACAGCAATTGCGGCACTTTTCTCCGATAACCAACTCACGACATGTGACATCATCGGGCGTCTTGAGTTACGCGAGGGCCTTCATGACATCGTGAGTGACGGGGCGTGAAGGCGATGTCGGGGTTCAAGAGAGAGGGGATACATGCTGCCAAATGAATGGCACGACGATAGAGAAACATCTGTGTTCACACACAACCACGATATGTACCTAGTTGAAAGCTATCTATAACCTGGAATTCGCATACTAGGTATCTACTGGACAAAAGGCACTACATCTACAACTCATCTTTTGCCGCACCCTCCGCTTTCTCACGCCCACACGCTGCCGGCGTGCCGACCTCCATACGATAAACACATTTCTCCGCCTCGACGACGTTGCGGATCTCGTTCTCGGCGGAGCAATACAGCTCGACACCAACACTCCTCTTGGGGCCATTCCAGCACTGCTGTCCGTTGTCGTATCCCAGTGCCATGCCACTAAGTGGCTCCTCATGGCTCTCCTCCCAGCTGCTCGCAAATACTCCAGCGGCCTCGTTCTTCGAAGTTTCATCGGCAATATCGATCCGAGAGAAGGTACCCAGTGAGGTCTTTGAGTTATCCTTCCGCGAAATCTGTTGTGCCTTCTCCATGAAACATAGCTCGTATTTGTACTCGCCGAATTCACGGGAGATGCAAGTACCCTTAAGAGCGCGGAAGACATCGGATGGTCCCATATCGGCAGCGAGATCCTTCTCGAGCTGTCCAAGGTGCTTCTTAACTTTCATGTCTTCGTTTTGGGCGGCGGTGAGTGCGTCGCGGGCGGCAGTGACGGCGGCAGTTTCGATGCCATCGGTTTTTTGGGGTGCGAGCATTCCGTTCGCGATGAGGAATTCACGGAGTTCTTTGATCTTGACGCCGAGCCAGTCGCGGGCGGCTGGAGGGAGGTATTTGGTGAGTTGGTAAACTGTGTGGCCGTGTCAGCTTCAGAAAGCTTCAGAAAGCTCTGCGAAGGGAGAGGGGTCATACGCTCTGAGACTTCTTCCTCTTCGGGACCAGCGAGCTCATCCCAATTCGTTTCCTCTTCCAAGACAGCAGTGAGATCCCTATCCTCGGCCGCATTCCGCTTCTGGTCCTCGTCCGCAAGATACTCCTCCCACGACCTGACAGCACGTTTGACACCTTCGTCGTTGAAGTTGGGATTGTACTCCTCCCTCAGCAACCTCAGCATCGTCTCCGCCCTCTCCAGCCGCTCCTCGGCGATATCCCTCTCATCCCTGACTTTCAAGAGCAACTTTCGAAGCTCCTCCACCTTCTCCTTCGCAACTTGCGTGGCCACGCTCACCCTACTCCCCGGCTTTGGGTTCTTCACAACCCTGTTCCTCTCCCTCTCCTCCGTTTCGTGCAGCTTCTTCTCCAACTCCTTCACCTTGACCTCATTCGCCTGCACCTTGACTTTCGTAGTGGCGACATTGTCCTCAATCTCCTTCTTAAGCACCTTCGCCTTCCTCACCAGCTCCCTCCTCGCCTTCGCCGCCTTACTCCTCCTCGCATTCCTTTCCGCGGCCATCTTCCTAGCCGCGGTTCCAATCTCCTTACACGTGCTGGGACACGACACGCCGCCAACACCGCCGGCCTCATCCGACCCATCGCAACAGATGTCATAGTCGCAGATCCCGTCGTTAACCCTCGAATTGGGCAGATACGCCGGCGTGTGTCCCTTGTTACGGCAATAGAACCCGGGGATCGCAATGTCCTTGTGCAAGAGGCCTGCGCACGCCGACGTGCCGGGCTCGTCCGAGCCGTCGGGGCAGTCGCAGAAGTCGTCGTTTACGCGGTCATACGGGATTTCGATCGACGGATGCGTGAGGCATGTGAACGTTTGCAGGTTGGAAGGGATGTAGAGCTTTGCATCTGGTGTTTTGCACTGGTTAATGGCACGCAGGGATGGAAGGGGAGCTGTCTCTGGAAGTACCTTCTGGAGATACACCGCGTGGGACGGTGGTAGCCCGGGCGAGTGTGAGGGATGTTGCGAGCAGGAGCAGCTGTTGCAGTAGCATTTTTTTAAGGTTACTATTACTTTTGGACAGGCGGAATTGACTCTGTCCCCGGAAGTGCGGGAGAAGTTTCGAGGGAGTGAGGTTGCTGCTGTCGCTTGAGGACAACTGTAAACTTGAGCCGCTTCCCTGCCGAGATCTGTGATCACCGTCCCAAAGGAGCTACAAGACACGTAACAGCAATGCATAGATGCAAGTGTATTTTAGCGGGATACCTCGTTCTATGCATATAGTTTCAAACGCAAGCAGTCCCGATAGCTACTCAATTATATTCTCCAAAGCTCCCAAAGCGCCCAAAGTTTATGTAAGTAACCCCTAACCCTACAGCTCCTTCTTCTCGCCATCATCTGTGGTGTTCAGTCTATCTAGGTGAGCTAGATCCAGCGTCAAAAACTCCTTCTTGTTCTTCCAAGCCACCTGGGTCTCAGCAAAGTCATCGCTCTCAGAGGGAGGTGGAGGAGGATCGGTGATTTTGGTGATCAAATAAGCTGTGCTTGCTTCCGCAATGCCGTAGATCAAGACACCTAGAAGGGGTGTCTTGAGGATGAGGTAGAAGCCGACGCCAAAGCCTACCCACTCATGAGCCAAGGTGCATTTGTAGATAAACACAGGATTTAGACATACCAAAGAGGAGGCCCTGTCTGTCACGGAACCAACGCTTCTTCTGTTCCTTGGTGAAGTGGATCCGAGAAAAGTAGGGCTCCAATAGTTCACGCATCAAACTCCGACTCGCGAAGAACCCTTGAAGCACCATCACCATCCACCGCTTCGGGAGGAAGAAGCCGCATGCGAAAACGACTGCTGCTGGCTCGGGACCGACGGCGTCGTTCAGGGAGTAGAAGGATGCGGCAGGTAGGACGAAGCTGGCGACCAGTCAGCACCTCCTTCGAAACAGAATGTAAGTACATTGTCTGTACTCACGGTCCGATGTAGGGCACAAATGTGAGAAGGTATATTCCCATCGAGATCGCGGCACGCTTGGCATAGCGTTGCGCAAACAAGAGCACGTTCCGATAAACCGACTTCTTGTCCTTCGGTGGACCTCCTGTAACTTGCTTACTGTCCCCATACTGGCGAAGATTCGGATAGTACATCGCCCTCAGCGTGGTCGGGTCTTCTGATTTGTGCTTCACGACATACGTGTGATCAACCCATTCGAGTGACTTCATGAACCTGTTTCGCGGAGATTAGTCGGATTGCTCGCTTCGCAGCGTCCAGAAGTACAAACATTTCATCCATCGCAGGGCTGACGAAGCGCATGGCGCTCATCATAAAGAAAGGCAGCTGTAGCACGCTCTTCTCGATGAAGGTCAAGCCGGAGAGCATCCTTTGGTCCCATTGCGAGGATCCCACATCGATAATGAATCCCACGAAAAACAACAGAACGCGGACAAGCAAACTCGGTATGGCAATGATAATACGGATAGCAAAGCCGGCTGCAACAGCAATCGCCGCTTGTTTATAGAGCGTAGTGTTGAAGAGTCGGGGATTCTGGAGAGCTCGGTAGGCTGAATTGAGCACGAGGGCAGTGCCAGTTAGATATCTGGACGATGTAATCGCGGGAAGGTGGAGATGAACGTACCGCCCACAAGAGTGAGTTGGGCGCCTCTTAGGATTGCATTTGGATCAAGGTTCGACATTTTGGCGAAAGTTTAGATGGAGAGAAGTGGGCTCGTAACAGGAAAGTACTTCGGTGAGAGGAACCACAGCGGATAAGGAATAGGGTGCGTCATACCCGCCGAGCACGCTAACAAATCACACTGAATGCTGTTCTCCAGCATTCGAACAGTGTAATGTATAGATATGCATAGCCAACTGATGATCTTCATATCCATATATTGAATATCCTATTTACTTGCTCTTCTACATGAAGGTGATGTTTTGGTATATGTTGGATATTGCTCCTCCTTATGTGGGGGTTCAACCCGCCGCTCACCAAAGCGCACTCGGACTCCACTCCAAACTACTCTACCAAACACCGCATACATTTCAACATCGCAACTCGAACAGCAACAAACAACTCACACTACCGCAGTTCTACACAACTACTAAAACCTCTCTTTCCTTTGCCTCCACCCCCCAGCCCTACCCTACATCCACTCCCCCTCCCTTCCTCTCTTCCCCCCTTCCATCTTTTCTACATACTCCCGCCAAATAACATCAACTTGCTCCTTGTACCACACTCTTTTCGACAACCCACACTCTCTTAGAATTTACTAAAGCTCAATCACTTGCTGACAGATTCGTGCTCTCAATCCACATGGGAACGAACAACAGGAAAAAGCGCTCCTCCGAGTATCTGAGAAAGGACGCAATGTTGGACGACGAGTCTCCGCCAAAGACTACAATCCCGAGATCCCCTCTGAGAGAGCCTTCTGGCTGGAGGGAGTTCTACTCACCGGGCCGGGATCGTCAAGCCCATACGGGAAGCAACTACATCCCCGCTACACCTCTCGAGACGAGCACGGTTCCACGGAGACCTTATGTTCAGTGCCCTCCGTGGGAGCCACAAGGATCGATCCCATCAAGGCAGTCGCTCTCTACCACGCCTAGTCGAACACACCTTGCTCCTGTCCGGTCTGACGATGTTAGAGAGTTGGAGAGGCAATGGAAGAATAGCGGTAGGCAGGGTCTGGCCACACAGGAGTCGGTGAACCGGAACTCCCCTGACGCATGTATGTGACGCCGTGAGCTTTAAGCTTCCCCTTTCCCTCGACCCTTGTTAGTGGTTTCAATATGCGGACTAACGGATTATGTCTTTTCTTTCAGTGAGTTCACGTGTTTCCTGGTATAACCCAACAGCGAGCAGTCCAGTCTCAATGAGCACACCATTTCAACCACCAAGGGGGAACGTACATCCTCGTGCTTCACCGGAGTCCAGCGCACAGGTACACTGTCCGAATTTCCCGAGTGACTCGGGTACCATAATCGAAAACAATTCTTCGTGGATCCCACCGCATCGAAGAAAGCGCAAATCCGCAGAGACCGCGAGGCCCTCCGGGGGTTTCGAGAAGGCAGTCGAAGCACTCAAAGAATCTAAAGTACCACTGAATCAACCAAGCGACCAACAACAGCACGGCCAGCAGTACGGTCAGCAGTACGGTCAGCAGTACGGTCAGCAGTACGGCCAGCAGAACGGCCAGCAGAACGGCCAGCAGAACGGCCAGCAGAACGGTCAGCAGAACGGTCAGCAGAACGGTCAGCAGAACGGTCAGCAGAACGGCCAGCAGCACCGCAAGCAGCAGAGCCAGCAGCACAGCCGGACATACAGCCAGCAGCACAGCCAGCAGCAGAATAACCAGCACGGCCACCTGCAGAGCCACCCGCAGAGCCACCCGCAGAGCCACCCGCAGAGCCACCCGCAGAGCCACCCGCAGAGCCACCCGCAGAGCCACCCGCAGAGCCACCCGCAGAGCCACCCGCAGAGCCACCCGCAGAGCCACCCGCAGAGCCACCCGCAGAGCCACCCGCAGAGCCACCCACAGAGCCACCCGCAGAGCCACCCGCAGAGCCACCCGCAGAGCCACCCGCAGAGCCACCCGCAGAGTTACCCGCAGAGCCCCCAGCAGAACCACCCGCAGAGCCAGCAACTTCCTCTCCATGCGACCTATGAGAACGGGATGAGGAAAACAGCTGGCCGCGGGCGTATGAATAGCGATTACACTGGGGTTGTGCTGCCTTTGATGGACGAATACGTGGCTACACCCCAGAAGCCAGCCCAAGCACCATGGATGGCTAAGGTGAAGAATAATAAATTTGGAAGCGGGATGGAGAGGTAGGACTTTCCCATATCCACGAGTGACAAGTAGTGCACCACGCTTGGATTTGATTCTAATTGATTGATGGATGATTTCTGTATGCAGATTGAGCAACGAGTTAACTGCTTTTGTTAACTACATGGCCCGCTCACCTCCAGAGATAGACGCCCGGAATTACTTTACCCAGAGCATCATATCTGCGATAGACTCTTACTTTCCGGATACTGAACATACTGTCAGACTATATGGATCGGATGCCACTTCGTTAGGCTTGCCATTAAGCGACATTGATGTGATGATCAGCGCGCCGAGTCTCCGCAGAGTAAATCCTTACCATACCAGAGATTTGAAGGTCCAAGCACTCCGGGACATTCAACAGCTATTCGCCAGGGCTGGATTCAACCTGTTCTCAACAATTCGGGATGAGGCTACTATTCCTATCCTAGAGATAGAAGATGTCGGCACGGGTCTAGAAATGGACATTTCGTTCGAGGAGCCGCATTCAGCACAAGGGCTGGAAGACGTTAAGAGCTGGTGTGCTCATTACGGACATCGTCAACTCATAAGCTTGTACCTACCGCTAAAGCACGCTCTGAATATGCGTAAGCTGGGTCTTGGATCAGCGACAACACCATATCAGGTACGTAACTTGAGTGAAACATCCGGAGAACTTTTAGTGAATCGTAGGTTAATTCGCGAGACAAATAATAGGGCGGAGCTGGATCGTACGTCCTTCTGTGCATGGTGATTGTTTTCATGGAGACAAGATATCAAGAACTGTGCAGTATCTGGCGGCAAAAGCCACTCAGTCCGGGAAGGACTTTTGTGGCGATGCTGAAATTCTGGGGGGAGGAGTTCAACTTCGAAACCACCGCCATCATGGTCAATCCTCCTTCTCTGATTCCTAAACAAGCCTACTTGCCGGTAAGTCTTTCACGCTTGGCCTCAATCCGTCGCCTAGAAATATCTGCTAAAATCACATGCAGGCTTTCATTTTTGAAGTCCGAAGTCCGTTCGACGGATCCACAAATGTTGCTGGTGGTGCGTTTGGAATGAAGCACATCAAAGAGACGATTAAACACTTTGCCAATGTTCTCGCAGAGCGCATACTGGAAGTTGATCGCATGCAAGCAGTCCATCCGTACGGATTCAATCACCAGAGAGGGTTATTAGATCCACCGGGCATGACATGCGGGGTTCTCGGGAGCATCATCGGTGGGAATTATGAGACGTTCGAGGAAAGGAGGAGCAAGATCCGAAAATTTGGTGAGAGGATACAAGCCCTGGGACTGGTTGGCGCGCCACAACACGAAACAGAAGCAACACCAGCCGGAGGACCTGCTCGTCCGGTCGGGTCTGTGGGGAGACTGAAAGGATATGGGGGCCAGGCACTGCCGTTTATACCTGCAACGAAACCGTTTGTGCCACCTCATTTGAGAGGTCTGGATGACTCCCAATTTTAGATGACGCAACAGGTCGGAGAACGATGTCGACAATATCCATCCGTACAGATCCGAGACATCGAGGCTTTACGCACCTCTAAACAAGATACGATACTATCTTGTCTGAGTATATTTCGCCGGTTTTGTGTGGGAGTTACTCCGTTTATTTGTTTGTCACTTTCGTTTCTCCTTCTCCGTTATTCTTGGATGAATTCACAGATATTGCAAAAAGCAGCGACGGCCCAGGTTCGATAGCACTAAATGAATATGCCGGGAACTGAAGGGGCAGGAGAAGGATCGAGGGTGGAGGAGGAGAAGTTTATGATGCTGCTAGTTGTAGCTACTCTTGTTCTGAATCAACCTGGCCGTTGTACAAAACTTTAGGGATTCTTTCTCTCGATATCCGTCTGGCGTCCGACCTGTTGCTCGCTGGTAGGTATTTGTGGATCGGTGGCGACTGGACTTTTCAATAGGCAAGTAGGGTGAAGACATGTGCTGATTCTTCTGGTGGAAAATTTTGAACGTACGGTAACAGATACCCCACACACCTCTGCATATTCGGAAGGGACGGCCTGAGGATATATACTCGACTAAGAACAACCAAACTCGAGACGAGTGACTTTTCAATTACCCGCTAACTGATCGACAGCAAGGATGACTGTATGTGCAAGTCTGTCCGGACGGAACATGGCCATTCCGAATCCCGAACCCTTTCTGAGGAGTGGTGGTGGTTCGGTGAAGAGTTCTCCTAAGCTTTGGTAGAGACGGCCCAATGCGTTCTTTCTTGGCCCGCCCATCGAAGCTTCAAACAACCTCCATCTAGGTACTCTACTCTCAAGCGGGACCCGGGGGAAAGTCTGAATCTTTTTTTCTTTTTACCCGTGACGCAATCGTACACCGAGTCAACCGAGTCACCAACACCCCTCGCACATAACCTTGTCCATGGAAGGGGATCATGCCGCTGCCCGGAGAAATCAACGCATCCGGGTTGCCGAGAAACTTCAGTATGACTTTCGGTGATTAGTTACGTTGCGTAGGGTCATCTTCTCCTCCCCTCCTCGCCCTCCTACCACATCCCACCCCCCTCTTTCGAACAACCTCCGACCTCGCTCAAACTTCCGTCACGTCGTTTGTCGTATGCTACAGTTATGGCCACCCCATACAATGAAACGCACATCCAGTATGACGGGCACATCTTCAACGAAACGCTCTTGAATGAGTTCAATTATAGTCAGTTCGATAACTCATATCCTTCCTTTGTCTCACCCCCTAGTCATTTAAATAGCATCATATACGCGTTTCGGCTCCTGACGTTCGCATTTTTCTCACAGCAATCTGGGGAAACGGAACGCTCTCAAACTCGACGTCAAATTGCTGGCTTGTCTTCGGCCCGTACAATGTTGCCCTCCTCGCCAACGGAACGTCCGTCAACGGCACCAAGTGTGAAAGCCCCGTCAAAAAGATCGCAACCCGCGGTGGTCTCGGTGTTGGCTTCGGTGTTCTCTTCGCGATCATGATCATCCTCGGAATCACCTCCCTGGGCAAACACGGAAAAAGCTACCTGCCACTCGAGAAGCAGTTCCGGCTAGTTTCACGGCGGTGGCCATGGTACTGGTTCTTGATTGCGGGTACTTGTGGGTGCATCTCGGGATTCACTAGTGTAGATGTGGACCGAAGCTACCTCCCTGGCACCGGGTTGATACTTCAAAACGTCTTCTACTATGTCACACTGCCGGCAATGCTGGCGTCGATCTGGGAAATGACGCGGCACTGGGGAAGCTTTTGTGAGCGCAGACTGCTGGATGCAGACCCATGGAAATTCGTCCACACCGACCTGAGAAGCAAGCTCGAGTTTTACAATCCTCTTGTCTTTTACCTCTTCGGATTCTTGGTATGCTAGTCCGCCTACACGCAGCCCTGCTCTGGGCCTCATGACCCCTGACTGATGATGGCGGGGTAGACGTTCTTCCTTTCGGTTCTTCGCTCGTGGACTCCTATTCCCAAGGGTGCGTGGTCTGGCGATCACCATGAGTCCATAGCAGCGGCCACCGACGGACGGTTCAAAGCCTCGAGTATATTCGCTTTCCTGGCATGGCTGTCCATCCTCGCATCCGTCGCCACCTCGTTCACGTATTACCCACCCGTGGCGCAACGGATCTCCGCAAAGATCCCCATCTGCCTAGCTGCGATACTGGTACGCGTGGTATACAATATCGCGGTGGCCTGGGAATACAACCTCGGCCCTCTCAACGCCTTCACGAACGTGGCGTACATTTACGTCTTGGGCTATGCTCCCATCATCTTCTGCATGCTCACCATGTGCATCTGGGCTAGGATCGAGGTGAACGATGACTTGCAGATCAAGGAGCTGAGGAGGGAAAGGGAGCGGAAGGTAGATCACGAGCTAGGAATTGGACCTGGTCAGACACAATTGCTGAAGGTGTCCCCATCCGAGGACGCGGCGTTTGACAAAACCTGACGCGATTGGTTGTGCAAAGGGGCGGTAAGACGCGGTAGACGGTGGGGCGGAGGTGGAGCGGGGACATGTTTACTTCCTGAAGCATAAGCATGATCATGGGTGGCGCATTCGGTTTGGTGTTATATCAGGTCCCTCCTTTCGTCTCCTTCGTGTAGAGTAATATTTCTCCTTCCTTTTCTCTTCAGTCTTTCTTTCATCCGGCTTCAGACTTTCAGTCATTTGCTGTGAGCTTGGTACACGTTAGAGTTTCTTCGGGTCGAGAGTGTCAGAGTAAGAGGGGAGAAAGGCCGTTCGCTTTTAGATAGCAGCTGTTATTTCATCATGCTGTGTTCGGTCGGATAGCAATCATCATTCGTCTTCACCTGAAGAATTGCGTGGGGCGGCCGAGTAACAGTTTGTGTTGTTTTGGACACACCTCAGCTGACTAACAGCCGATTGCAGCCGTTTTGGGCGATGATCTGCCCTGTCAACTCGCAATCTGGCCATCTCAAAACATCCTGGCGAACACAGCAAATCGGACTTGGGCTTCAGTGCCGCCTCCTATCGACTTCTTCATAATATCCTATCCCTCCACGTCTTCTGGGCCGCCCGCTTCAGGCTGCAGGAGAAAAGTACGGAAGCGACGATAAGCCGACCAGTTAGACTACCCCGTATGTTGCTGTTATTTTTCCCGTGCCGTCTTGTCGTGTCCTGCCCCATGCCCGCCCTCTACCAAGAAACGCCTGGCCACACGTGCGAGTACTTCCCTACAGCGAGCAGCAGCAGCCACAGCGCTGGGCGTGCGGTCGGAAAGGCTCGCCTCATCCTATCCTTTCTATCTATGCATTCATATCCACCACTCGCGCAAGTACCTACTCTAATACTCTAACCCACATCCCAAACCCTGCCACCTAAGCATCAATTCGAATCCACCCCCCAAAAAGCTCCTGAAATAAAGTAGTGCTTCGTGTCTTGACCTTCTCCTCCTTCTCCATCTCCGCCAACCCCCCCACTCCCCCAAACGAAACTCAATCACTCAATCGAGTCCCAGTTCTACATCTCAAGAGGAAGCCCATACTTACACCCGATCGAAAAGGCCACGCGCGAACTCCAACCATCATGGCTGATATGGGCATGTTCCATGCTCTCGGCCACGGCGACGATCCCAACGATCCCAACGGCTACGCCGGCGGTCCTCCGCCGAACCCGAGCTTCCGAGCCCAGCCTGCCCCGCCGCCGGCAGGATACCAACAAGCTGGCGGTACGCCGTTTGGCCAGCCACAGCAGCAACAAGCGTACGGCCTGCCACCACAACGATCTCCCTACCAACAGCATACCCCGTACGGCGCTCCCCCACCTTCGACGTCTCCCTACCCGCCGCCACAGCAGCAAAGTCCCTATGGCCCTCCGCAGGGGCAGCAGCAGCAGCAGTTCGGCGGATATGATCCTACCGGAGGTGTCGGGGGTCTCACCCAGCAGATGTCACAAGCCGATTTGATGAATCCGCAGGTGGGCACGGTTTCGAGGGCATCGAAGAAGAAGGGGAGGGCATACCACCAGCTTGACCAGACACCGGACGCGATGGGAGGAGGCTCTGGGGGAATGCCGTCCTTTTCGCCGAATGTTGGGGACCACATGCAGCAGGGGTTCCTGAGCAATCAGCAGTCGCCAGCGGGCGCCCCGGGGATGATGGGAGGGCAATTCGTTGGAAACTCGCAGTTTCCGGGGAACACGCAGCAGTTTGGAGGTTCGCAGTTCCCAATGCAGGCGTCTCCAGGATTCGGACCGCAGCAACCTACGGATGTGGCTGCGTTCCACGCTCGTCCCGGAAGCAGTGGTATTTCTACCGGTGGAAAGATTGATCCCTTGTCTATCCCATCTGTCCCGTTTGCTCGTGATGCTTCGGTCCAGCACTTCCGACAAACCGTCTTCCCGACTCTTGCCCGACAGTTGCCCCCTAATGCGGCCTCCGACTTCATCGGCCATGATCAGGGAAATGCTTCGCCGCGGTTCTGCCGGCTGACGTTGAATGCGGTGCCCACTACTGGAGAGCTACTGAACCTATCACACCTGCCATTGGCACTGCTGATCCAACCATTGGCCAAGCTGAAGCCGGAAGAGGAAGCCATTCCGGTTCTAGACTTTGGTGAGATGGGCCCGCCGCGATGCCGGCGCTGCAGGACCTATATAAACCCGTTTGTGCAGTTCGTCCAGGGCGGCGGCAAGTTTCAGTGTAACATGTGTCTGTTCCCCAATAACGAGGTACCTCCGGAGTACTATTCGCCTCTGGATATGAGCGGGGCCAGGCTGGATAGAGAACAGAGGCCGGAATTGACCAGGGGCACGGTGGAGTTCGTGGTGCCGAAGGAGTACTGGGTCAAGAAAGACGGGTCTCTGCCGCCGGCAGACGGAAAGGGCGGGTATCCGATGCGGTTCCTCTTCCTGGTCGATGTGACCGAGAATGCAGTAAACCGGGGGTCTTTGGCGGCCATGGTTGCTGGAATCAAGGAGGCACTGTATGGACAGAGTGCATACGAAGACGTTTCTGAGGGTGAGGTATCAGAGGATGGCACAAAGAGGAGGCTTCCTGAGGGATGCAAGGTTGCTATCTGCACGTTTGACAAGGAGATTCAATTCTACAACTTGCACGTAAGTGACGACGGTGCAACCGAGTGACCTTTCACGGATTACCGAACTAACGATGGATGTAGCCGTCTTTGGATCAATCACAGATGGTGGTCATGCCCGACATCGAAGAACCATTCGTTCCCTTCGAGTCTGGGCTCTTTGTTGACCCCTACGAATCCAGGTACATTGCCCTTTCTTCAATTTAGCCAGCGGTTTACTTACGGACGTTTCCGCAGATCCGTAATTGAACATCTCCTGGAAAACCTGCCCAGTCTTTTCCTCCACATCAAGAATCCCGAACCTGCCCTGATGCCCGCTCTCACCACCTGTCTCTCGGCGCTCGAGAAGACGGGAGGAAAGATCATTTGCTCGCTTTCAACCATCCCGACGTGGGGCCCTAACCGCCTGGTGTTGCGTGAGGATAGCAAGATTTACGGCACTGACAAAGAGAAGACGCTCTTCAAGACGGACGCCCCAGCATGGCGAACGATTGCAGGGAAGATGGTTGAGGCGGGTGTAGGTATAGACTTCTTTATGACTCCCTCCGCCTACATTGACGTAGCCACCATTGGTCATATTGCCGCGACGACCGGTGGAGAGACCTTCTTCTACCCTAACTTTGTCCGAGAAAGAGACACCAAGAGGCTCACCGATGAGATTTCTCACACCTTCCACCGCGCAACAGGATACCAGGCACTCATGAAGGTGCGGTGCTCGAATGGTCTGCAGGTTACCGCCTACCATGGAAACTTCCTGCAAATGGGGGCGTTATCGTCGGATATCGAGTTTGGAACTATTGACGAGGACAAGGCTGTCGCGGTCATGTTCTCGCACGACGGGAAACTGGATCCGAAGGTGGACGCACACTTCCAGAGCGCACTGTTGTACACTACCAAGAGCGGAGAACGGAGAGTGAGGTGCTCGAACATCGTCGCCGCGGTCACGGAACAACCTAGAGACACGGTACGATGGGCAGATCAGGACGCTGTGCTTAGTGTGTTGGTGCGAGAAGCAGCCTCACAGATGACTGAGAAGCCTCTAAAGGAGATCCGCGGTGCTCTAACAGAAAAGTGCATCGAGATTCTCGCATCGTACCGCAAGCACTGCTCCAACGCCGGCAACCCTCCTGGCCAGCTCGTCCTCCCCGAGAGCCTCAAGGAGTTCGCCATGTACGTGCTGGCACTCCTCAAGAGTCGTGCCTTCCGCGGTGGAAACGTCAGCAGCGACCTCCGGGTACACGCAATGCGCATGATCAAGTCCATGTCGGCGACCGAACTCCAGCTGTACCTGTATCCCCGTGTCATCCCGATCCACAACATGTCCGAAGCCGATGGCTTCGCCGAGGCGTCCGGCCACCTCAAGCTGCCCACAGCAATGCGCGCCTCGTTCTCATTTGTCGAAGAGGGTGGTGTGTATCTCGTCGACAACGGACAGTACCTTCTCCTCTGGATCCACTCGCTGGTATCCCCCAATCTACTGGTCGACCTCTTCGGCGAGGGCTTCGACAAGCTCACCTCCCTCGACCCCTGCATGCACGAGCTTCCCGTGCTCGAAACGGCACTCAACGCACAGGTCCGCAATATCATCCAGTACCTTGCGTCGCTCCGCGGTAGCCGCAAACTGGCGATCCAGCTCGCCCGGCAGGGCCACGACGGCGCGGAATACGAATTTGCCCAGGCCCTCATCGAGGACCGGAACAACGAGGAGCGCAGCTATGTTGACTGGCTCGTCCATGTACATAAGTACATACAGTTGGAGGTGAGTCCCGCTTCAAGGGGCGGATAGGTGGTGTGGGGTAGTGTGGAAGAAGTGCAAGAATGTGGGCACTGATAGGTTGCTTTGCGGGGGATAGCTTACCGGCCAGCGGAAGAAGGATGATGGTGGCATAGGCGCGGGTCTGGACATGGGTGGGGGTATGAGCGGGCTGAGACCGGCGTATTGGTAGTTGTAAACAACGGCGGCGGTGTGGTTGCGCGGAGAAGCGGTTATGGTTTATACTATAGCACCAACATTTTTTGCTCCTTTGATCTTTTGTTTCCTTTCATTTTGCTGCGAGCGGGGGGGGGCGATAAAACGAGAAAGGCCGGGAGAGGGGGGCGGGGGGTTGAGCGTATGTTCTTTTGCTTTGCTTTGCTCGCTTACTTTTTCCTATATATACTTTGTGCCTACCCTATTGTGCTCATGAACGGGTCTTTTGGAGCGGAGTGGACACTGGAGCCTGTGGGTGGGTCGGTGGTTAATAGATGTGGCGATGATGGCTGAAGAGGGATTGCATACCACACAGTATGCATGCCGCATAGTACCTACACCGTGCCGGTGATGGGGCGCGAACCGGCTCGAGACGAGCGGCTGAGCGGCTGAGCAGTGCCACCTCGAATGGAGGGGCACAGTGATTGGCTCGAGCTCGCGGCCCTAAGAGTGGTTGGCCAGAGGCAGCCTCCAAGTTCCAGTTCTCGACCCATGGGCACATCATTCATATGTACATGCAATCTGTTCACACAAAACTCAGGTCGTATGATATGATACCGTAGCTACCTATGCCGGCTTGGAATCTAGAAGCCCCAACCATCCATCCATCCCACGGCTCGAACCAGCGTATTCGGCGCCAGCCAGCCAGCAGATTAAAATTCCTTTTTTGCTTTCATGTTCCCCGGGGGGGCTCGAGGCTCGGGCGGGGGCTCGCCAGCAATTGGATTGGACTAATACCAGCCTGTCACTCGACCGGTCTACCTAGTTAAGATGCAAGTAGCTACTCTACTATCGTGGGATTACTGTTATGCACCCAGTTTACAAAAGTGCGTATTGCCATGATCTAGATGGATCATGGATGGATGGGGCGTGACCCGCGTGCTACCAGCGAATCCAACAGAAACGAATGCAAAAAACAAATGCAAAAACCGAAAAGCAAAAACAAAAACAAAACGTAAAACCCCCTGGCTGGATCGAAAATGTGCCGGCCGGCCCCAGTGTCCCAGTGCAACTTCTGACACGTAGTTATGCGCGGATGCTGTGTGTGGCCAGTGGTTTGGCTGGAGCGTTTGGGATCGAGGGGCAAGATGGTAGGTCGACGAGGCTTCACTTTTCACTTTTCGCCGCCCCGTGCTGTGTGCAGTACCCAGTAACACGACCGTTATCATGCAATGCGAATGGGCCGGCTGGTATAGGCAGTGTAAAGCGAATGAACAGGGTAAGACGGGCAATCGCCCATCACCATATAACGGCCCTTCCATATCGACGGGCACAGCCGTACCGGCGAAGGCCAGCCATACTATTATATAGTCTCAGGTGTGCCCTCCCTCCATGCGGAGCAAAAGTACAACAGAACCGACATCCAACCCACACCTAGCCATGGATACAATCCACTTCCCTCCGCGCCTCCTCGCCTCCGCCGGTCTGGCAGGAGTCCTAGTCCAGCTCCTCATCAGCCGCACGCGCGAAGTCCCCACGATGCCATTCCTGACCCTCTACGGCCTGGGCGAGATCGCCGTGGTCTCGCTGCTGCACCACCTGCTGGGCGCACACGTTTCCGTGGTCTCAGCCGCAGTGCAGATGAACGTCGTCTTCCTCACAGTCCTGGTCTCGCTTACCGTCGTCCGCCGCATGTTCTTCCACCCGCTGTGCTGCTTCCCGGGGCCGCGGATGGCCGCAGCCTCCGGCTGGTACGCCGCCTACCTCAGCAGCGAGGGCCGGCTCGGCCACGAGCTCCGCGCCCTCCACAACGAGCTCGGCGATATCGTGCGGATGGGCCCAAACGAGGTCTCGTGCATCGATGTCAACGCCCTCGGCCCCCTCTACAGCAAGAGCTTGTCACATAACAGCCGCGGCCCGTTCTATGAGATCTCTGGGCTCATCGGCGAAACTAGTCTGGTCACAGAGCGCGGCTCGAAGAAACATGCGGTCCTGAAGAGGATTTGGGATCCCGCGTTCAAGCCCGCGGCTATCAGGGAATACGAGCCGATCATCGAGAAACATGTCGCCGTGCTGGCTGAGGTGCTGGAGGGCAAGGCCGATAAGGAGGTGAACGTCGTGGAGTTTGTGAGCCATATGGGGTTCGATATGTGAGTTCTTCTTTTGCCTGTCGGTGGGAAACTCGGTGGTGGGGACTGACGTCCGAAGAATGGCCGAGCTCGGGTTCGGGAAACATTTTGGGATGCAGGATGGAACTGGCAATCCGGCATACGTGGTATGCCATCCCTCCCTTCCCCCCTCGCCTTCGTCCGATCTAACGAGCACAGAACTTCATGCACAAATTCATGAGATTCACATCCTTCTGCGGCGCACTTCCGCACCTCTGCAACTTCATCCGCTTCATGCCAAAGTCCCCGGCAGTGCGAGCGTTCCAGAAGCTAGTGGAAGACATGCTCACCGAGCGCCTCGCGAAGGGTTCCGGAAAGTCGAAGGACGTGATGGAATACCTCCTGGAGCCGGACGAGGACACGGGCAAGCTGCTGTCGCCGGGGGAGATGTTCGCCAACGTCGTGCTTCTCATCGTCGCCGGAGCTGGTATGCACTACTTTCCCCTGCCTCGAGTGAGAAACCGAGACCCTGCTGACCCCCCCCCCCCACCCGGCAACTAGAACCGACCTCCAATGTACTCTCCTGCATGTTCCTCGAGCTCGCGCGCAACCCAGAGATCCAAGCCAAGCTGTACGCGGAGGTGTCCGCGCACGCGCGCAATGTCGACCAGCTAAACGTCCAAAACACCAAGGGACTGAAGTACTTGCAGGCGGTGATCGACGAGACGCTGCGGCTATGGCCGCCGGGGATCCGGGGGATCCAGGCTCTAGTCGGCCCTGATGGGATGTCCGCCGCCGGAAGCTTCATCCCCCCGTACACGGCCGTTAGGATCCCGTCCTTGGCTACGCAGACTGGTAGGCCTCCTACTCCCCCCGACCAACCGACCAACCGACCAACCGATTGACCTCTACCGGAATGTGAGCACCATTGGCTAATGCAGGTGTCGTCCAGATGACCGGTATTTCCCGCAGGGGAAGAAGTTTATTCCGGAGCGGTGGACGGAGCGGCCAGAGCTGGTGCGGGACCGGCGGGCGTTGTTTGCGTTTTCATGGTGAGCACCCCCCTCCCCCTTCCCCATCGAGTCTCGCCGTGCATTTCCACTGACCGCCACGCAACAGCGGCGAACATGCCTGCCTCGGTAAGAACTTGGGCCTAGCCGAGATCCGGCTCACGGCCGCAAAGATGGTGGAGCAGTTTGAGCTCCGGCTGGGCGAGAGTTGGGACGAGAAGAAGTTCCTGGGCGACTGGAAGGACTACTATACCGTCTCGCTGGGGAAGATTTCGTTAAAGTTTAGGCCGAGGAGGTGAGGGTGAGGTGAATTTGTACTTTTGGGGGGTTTTTGGTCTTTTTGGTATGGTTTGAATGCCTGCGACTTAGTTATCTTGAATATTGAATCTTGATGATGGTGATATTCACACACACACACCGTTTCCATGTCCACCGTTCAATCCGACCTCGACAGTTGTGACTCCCCCTGCCCGCCGCCCTGCCTTTTCCCAAGAACACACGTAGAGCGCACCAAGGAAATAAAGCTAGGAAAGTAAACAGTCCGCTCAGTAGGTACTCCGCCATCGGGACAGCTGCGGTCACCGTAGCTACCGTAGGTTGCTCGTTAACTCCGCTCCATGGCCCGTGGGCAGCGGGTTCATCGGGTTCATTCGCTGCCACTGCCGGCTTGGCACATTCGGAGGGCTTTCTTGTTCTCGGGCCGGGGATGTCTGCGTGCCGGGTGGCGGGCAGCATCGAAGCCCGGTCGTGATCGCGATGCTAGCAGAGTTGTGCGTGGGGAGAGTGCGAGCTCTCTCTACATTTATATGTGTGTGTATAAAGGACGAGCGAGTGAGAGAATGAGATCATCGTATGTACCTGCTTCCACTTCCCTGTCGCCTTGTCCACAGTACAGTAGGTACAGCTTCATTATCCAGCACTCCCCCTTCCCCCCTTGAACCTTCCCCCGCAGAGAAAATACTGCTAGGGGGTAGCTACCTGGTCCACCACCAGCACCACCACCACCACCCAGCGACGGCGCGCAATTGATCCGGCCGCAACCGCCTGAATTGGGGTAGCCCGGGGGGCTCGCAGCATAGCAGCATAGAGTAGCAGCAAGCGAAGGAGAAATCCGTTGAACGTTTCGCCAGGACCAGCACCAGCGTTGCCGAGCATCCGAGCAGTTACTCTAGCGAGCCCTAGTTGCGTACTTTATTTTTTTCCTTTTTTCTTTGCCTTTTTCCTTTTGCCACCGCGGAAAGAACGCAGGACCCAGGACGCAGGACTCAGTCAGGAGTCAGGAGTACATCACGGACACAGACACGGATGCGGGCGCGGACACGGACACGGCGGAATACCAGGTGGGTATTAGAGTATTAGAGTATCATGATTCATCCATCGGATCGGAGGGGTGCCGGCGTCGGAAGCTTGGATTCTGCTCCACTCTAGAGTACGGTAGGTAGGAACTCTAGAGTAGAGTAGAGTACGGTAAGTTGGAATTCCCAAAGGCGGTCTGACATCTCGTGTATGTGCTCGTGTATGTATGTGCTCGCGGCGTCGTAATCGGGGGAGGGACGGAGGAACGGGGGAACGGGGTTAAGCAGGCGAGTGAGCGCCGGTGCGCTGCGTACTGGCAAACCGTTTAGAGTGGCACTTGACTATGGAGTAAACTTTGTGCTAGGCACAGGTGGGCGAGAAAGCGAGCTCTGGACGGCTTCTATGCAGCTTGAGCCGCTTTCTCGTATATATATGCATGTACATATGCATGTATGTATGTAAGCACACAGCCCACAGTCCACTCGCCACTCGGAAGTCGGAACGGCTTTGGAAAGCGTTGGAATTAGAAGGGTTCTATGAGGGTGTCTGCAGGCTGCAGGCTGTAGTTGAGCTGAGCGGGCGGGCGGGCGATCATGGGGATTCACTCGCTCAAGCCGTTCTGCGCACACCACATCCTATCAGTGTAGACTCACACCCGTCACCAGTACTTGGGTCACAGCTTGATATGTACGGTACATTTCCTAGCACCGTGTTGCCGTAACTACCGTACCGTACCGAACGGTGCGGCGCAACTGCCTCAAGCCTTATGGTCGAATCCTTACGGACCTACGGCATGCTCCGGAGGCAAGTCCCCAGAAAGTCGTGCCAGGCGCAGATCCGTTCAACACGCCGTTATATGAAGTACGGTATATACGGTACGGTACTCGGCTGTGGTAGCGGGTGGAGCAGGAGCTACTAACTACCGGTATTATGATAGCATGCTGCTCACTATTGAACTTTCCATAGGTACGGTATTACACTCAGCAGTAGTTACTCGTGCTTACAATTCTACTAGGTATAACTAGAGCGGATGGGATGGCATGATACGACGATGCGTGGGTACGTATGCATAAAATTTCTCCTGGAACCAACTACCGCACCCACCCACCCTGTCTACTCTAACTATCTCAACTTACCTCACCGTACAACAGTTTCGTTCGTAATCCCTGGTGATGACTACCTACCTGGTAGTTATCTACCTAGCTCATCGAGCGGCGGCCGAGCTATCCATCGGACATGTCAATGTTCACATCCTTGCGCATATTGCGCATATTGCGCATATGTATGCCCGCGTTTTTGTATAGGGAGGGAGGGACTGAGGTTTTGCCGAGTGCCGCAGCCGCAGCCGGGGCCAGTGCCGGAGCCGGGGGCATACTTCACACTTTGGACCGCCGAGTGCTCGAGAATTCAAGCAATCCTCCAGTTGGGCTAGGCTGGGGCGTCGAACGGTCGTCGAAGAAGCACTCGGGGGAGTATTTACGGCGCTAGTGCAGCGTTCCCGGGGGGGGGGGGGGGAAACCGTGACCTGTAGTTAGCGGACTCCGGCGCTTCTCGAGATCCGTATGTAACAGCAGATGACGAGTTCAACGTACGGATTTTCTACGCATCTACTAAGTAGTAGTGTAGTCAGCGTCTCGCTTCGCCGCGAGAGAGAGAGAGAGAGAGCTCTGAGCGCTTGCGGGAGAGGACTTCCGGCTGCGTCTGCGTTTCCAAATTCCGGGGCGATGAAGGGTGAGGCTTCTACTCTATGTAACTACTAGGGACGCATTGCCCGGTGGAAGAAACTCACGCAAAAGTGATGATTGAATATCATATATCATCCGCACCCCGTGGAGTCTGAGAGTGACTCCTAAAGTAAAGAATAAGAGTAACAGATTAAGCATGCTGGCGAGGCGAGGATTTTGACGGTGAAGCTTTTGAGTCGTGTGTCGTGTGTCGTGTGTCGTGTATATACTCGGTACATATGAGTCGTCGTCGTCGTCTTCGTGATGGATGGTATTCAACACCCGGCCAGGCACTACCTAGTAAATACATGCATAAAACGGATAAGCAATCGGATGTGCAGACATTTATCCAGAGAGCCCCCCGCCCCTCCCGGCGGTCGGAGTTATCTCGAGTCTCCGGTTCGATTCGACAGCAATAACAATGAGCACAGCGACCTAGGTTCCTATGATAGGACACGCAGAAGATGTCTTCGCTACCTACTCTAGTGGCGTGTTGTGATATCTCACTCGTTGCTTAGTTGTTTACGCGGTCATGACGTCGGGAAGCACTGCCGCCTACCACCCCTCTTTTATGTCTTCTCTCACGGCTTTCAGACTCTCAACATTACAATACTTGTTCACACATTCCAACATGACCGTCCGCTGACTGGACGAGTCGCCAGCTGTGAAGCTGACTGTTGAGGTTGAGGCACCAAGGGTTCCGGCGTAGTTATCCGGTCACATACTTTCGGCAATACCTACTCTAATCACGCCGGGCCGAGAGTACTAGTAATCAAAAAAGATGGTTGACGTACGGTCACCGGCGGTGATCCTTCACACCGGTACCCGCCGCCGCCGTTGTTACCTAGGTGCAAGGTAGCTATTAAGCATTTGAAATCCATCCCAGGTACCTACCGGTATGCAAGTCTGCACGTCTGTATGTGTGTACCTGGTCCACCCCCACCCACCCACCCACCCACCACGGACGGCAGCATTATCTCCGATGGTCATATTTTACATACGGCCGGACCGCGCGAGTGAGTGAGTAACCAGCCGTTCGGCAAAAGTCCCTTTACGTCCAAATGTGTTCTTACGAACCCACGCTCAAGCTCAGCTCGGCCAAAAACGCTCAGCTCGCACAGCACCGGTCTTTATGTACTTACATACTCTACATACACATATGCAATCTCGCCTCGCCCCGCCTCGCCTCGCGTCGTCGTCGTCGTCCTCGTTGTCGGCGGCGTCGGCACAGTCTGCGCTGCGCTGGGCATCTATCTATGCTTAAGTTAAGTTTTCGCTGCGCGTGCGTGCATGCATGCATGTACCTATGTGCATGGAGTTAGTTGCGCCGAGTGGGGGAGGTGTCAGGACTGAGTATGCTGGAGTCTGGCGAGGCTGAAGACTCTGGGTGGACGGGGTGGGCGGGTTCGGGAGCATCTGCTGCCGGTGACTCCGCTGATGGGCGATTTGGAATGGATGGATGGATGGTCACCGGGAGACTACCTACTAGTACCGGGAGGTGCCGTACGGTAGAGTAGAGTACATGGCGAAGAGCTCGCGATCACAGCTATGGATGTAACTATGAGTAACTGAGGCCCGCGCTGCGTATGGAGTCACTCGAGTCACTCGAGTCACGGCGAGCCCCAGCTTCCAAGCTCAACTTCCAAGCTCCACTCCCAAGCTCCACTTCCAAGCATGCAAGGCCCCCCTCGCGAGTCGCGATGGTGAGTGGGTGAGTATGCGGGTGATGAGAGCTGAGTCGGCGTGGTAGGGCATCGCATCGTTCGCGGGTTCTCGTATGTACTCTACACATGAGGTATGAGGTATGTACAGTGTGTGTACAGTGTGTGTACAGTGTATGTACAGTACCTACTCCATCAGCGCCGAGTGACCAGAGCGGACACGAGCGGACACTTCGGGCAAGCCAAGCGGGCAGACAGACAGGCAGCAGACAGACAGGCAAGGCAGGCAGGCAAGAACAGTCGAGGAAGAAAGCTTAGCACCGGCGAGTCAGCAGCCGATCCAGTGATCCACACTGTAGTTACTGCTCCAGGCCTCCAGCGCCGAGCGAGCCCAGACAGAAATGAGTGATAGACACTACGCACATCCACCTCCACCTCTCACATAGGCGAGCTGCCCTTTTTCTCCGCCCTCGCCCCTCCCCTCCCCCTCGCCCCTCCCCCTCGCCCCTCCCCCCCTCGCCGATACGCGCCTCAACAGTCGAGAGTCTCGAGACGAGGGGGGTGAGGATGATGATGAAGTGGTGTGCCCCCCGAGCGAGTGTGTGTCAAGTTATGCTTATCCACAATCCCTTCGTGTGCGTCCGCCACCCACCTCACCACACCTCACACAGCTCACCCACCTCACCACACCTAGAGTACCTCACCTCACCTCACTTCCACCAACCAACCATCGTCTGTTGTCTGGCAACGGACGGACGAAACAAAACTAACACCCTGCAGCAAAAAAAAAAGATATTTGGAAGAAAAAGGAAAGAAAAGCATGTGAGGAAGGAAAAAGAAAAAAAGAAGCTGTGGTCCATGCTTATCACCCACACCCACACCCACACCCACACACCCGACACATCGAGCGAGCGAATACGGTACGGTGCTCGCCAAACACAAATCCCATCCTTCCTTAGAGAGGCAGGGAAGGGTGCTGAGAGGCAGGGAGGTAAAGAGGCAGAGGCAGTTTTGGTTTGGGGGGGCTTGCTTAGATGCTGCTTACATACCGGCGGGAAACGTAGGCCTATGCTGCCGTAACTATGCTGCCGTATGCTGCCGTAAGTACGTGCTACGGTGCAGTAGAACAGAGTAGAATCCCCAGTCTTCATTCGGATTGAGCTCTGAGTAGTGAGCAGTGAGCACTGAGGAAGCTACCCCAACTTCCCAAGCTCAGTCGGTCGGTCCAGTCACCTGCAGGGCTGAGGGATCGGAACTCTGAATCCACGACTGGGGATGTCTCTCTGTACCTTCCAACCGTTGCAAGTACTACGTCTTCGAATCCGGCCAACATGCGCTGCTGCTGCTACTACTAAGAAGTCGAATCCGATCTCCATCTCGCGTCGTCCCTCAAGTTTAAACCAGCCAGAGACAGAATAGATGATTCGTGGAACAGCCGTGGAAACATCCCCCCATGGGCGTACAACGTGGTTGGTTGTGATCTTTCGTAGATATCATCTTCTTGTAGATCGGCCCATGGTTCATCCAAATCCAACAAGCCGTAGCTACCAGTAGTTACCAGTACCGGTAGATGTTTGGATAGTTAGCAGCGAGTCCCTGAGGCTGATGATGGAATCATGGAATATGCTACTTGAGTACTGACGGCCCGGGCATTGCGGTATTCCAGCGTCGTATGTAAGTGATGTGAAGATGAGCAAGCAAGCAGCAGCTGCCGTCGTAGTCGTCGCCGTCGATGTATGATACATGCCCGCAGCGGAGACGAGCCCGAGCCCGAGCCACGTGGTACGGACTCCGCCTCGCCCCGGTACCTACTAGACCTGGGTCGGGCATATACGTTGTCCGCGACTCCGTGTAACCAGCCGGCTCCCGAGTGGCCGAGTCCCCACAGCCATCGCACGAGAGCTTGAGCCTAACTTCCTACATATGCTACCGGTAGTTACCTCAGACCTGCCCAGTACATACGTCGAAAATAGTGATGGTGCCTGCACGCACGACTGTTGAACTCGTACTGTCGTACATACATCGGCAACAGAATTAGAGTAGAGTAAAGTAGTAATAATCGAGTTGCGATCTCCATGCTCGCCAGCGGCCACACCGGCTGAGAACCTTATGTAGGTTATGTAGGTTATGTAGTGCGCATTCCTCGCGTAGCACGTACATTTAAGAGTAAACACGATTAATTCCATGCCCCCCGCCCCACCACCCACCATCACCGTCCAGCCAGCCAGTCCTCCTAGAGTAAATCAAAGAAGAAAAAAGGAAACAAAAAAACAGCATAAAAATAAAACGCCATGTGTACCAAGCCCACCGGAGAGACAAGAGGAGAAGAACGACACCAGAGCAAAGACAAGGGGAAAAGGAAAGGAAAGGAAAAAAAAGCCAAAAGCCAACGGCCACCCCATGACAAAGGAAAAACGCAACAGGACCTCAAAGGACACCGCCCATATGACAGAGATGGTACAAAGGAAAGGGGAAAAAAATAATGATGCGACGATGCTGAAAAAATAAAGGGAAAAAATAAAAAATAAAGAAAAGTAAAAGAGGAAAAAAATATAGAACCCCCACAGAGAAAGACCCCGAAGCTTTTGGTGGCAGAGAAACCCTTCCCGCTTCGCCCAGATCGCCCAATGACACCCCGACACCAATCTATCCCACCTCCCTAGAAGTAATCAAACACGAACTTAGAATGAATAGAAAAACCAATACCCGGGTCGGCGCTGGAGAACGTCAAGTCGCGGTCTAATAGCTGTCCCCCACACGAGAAAAAAGTAAAGATAACGGTGTGGTCCCTCGTCGATCGATTGATTGCTTGTTTTATGCCGCAAACGCCCGATCCAGTACTCGCAGCGCTCGCATATCCTCTCCGAAGCCCAACTTTTCGGTCGGAATGTCCTGAACTTCCAGACTCAGGCGTGCCGCGTCCAGCTCCATGGGAGAAGGACTGCTCCTCAACGGCGTGACTTCCCACATGGGTCCGTCACGCGGGGGGCTCTTCGACTGGATGCTGTTCGCCGGTGAAGCATATCTCTCGTCGGGCGCGACCTTGTACTGCTGGGACGCGTTCTGCGACGGATTGGGAGGAGGTAATGCTACCGGAGGTGTCGAACGCTGCACCGGCGTGGCGCCAGGTGATTTGTTCTGGATGTTCTGAATGGACATTACCGGAGATCCAACGGAGCCGCGGTGGTGGTGTAAGGGGGGCTGCGACGTCAGTCCCTCGAGTTGCGGCAACGAAGGTCGGTTGTCGTACAGCCTCGGCGATCCGCCACCGGACTGGTTCAGAGGAGCCGACGGGAATGGCGGTGGGTTGTACGACATCGGCGAGGATGTCGCGCTGTTTCCCGGCGGCGGCGGTAGTGAGTGTTGCAAGCCGTAGTGGGGAACCTGGATACTGGTCGGAGGCGTGGCGATGGGACTGGGCGGCCAGCCATATGTGTTGGGAACCTGAGCGTAGCTTGCGGGGTGAGTGGCGCCTTGTCGGGCGTAGCCATGCATGGGCGAGTGATGCGGCATAGGTGTGATCATGGGCGCGCGAGTGACGACCGGTACGTTCTGTTGTTCGTGAACGGTGGATTCCGGATACATGCCTTTGACGGGCCGAATGTGTTTCAGAGCGCTGTCGTGCGAAGGTTGGATGAGGTTCTGAGAGGATGGGTGCGACCGAGCGTAGTAGCTGATAAGGTGTAGCTTTTGGTGGGTAGCAGTCGTAATCGAGAAAGACTGCTTCATTAGACCGTCCGGCTTGTAACGATACCCGTCCGGTCCATCCCCATCCATCCCGTCAGAGTCGCTGCCGTCCGGATTCGGAGACTTTCCACCGCGACTCATCGTGGGAGGAGCGAAAACGTTACCCCCCGCCTCTCTTCCCCTCCATCTCTCGATACGTCAGAAAGCTACCCGACACCCGACTCGCGCTCCACGACTTCCCGTCGGTCCACCTCCGCATTCCGGCTTCTCGCTCGTCCCACACAAACACGCTCCCCGACTTGATGTTCTGTCGCTCCTTCTCCGAGAGCCGTCGCTGCACTCGCGGTAGCAATCCGAGGCGGCAGGCTTCAAACAGTATTATCGCATCAGCTGGCGTGCGGACGTGGCCGTGATACGTTTCCATGGCTAGTGCGGAGGGGATCGGCGGGTGCCTGGGCGGCTACGAGGTTACGGACGATGTTGGAGTGGAGATGGGAGGAGCGGGAGAAGGAGGAGGAGAAGTAGGGTGCGGGGCGGAGCAATGGGCGAACTGCTTTTCGATATCAACGCATTCAGCGAATGGCTGTGGGGAGCGATGGGTTGGATAGGTTGGGTTGGGTTGGGTTGGGAGAGGGGCGTGTTCCGTGGCGGGAGCAGAGTGGTGGTTGTTGCGGTTGCGGTGGCGTAGCTGAGGACGATCAGTCAGTTGAGACGAGAACCAGCGAGGATGACACACAAGGACCGGGCAGGAATGAGTACAGTTTGGCAGTTGTCGAAGTTGGGGGGAGAATCGCAAGGCGGAGAGCGACGATGATGACGGTGCGCGACAACCACTGATAGCTTTTTTGCTTTTCTTTGTTGTTGTTTGTTCAAAGGCAGGTCGGAGGAGGAAGACGAGGCGGTCCGGAGTCTGGAGTCTTGTTGTATGGACTGACTGGGTACAGACAGACTATTATTTTTTTGAGCGCAGATGACGGAGTTCGACGATGGGTATTGCGGAGCCGTGAACGAACGACCGGGGGGTGGAGGGGGGCTGAAGAAAGCGCGAATAACGTCGCCGAGCGGAAGGAGAGGAATGGAAAGGAAGAAATGTCTTGGGACTAGATTCTGGAGGAGGGGATCGAAGTGTTTAAAAGACGCGGGCTCAGTCAACTACTGGTGGGGATCCTAAGAACACCGAAGAGGACTGGGGGGACGAGGACCGGGGAGGGGGGGGGGGGGGGGGGGTTTATGGCTTTGTGATTTGTCTTGCGTGCGCTACCTCTTCCTAACTACGCAACCTACCTCCTGTATGTACCAGGAGCTGCCAATAAGTGGTGCCTCACCACCATTACGAATTATAAGCGCAAATAAGCACTAGTCTATATTAAGAGAACGCTAAGCCCGATACAGTAGCATGAGTGAGTGGCTGTGACTAGGCTGTTATGGGGAAAACGCTAAGCTGTATGGGGGAAAAACTGGTGAGGCAGCACTTACCCTTACACCCGAGTACCTCTTACTAACAGCTGGTGAGCGAGGATTGGACGGCGCCTACTTGCTCTTGCATTTAGGTATTCTTCATATCTTCATATCTCCGGCAAGACACATGGCCTCCTCCTCCTTATTCGCTTTCCTCATTCGCCTCATCGTCCTCTCGCTGAACTTTGCATATATAGATATTGAATTCTATTCAGGATCCCTAGAGGTGCTAGGTATCTCCCTTTTTTCGCATGCTTGTTCAGTCAGGTAGGTTATTTGTACCTGATGACAAAAACCATCTCGGATCTCTTGCCGCTCAATAGGTAGTGATCGAAGCGTAAAGGCCATGGCTACACCGTCTATCGGGCCATCTATCCCGCTGTATAGTACGAACGATGAGCCAAACACAAGGAAGGTCCCGGACTTGGTTCGTCCTGACTGCCGCGCCCTCTGGAGGTGGATGTGAATGTAAAATCGCACAGCAAACCGTCTCGGCAGCTCGGCCAGCGTCCGCGTGCAGTGCCAGTTCCGTCGAGATGGTGTTCTGGGCCGGATGAATGTGCTAATCCGAAGGAGTGAGAACGACACACACGACGAGGGACATACCTTCTAGGAACGGTCAAACGGACGGGTCCACGACTCCACCGCTTTGTTGTGGTACGGACAGATGCAAATGTGCTTCAAAAACTCCCCAAGAAGTTATCCATTGCCTAGGTGAGTGCGTATGTGCCGATCCATGGCCAAGGTAAGGTGGCCGTGTCAGTAGACTGTAGGTACCTATCCACCAACCCAACCCAACGGAAGCGTGGAATCCGTCGTTCAAGCGACATGAACTCACCGCAGCACCCTCCCCAGCCAATATTCCTCTGCCGAGCACATGATGGTTAAAAAACATTGGAGGCCCAGATGCTTGGTTGGTGCTGAGTTTGGGTATGTGTTCAATAGTTGGGCCACCACATGCGGTAAAACGGTGGCTCCGCGCGGTAATCGACGTAGAGTGCTATATACGGGTAGTAGGTATCAGGTAGTAGAGTGAAGGTTACTTACTTGGTTACCTTAACGGGCCTGGCCCGACCATAATAGATACCGAGTATGGCGAGCGGAATCCGAGAAACGTGAGTTGAAGGCAGATGCCAGTAGCCGCCACTCATGGTTTTTGGACGCAGCGTCCGGATAGAGTGCATACGAGAATCGACACTGTGGAGCTCAAGCAACCATTGGTGACTAGATGGCATCACTCGAAATTCGGGTCTTCAGAGGTTCCGTTATTTCCGGCCCATCTTTTTTTCCTTTTTTTTTCCTTTTTCTTTTTTTCTTTTATTTTCTTTCCGCACCGACCGTTCGGTCACCCGCCGCGCCGCGCTCCAGCTCGTCTCGAGGTCGATCAACCTTCAACCTTCAACCTTCAGCCCCAAAGCTTCCCTCGACCTCAAGCAAACCCGCGCCGCCCCACAAATCCCAAATCCCAAATCCCAAATCTCCGCTGCAGAGTTCCACTCACCTAAAACCCCGAGCCATCACCCAAAATCGACACCCACCGCCCACCACCCACCCACAGCAGACTTCGAGCACCTCGCTCGCTCGCTTTTCCGAGCCACAGCGTGACAAATTAAGGCTACCCCCACCCGAATGTCGACGATGACAGACGGCCGCTTGATGATGGGCAACCCCAGCCGAGAGACAGCTTACATACACACCTACATGGTCTCCTACTCATCTATGACACCACGTATATCGGAGCCCCGAAGTTTCCGGTAGCTTACATACATACATACTATACTGTTTCATCGGATCCTCAAGCCTCCATGGGCATCCAAGGACATCCAAGGACATACCCGACCCGGATACTGGGTAGTAGGTACTGGTACTTACGGTACTCTAATCCTTGGGCCTGCGTCCCCGGACCCCCCTCGAAGCCGTAAATCGGCCGGACAGCCGATAATAAGTATTAGGACGGCCGCCACGGCCGCCGCGAGTAGCAGTCCACGGTTACTATATCCCAGTATCCTTCCCCAGCGTCCACTGCCCGTGCCCGACGGGTGGGCGGGCACGGGACCGCTGAATCAGCTGGAACAGCATCCTAACTACAGTATATACGCTTCACTGGTCCGCTCGGACAAAATTCCCCTCAGGCTGCAATACCTACATGTATACCTGCCGTGAAAGTCTAGATAAGCCCGAGAGGCATCACCATATCGCTTGTCCACTTGACCTGTGCGTAGTTGGTTACTTCTATATGTACTTGCTCAAGGTTACATGCAGACATTAAGGCTTCAAAGCGGGAGGGTTATCATACAGATATCAGAGCCCTAAATGGGGAGCACTGGATACAAACATTAAGTTCCCGAAGGGGGAGGATCATAAATATCTAGGCTCCAAAGGGGAAGTTTGGCAGACATTAGGGCCTCAAAGGGTAAGATTGCAGACATCAGAGCCCCAATTGTTAGAGGATGATTACGCAAAATACCAAAATATCCTCGCCCAACTTGTCGACATCTAGGCCTATGCAGGTAGCCAAGTATCTACGGAGCCGTATCTACCGTATTTGGTTACCAGCAATTTCAAGACATCGGCATGGACGCTATGTATATGTACATGTCACGAGGGACGCTCCGGGAGTCCGGGGAGACACCAAGACCCGAGACGGGCAACAGCAACTATTTACACACATAGGCACTTCTTACTCCAGAGTCTACCCAAGACTCGAGTAGTAGGCAACTTGGCACTGTCGGAGTCACGCCCGCTCACTGGGCGCCTCATGCAGACTCCGCGAGGCAAAAGCTTGGTGTCTGGGCGTCCTGCTCGATTCTCCACACGCGCGCGCCGGCTATGTACCCACAGCTCCACCTACGGACCTACATACGGTGCAGTAGGTAGTAGGTACGGTACCTACCGGTACTCCACAAAAAGCCGTGTGGTCCATAGATATGTATGTAGATAACCATTCAAGTAGGTACATAGAGTAGGTACGTATCATAGCAATCTTTACATCAAGTAAGGCCCGTTTCACCTGCCCTCCTTCTCCACTACACTACGGTACACTGCACTCACCGGCTTTAGAAACGCCCGACGCGCATCAGTGGTCGCTTCGCTCGCAAAACAGCAGGCGCTTGCAAGTTGCAAGTTGCAACGGAGCCACTCTAGGTAGGAAAAGCCGCGTCAGCAACCAGGGTTCTTTTTTTTTCTTTTTCTTTTTCTTTTCTTTTCTTTCGTTCTTTTCGCGCGTGCCACGAGTCAGTCGTCCGTTAGGGATTCAAGTCTCAGGGCTTGATTATTATTGTCAGGTGCCTGGTATACTGGTACTGGTACCTACTCTACTCTAATGGTAGGTACTCTGGAGTCCGCCCGCAGCAGCAGCAGGGCGACGGTTGAACTGATCGATCCGGATTCCGGATGGCTGTGGTATTGTGTATCGAGTTTTCCATGCCACATACCACATTCTCAAATACTCTGCTGTACCTACTTTATAATCGGCACTTTATGCCTCGGCGGCTGGAACGCATATCTGCTAGATTCTAGATAGAGTAGTATCGTTCGTGGTGATGATTCGGATTTTGTTGTTGAGGAAGACGAGGGGATCGGAGATATTTACACATCGTACAGAAAACAGAACGGATGGGGGGAATCGGTTCACCTTCGACGGCGCTGGCCGGCTATTCTAGTAGAGTAGAGCCTCCGCCGGTGGAGACGGAGAAGAGCGGAGAAAGAGGAGAGTGGATTCCCCCCTCCCCCTCCTCTTTGTCCAGCTCCACCTCCACCCGGCAGCATGGCATGGCAGACAAGGTATGGATATGGGCATGGGTATGGGTTAACTATGGCATGGTATGGCATGGTACGTTACGGCATGGTACGGCATGGTATGGTATGTACCGTAGAGAGTTATCGGCTGGAGTGTGGTTGAAATAGGCTCCTCAAGCCCGACCCCTGCCATCCCTTAACTACTCTATGCTAACACCGTTCTCAGGG